TTCCCTTAAATTTATTTAAATCAAGTCTTAATAAAAAAAAAAATGCATAAAAACCAATTAATAAACTGTAAATAAAAAATATGTGCACCAAAGAAAAAATATCTTACGAAAAAACCATTAAATTTCCTCATAATTATAACATAGTAAGACTATCAAAAAACGAGATCTCTTTCCGAAAAACAAAAAAAAAAACCAAAAACCCTGACATTAAGCCCGTGAGAAAAATGTACAATTAATTTACAACGAACGCCGCATGAATTAAGAAATCAAAAAATTATTAATACATAAAAAAATCATAAACTGGTGGGTAGTGTATCTCTGGGTTGGCATACGGTTGGTGCACACAGCGATGGCGTTACGATACGAGAGATTTAACGCGAAGTGTAGCCTCTCATCTTTGGTGGATATAAGGAGGAGAACAAGATGAAGAGAAAGAGGTACTCCGGTATGCATGAAAGGACTTACGTCCTTAGAGAGGAATTGCAAACCACCCGGTGTGCTGTCTCTCCTCTCCACTGATCCTCTGTTGCTCCTTACAAACTTACAGCCTTATATATCCCTAACTGCCAAACTTATGCTTGTAGCCCACGAGTTCTCATCTGCTCCCTTGTGTTCGACTCGCGTAATTTACTCAAATGGAAAGAGAAGAGGTACTTAAAAAAATCCAAACGGCCCGTTATCATTTAATTACTCAGCTCCAAAGCCCAGATAATCGTTAAGACTGTAGCGACGACGCTCAGTTATATGTTGCAAAGCTTAAGTTATTAATATATAAAACGATCGTTTTATTTGTTCTTTCTCCCCTCTATTCGTATGCGAAATAAAAGAGATAACTTTTGCCGCGTGATGTCGTACATGGCATCGAATATCATGGAGGCTCATTCGATTGAGAATTATGTTAAATTTATTCGGGTATGGGGGCATTTGATTGAGACATATCCGGTCATGGAAATAAGATGTAAAAAGTAGATTAAGAATTGCGCCAACAGGAGCATCAAGATTCTCTTTCTGCAAGGTGTGTATATTAGATACGCATTGGGCCTCCTACGGCTTCAGATGCCACTTGGTAGTGTGGTTACACTCACCCCATTCGCGTGCATGACAACAGTTGTGGTTAAACGGCTAGTAGTGTTTCAACCACGCGGATAAAACCCTCTGTCCCCCGCGTGTGCAACAACCAACAAATTTGACTCTTTGATAGTCTCTGTCTTGTCTCCTTGTCGCTCTTCTCTTTCTCCGGTGGCCGTCGTGTGAGAAGGGGAATATGTACGCCAGAGAAACGCAGAAGCGAACAAGAGTAACCCGGAGCGCCTGGTTATTTAATTAAAACCGGATTAAGTCTCAAGTTCCTTCATGCGTTTCAGCTATATCCCTTTCTCCCTCTCGTCGATATCAGATACTAATTGCTCTATCCAGATTAAAACAAGCGTAAACACTCGCCAACTAAAGGCCCCGTGTGATAATTCATTTAGACTAAGCGGAAATAAAAAATTTCTTTTTGACACTTTTGATGCTCTGTTTTCTCATTATAAATCAGAACTAATTGTTATGAATTTTTAATATTGGCTATTATCCATTTATTTATTGTCATTCGATATGCCATTCATTTAAGAGTCTTGATTTAAAAGGTTTCGGTGATGATAAGAATTATTATTTCACGTGATAAGGGTATTATTAAATTTTATTGAAAGAAATTATTTGTATGATGTCACAGCATTTTCATTTTCAAAGCAATAATTAATAAATTTAAAAGAAATAAATCGGTACGGTTTTTTTTTAAATTAATTTAAGCTAAATTGATGGCGTTTTGTCAATAAATCATGTAATTTTTTTAATTAATTTACGAAATCGAACCAAAACGACCTCCTGGGGTAAAGTAGTCCATCTTTAAATGTCACAAAATATTATGCCATCATAAACTCACGTACTGGTTCATTTTTTGCAAGAAATTGAATTATTAATAATATAATTTCTCGGTTAATTTATTTTATAAATCATTAGAATCCTTAGAATGGCTATTGTACTCCGTTGTATCTTGGAGTCAAAATTTTATTTATTTGAGACTGATTTAAGATTGAAATTCAATAAATCAGGTTCATACAAATAATGAATTTAATCCCCAATTTTTTTCAATACTCGATACGACAAAAAATATTTATCTTAAAAATCTTGATAATACATTTGATAAAACAATAAAAAAAATTGTTTAAAAGAAATGCTTATAATCAACTTACCACTCATCACATCGAATATCTTAATTCAATCTCTCATGTTTTAATTCAAAAATAATTAAAATATTTAAGTTAAATATTTTTATAAAGAAAAGGCTATAAAAATCCTAGAAAGCACATTTTTTTTAATTACTCGAAAAACAATTCTCATTTATTGCTTCAATTTTAGAAAGCTCATTAAACTAAAATTCATCACTTTCTTATGAATAAATTACCAATAATTAAAAATAAATTAATACAGAAAAAAAAGCAAAATTAAATCAAATTAATTTCATCAATCAAACTGATTCGACATCAAAAATGTATTTAAAAAACCTCTAAACCATGTATCATCCACTGATACACCAATGTTACCACATTCCTTATTATCTTATCATCAGCTTAATTACCACTTCTTCTCTAAAAAAAAACCTCTGCTAATTCGAAATAAATTATTTTCACTAAAACTCCTCGGAGGAATGTTAATATTTGAAGCCTAAGGATATTTGTAAGCAATTTACAACCGCACGTCTAGTATGCCCATTGACGTCCGCTATTAAATCAAAGAAGCACTCTAACGCAGCAGCCGATGTGTTAGGAATTCAAATCGACATCATAAAGCTTGCGCGACGTTCGAACTGGGAATTGTTGCCAAATGTCTATCGTAGATGATTTCAAGTCTCAACGTAGCAGCATCACGTACGAATATGGCTAAGCACGTCGTCTAGTGTGTGGGGTAAAAGTAAAATAATTTAAGAGGGTAAAAAAGAAAACGTAGTTGAAAGAACTACTTAACTCTCTACACACTTCATAAAACACAGAAAGAATCATTGCTGATGAATGTAAATTTTTTTTTAAAAGACAAAGAGATAAAGATTATTCGGTCAAGTTGGTCTTAATGTTAAAATTACGTCATTTAATATCAAAGAAATGCGATATAGTATTTTAGATTCCTTTTTTTATTGCTTTTTTTATTAGCCTGAGGGTCATTTGGTGCTTCTAATTAAAGATACGGAATCACTCTATCGCGCACAAACAGTCGCACCCTCTATGTATAGCCTCTCCCGCATTCTCAAGTCTTTGAGAAAAGAGTGAGAGGTGGAAAAGCAGTAGGGTTTTAACAGTAGCTAAGTGTAAATGATAGCGCGGTTGGGAGAAGATACTTTCAAAAGAACGGTTACGACGTCATCGTCCTGAGGGTCCTTTTAGTTTCTGTTCCTTTAACGAAAAAGTGTGATAAAAAAAATAAAATAAAAGACAAAAACCATCTAAACGAAGAATAGCGAATAGCATCTTCTTTTATTCTTTTTTTTTTTCTCGCTCTTTTACTGAAAAATTTCACCGCGAAATTATGAAGCTGAATGAAATTATAAATAAAGAGAATGGGATAAGAATGTACAGTATTGAGCAAAAATTTACATCAGTTAGTTATCTCTTTAATTTGCATAAACATTTTTTTACCAAAAGGTAATTTTATTGAATTCTAATTCATTTAAAATAATTTTTTTACAAATTAAAAATGGCTGGAGATCAATAAGCAAACTTGTTTAATTTTTATGACTTATGAATTAATAATAATAAATCAAGAAAAAGATTTTTAAAAAACTGAAAAAAGATTGAGACTCAATGCATAGCACAAATTAATTTTTTATTTGAAAATGACTAGTCTAATTTCTATTTTACTCCAATAATTTATAAAAGTACTTTAATTTATTTATTTTCACAATAACTTTAATTATAAAAAATCCATGTTTGTCACCTAGAAGATTTTTTTCTCCCAACAGACGTTAATGTGATAAATAGGAAGCTATTAAGCACAAACATAGGAATAAGCCGATAATTTTGGCGATAACTGTATGCGAAATGAGGAAATTGGATAGACGGGTAACATGTAAACTGCGAGCATTCTTTTCAATTGAAAATGTCGGCGAGCTCAAATGGTACAATCCAAGTAGCCGTCGACTCTCCTTCTTTCAATAAAAGGGAACGAAAGGAATATCGAATACAGTAGCGCGGACATAAATTTGCAAGGCCACTTAATTGAATAGGGAAAGTGGAAGAGAGGAAGAAGGGATGAAGGAAAGAGAGAACGAAGGGATGCGACGTGAGGGAGGACAAGCAGTGAGGACAAAGAGTAGAATACTCTTGTGCCCAAGGATCTTCTATATCGAATAGACATGGATATGTTAAACGGTTGTGGAATGCAGCGAGGTATTTGCCGAATAAACGTGAGCTCGAGAAACGGGGCTTCAGAAAGAAAAGAAAAGAATAAGTGGACTTATACCATCAGACATCACGACAAAAAGCTCCCTCACGTGCCAACCAATGGAATTCATGGCTAGACTAATTTTTTTAACGTTATGCTGACAGCCAAATGGACCATGTCACGTGTTGTTGCCATAAGAAAGAGATCCAAGTATTCATACAGCTTGTAAAAATATTAAAGAAACGATATGTAATGATAGATTTCCGGATTTAAAGTTGTTTTCTTTAGTTCCATGACGCGCGCTATAGATGGCCCACGTCTTAGTCAAAACTCCTCCTGGTGCACTATTTCGTCTCCACCCTAAATTTTGTACGTCAACTCTACGTAAAAATAAATAAACAAAGATCTCATCTGAAAAACCGCAGCTGGTGACTACTACAGATTATATTCGTATTATCTTTTGCCTTAAGCAACCGCAACTTATTATTTCCTTACTGTATACATTTTTCTTTTTTCTATCTAAAATTTATCGACATCATAAGCAAAATATTAACATAAAAATGGTTTACTTTGTATTTTTTCAGGCAAGAAAAAATTCCCAGCCGATCCCTCATGTTGTCCAGTATGCGGTGTAACTGTGAGGCCACAAGAATTGGAACAACATTTTGCTCAAGAGTTAGATCGACTCTACAAAGTCAGTGCCAACAATTCACGGCCAAGACAAAGGTCAGCATTACCCCCACCTACACATCAAGATCATCCACATGGTCCAATGCTCCACGCGCCATCCTCTGCAGATGGCACGTTACAAGGCAGATGGGAGACATACAAGAGGATTCGAGCTAATCGACAAGTAAATTATTTTAATTATTTTTTTTTTAGAAAAAAGAGTTAGATAAACTGCTTCATAAATTCGAGCTGTAATAAATTTAATCATTATGAGGTGAATAATGATAAAAAATGGTTAGAAAATAGTTGAGAGTTCGTATACTCAACACGTGGGGATAATAAAGCAATAAAGCAAATAAAGCAATATTCTATCAAAGAAATCATTTTTTTCGACTCAACTACTAGTTTTCTATATCTAGAGAAAGAATAATAAGCGTAAGATAAAAAATAACTGCAATAGCTTCTATTTTTTTCTTATATTTAATTTTGTATTTAAAAATTGATTTAATTAAATCTAGGCTCGAATCCGAGTGAAAAATCGCAAGAGAAAAGCTGACGAGCCTGCATGTCCAGTGTGCAGTGAACGTCTCTCTGGAACTCCTGAGGAGCTTAATCAGCATGTGGAGCGATGTCTAAACAAACACAATGGAGGAAATTCCGGGGCTAGTGTAAGTTTAGACGATGAGGAAGTTGACGTTGAAGGGGATGGAGAAAGTTTCGAGGAATATGAATGGGCTGGTCAAAGAAGAATCAGAGCTACTTCTATGTTGGTTGGTGGATTTTCTGGTAAGTGGAAATAAATTTATCATCCTTCATACCTACAATTACAGCTCAATTGATCAAAAAGTAATCATATCTGATGGCCCCCAAAAAAAAACAAAGTTACGTGAGAATCCAATTTCGTTGGACACGTAACCATTGAACCTTAAACAATAACGTTGTACGGTTTTATTTTTTTTCTTTTCCATCATTTTCCATTTTTTCACCCCGTCGTTTATTAAATATTTTTTCATTTGCCTATTTTTTATTATTTTCAATAGCTGCAGGCTTGGCAACATCTTCGAGTAATCGTGGAATGGGTGGAGCAGGTCGTCAAGAAGAAGAAGAGGATCTGGTGGTAGATGGAGATGATGCTGCCCAATTTGGTCCAGCTCAATATTCCGAAGCTGATGTGATAGCACCAAGAGGTGAAGGTACATTGAGAGAACAAAAAGAAAGAGATGCACTTCGTGAAGCAGTTATATCACCTAATGCTCCATTAACTCCTCACACACCACCTGATCAACCGCATGGTGCTCATGTTGATGTTAAATCTGAACCTGGTACAATTAACGCCACGAATTTATCATCACCCTCATCCACACCCTCACGACAACGTACTGACAGTGAAGATGGGTCTACTTCTTCACCTAAACGAGAGAGCAGTGAAGCTCCTATTGTTGAAGCTTTAAGGAATCGTATTCGAGAACTTGAAAATGAAATGAGAGGACAAGCCTTCAAGTGTTTAATCTGCATGGTAAGAATTGTCAAACTATTGTCAAAAAGATTTTCTAAATTAATGTTTTCAATTGATTTTAAAGAACTAAAGAAAAATAAAAATTAGTCATGATGAAAAAAGAAGACTAATTTTGAAGTAATTTATGTTACAATCATCAATATTTATACTGCTTTCTTGTTAACAAAAATTGTATATCATATGAAATTATTGAAACTAGGTCAATATTTTTACCATTTTTCTTTTTTAAATCAAGATTTCATAACAGTATTAAATCTCACAGTGCTGCTGTATATTTTATCGCTCTGTAAATTTATCTCTTCTCTAAAAACATTTAACAATTCAAATTTAAATAATCTCACCAAGCATAAATAAAAAAAATATTTTCAAACAAAATAATTTAACTATAAAAATTGAAATAAAATTCATCAGTTATTCAGTAGTTTTTACAAGAAAATATTTAATTAAGCTTATTCATTCCATCGATATTATTGTATCAAATATTTAGATAAAAAGTGGAAGAATTAATTGAGCTTGTGTACAAAATTTGTCCCCACAACGGGATGTGAGTAAAAAAAAAAAACAGAGCAAATGATTCCAATAACATGTTATGTTTTCTCTCCAACATGGTACTATCGATTTTTATTGATAAATTGATAAAATTAAATAATAATTAGAGAGCAATTATTAAATACCTGTTTTTCGATGATGTTATAGGAGCAGTACAAAAAACCTGTGGCTTCTGTATGTTGTTGGCATGTCCACTGTGAGCAGTGTTGGTTACACACACTGGTGAGTACCTTTCACATAATATCATTTGATTAATTTAATAAAAGCATTAAATATGAACGGTTGAAATGTTAAATATTGCTTTGAACTTTGTACTAGTAATTTTAAATATTTATTTTCAAACAAATTAATATCGTCGTGCAATCATACTGATAAGATATAGAGTTTCTCTCAACGCGTCGTATCAATCAATAATGACAGCCAAAAATCAAATATATATTCGATACGTCAAATTGATGATACCTATATTACTTTATGCGGGTTTTGAAGCTACAACATCAATAGAATCTAGCATAGTATCATATGACCTCTATTTGTTTTTACATATGTCAACATGTTATAGTATTATTGTTATTTACATCATTGAATTTACCTTAACGTTGGTTAATAGATGTTACATCAGTATGACCAATTGGTTTACATGCATAAATGCACTCCTATGTAATATATACATTGATTGAATTATATACAGATGTTATCAAAATGTTATTATCATGTTTACAGGGTACGAAAAAGCTTTGTCCGCAGTGCAACATGATCACGTCTCCATCAGATTTACGACGAATTTACATGTAAAATGTAGCAAAACTGTAATCATTAATCCTCCAGTAGTCGTATCTCCAAATAACAATTGCATGATTATTTATTCATTTGGAAGTAATACTTTGGTTGTTTTACCATTGATCTTTTATGTTTTAAAATGCCTTTTTGGATTTTTATTGGATATTTATATATTATAAGGAAATATTTTATTATGTCTCAGATTTTCTGTAATGTTGATAGAAGATATTTTTTAAATTTAAATGATAATGTTAATATTTATTTGTAACTACTGAAGGATTGAAGATCAATTAGCATATGAAGACCTAGTCTTTAAAAAAATTGACATTGAACTGCAGACATTTCGTCAAACTTGTACATTTGTATATTTTTTAATTTATAACGATTCGAATCCCTTGTTGTGTATTTAAATACTTAATTAGGAAATAGTAAATTAACTCTTAGATGATAATGAACAGAAAAATATATATATATATATAAATAAATATACATAAGATTATATATAATAGTAATAATAATTAATATAATAATTAATAATTGAAATTATAAATGCCCGGTCACATTAATCTGTCATCACTCCAATGACAAAATTACAGAAGAGTCACACTTTCATATAACGAACAAAATTAAATACACGATTTTATTATACATAAATACATAAAAAAAAAAATAATAAGTGGAAATAAATGACATGGTAAATTTAATTATTAAGAACTGATGCAATAGAGATAGAAAACCACGAGAGAATTATATTTAAATCTAAATAAACAAATAATTACACCTTTTTAGCTATTCTCATTAAATAGTCGACGGGCTACGATTAAACATCCGTCCGAAATGCGGCAACGTGAAATTCATTAGACCTTCATACGAATATTTGTTGATTTATTATAAATATATAATTTAATATTGATTTATAAACAATAATGATTTGATATATTTACATGTAATATGAAATCTGTAATTAACTTTCTTAATTTTTTTTTTTAATATTCTTAATTTATTAAAAGACAGAAATTTATGCTTTCATAAATTGTAATAATTTTATATAAAAAAATCATGTTTGCATTATGTATACAAATTATAAAAATTAAATCACTGCATAAAAACAAAATTATTTTTTGTTACAGCAATTAGATAGGTAATTTTAAACATAAATTATTAATCAAAGTTGTTATTAGGCATCAAGCGTGACTGTAATTTTTATAAAATGTAAATTATAATAAATGAAATGTATTTGTAGGCATAGCTAATTAAATCTTGGATTGAAGATATAATAAGAGAAGAAATGTTATTTTCAAAAGTCTTTATTAATTTTGAAAACCAATCATGTGTGATATTTAATTTTTTAAATTTATCTTTAAATCATTGATAGACATTTTTCAATACCTCCAAAAAACCAGGGCACAAAATTGAAATAACTCGCCAATGTATTGCATCAAAAAATGACTCGAAAATTCGTATGAAGGTTAGAAAAAATTAACTACACTGAAAAGGTGATGTTGTTAACTTAAGAAAAGGCGACACCGTTCATTAAAATCAACAATCAAAAGATGATTTTAGTCGCTATTAAATAAATAAATGAATAACTAAGCACTGTGAATACATAAAACAAATAAAAAATTGTAGCGCGTGCGCTGAAAGATATCCCGAAGATGTTTCTGTATTTAAAAAAAATAAAGAGACCATGAAATGTATAACTTACCAGTGTACAATTTTCATTATCATTAAATATCCTCTAGATTACTGTAGAGAAAATAATAAATGCTTGTATATGTATATATAGTGGCGATGAATGATAAGTAGAAAATGAAGCAGCGGCTGTGAAAATACATACCTATAAATACCTGCGTGTAATTTCCGCCCTCGCGACGTTATCTGACGGCAAAGGTCGTTTGTCGTGCAAGACGTACTAATTAAACCATGGAACGTAGCTGAGCATCGAGATAAATGGTATTTGGTCGAAAGGAAGCAGTACAAAATAGCGATGTGGGTGAGAAAAAAGATACAATATATGTTTTTGGTACATCAGCATCTTAAATTTTATGTTACATGAATACATCTGCATATATTTATGCATTATTATTATCATTATGTGCAAAAGAAGAGCATATTTTACGTGGCGACGTTAAAATGGGGTGGCAGCAGCTGTATTTATGTTCACAGACAAACGCTGGTACCATTTCAAGTGAGTATATACCAAATCATGTCTTGCACATACATACATGCACATCTTGCATCTGTGTCCAGGGTTACACGGGGAGAAAATGTTGGCAAGAATATAGAGACGCGGAGTTGAGCTAAATCGACCTGGTATAAAAGTTGGTGCGCATAAAAGGCGGACGATCACAAGTGGGGACTTGGAATACTTGCAAAGCTCCGCCTCCAGTTCTCACATGCAATCCTTTGGACGTCCTACTTTCCTCACGTTTTTAGACATATGTTTCTATTGTGTTTGCACTGCGATCTGTACATATTATGCACATAACTCTGGAAATACTTACACATAACTTTTGAAGAAAAAAACCAATATTTTGTGGAAAAGCTTTGGTTAAAGTTTTCTACAAGAATTAGCTACTGTCCTACTAAAAGCTCTTTTTCATAAAATTATTATTATTTTGACCAAGTTAGTAATTGTTTAATTTTAAACTTTCAACATAATATATTTTTCCTATTTTGATTGATTGATAATTGAATTAAAATTTCTAACAATGTAGATGGATGAGTAGTGCTTTAAATGATGTGGTCACAGTATGTCGTTAGGATTAATTAGTCGTAGATAATACAGGCAAGAGTACTTGGTGAATCATTTCAATTAGTCACCTAAAGCAGCTGATCAACAAACCCTGCTCTGCAAATTTGAATTAATCAACATCATGAAGTATACCATTGACGCAAAATAATAACATAACGAACCTTGTAAATCAATGAACTTTCTCTATTTCTCAGTACTTTTGTCTGATTTAAATTCCGATAGTATTAATCATTTATTTGCTGGCATTTGAGTTATTATTACTACTATCATTATAGAAATATTGATTCCTACATCATTCATTAATTCATCAGCAACGTTTCAACTATATAAGTACATTCTATAAAATATAATTAGAAAGCGTGGTCTGATTTAACATATTTTACATCACTCTAAAATTGGTTGAAAAAAAATTTAACATTTTTAAATTCAATTATTAAATCAATCTTTGATAGAAAAAAAATTGTTCCTTGTCAATAAATTATATTGATTTTGCCATCATTTTCTATTAATGTTAACTGTGATTTATCTTGCCAATTTTATCTGAAAAAAAGTGGTAAGATCTTACAGACCATTTAGCTCAAAAAAAAATGATGAATGAACTAAAATGGACAATGTTGTGAAAGTTGATAAGCACATAAATTGGATCAAGTATAAAAAGAGGGAAAATAAATAGAAAAACTGTTGAAAATGTTTATTATAGCAAGGTTTCTAGAAATGTGTGCAGATATTTGTACCAAATCAAGTAGTAAAGCAGTAATGCAAGTAGTATAGTTGTAGCAGTAGCAATACTGGCAGCAGCAGCAGTAATAACATTCTGCTTTAAACAGCTTAAGCATTCACTGAAAATAGAAGTGGGAGGACTGCAAACACGCAAAGTCGCAATATATACTTAACAGATCGCGACTCGCGAACAACTGCGCAACTCTGAATGGTCCACACGCGCCTGCGAACTTCCTTGAACGCGAAATGAAGCACCGCCTACCGCCCCATTGAGGCGTTGATACTTCTGAGATTCTTCCAACCGCTACCTATTGTATGATGTGTGCTAACTATTCGCGTTCTCCGCGACTTTGGTCGCGCACAAAACGAAGACATGAAAGGTGACGATTGGAACACGTCATGGTAGTGAGTTTTAAGTCATGACCTCTTGTCTTCTATTCTAGTCTTCAAGTAGAAATAATAAATCAGATCTATATCAACTTTGTCAACACATTTTACAACTTTGAAATATATTAGAATAGCCGTTCCATTTGACAGAATGATAAATAATCATTCAAATACATAAACATGATCAGAGTAATTTTTTTCCATACAAATGATAAATACTTGAATAAATATGATTTAAAGGTTGGTATTAAAATTGGAATAATTTAAATGACATTCCCAGATAGCAAATTTATCAATTTTATATTGCCTCTAGTCTTTAATTAATATCAAACGTTAAATTAGTAAAAGAAACATTCATAATTCCACTATTAAAAAGTTTTATGCATTAAAATTTATCAAATAATAAATGATCTATTATATTGTTTTCGCTTTTTTTAAATCTCTTCTTTGGTAATAAAATTAATCAATTCGATTATTATATATTAACATAAATAAAAATGAATTTATTAAATTCCATTGCATTCTTCAGAGAAATGAAATGATATTCATGCAAAATAGCAGTATCTGAGATGAAATAAAAAATACTCTAAATGTATTTAATAAATATATTTATATTTTTATTACTATATTTCATGACAATAAATTTATCGAATATAATTCTCTTAGATGTATATAATTAATTGTATAATAACATACACATGATGTTTACAATTACAATGCTAAACAATTGATTCGATGTAATGTAATATCAATAATCATCATAATTATTGTGGTGATGATTATAGCTGCGTAATTTGATATTCTTCTACATTTCAAAGGCACATTGGTTTTAATATGGAAAATAATCATTTACATTTTAATTGACATTTTTGAATTTCTCATTTATAATTTTAACAGTTAAACCATGTAAACGTTGAATAAGAAAATAATTATTGCCAATATGTGTGTTCAACAACTAAATTATTCATCTTGATTGTCGATATAAAATAATAAAAACAAAACAATGATTTATATAAATTATTCAGTAGTTGAATTGATAAAGAATTAATGATCTAAGCTTACAATTTGATAGTAATTATATTAATAAAAGTAAGATTAATCATAACCATGATTATAACATTAAAAGTAGCACTGAGTCACTTTAGTTAAATTATTGCAAAAAATAAGTGATGAACGAAAAAAAACATACATAAACAATTTATGAATTCAAAAATAATTTTCAATTCCTGACACTTTTGTAGTTTAAGTTTTGATATTGCACTAAAAATATGCTTTTGGACGAGTTGATTTTATATTTTATCTACATATGGCATTACTCAATGCTTTTTAATTATTAATTAATTTATATCATCAAAATATCAATATTTATTCCTTAATTATACATCAACTTTAAATGGTGATCCAGGAATATGATCATCACCCCACTTAACGATGACAATGTACTCTCCTCTTTCACGAACAAGGTAGCTTACGTTGTAGTTATTACGACCAGTATGTTTTACATAAACTTCATCGCAAGGCCCTTTGGGTCCATACATACCAACGTAAAGAATGTTATTTCCTAAAATATTAATGAATAAAAAATTAACATAAATTTTTAATATTTTTTGATGATAATTTATATCAATATAATATCAAGATTTTGTTGAAAATTTTTACAAAATACACCGAATTAATTTAGACTAATGAATTAAGTTCAAGTAATGACAGTTGTAGGAATAATATTTACCTGCATCACCAGCATTAACATTGAATTGATTTTGTTTTCCCAAGTATGCCTTCTTCAATCCCATTCCTTTGCTAGTGACTTTACTGGCATCAGATTTGAAACGCGGCAACACAGGTCCAGTTTGTTTAGATTTTGATAATTTTTGTACTGTTTCTACTACAATTGAACTTGTTTCCTGAGCTCCTCTTTCAGCCAAGTCGGTACCTAAATAATTGAATAAAAGTCAATAAATCGATCAAATACTAACAATTGGACAAGAATAACTAAATATCAGTTGATAGGTCAGTTAATAAAGTAATGAGTAAATATACATACCAGTACAATGAACTTTGAAGGGTGAGCCAGCAATGTGGTATCCATTATACTTGATGCTAATATAATAATCTCCAGGGACCAATGGAGTGTATCTAACTTTATATCCCTCTTCAACTTCAGTACAGTCCATAGCAACCTTGCTAGGACCATCAACAGTGACAGCAAGCGCGCCATGACCAGCATTGCAGGTGTCAACAATGAAATCTGTCTTCTGTCCTGTCTTAATCTCCTTCAGACCATTTCCATATGCTTGAATAGCCGCTGGATCAGCATCTACTTTACCAACTTTAACTCGGAATGGACTTCCATTAATGTGTACTCCATTGAACTTAAGATGAATGTTGTGAATTCCATTTTCACGTGGCATAAATCTTACTGAGTATTCTTCGGAATCGATAGCTTGGATAAAGCAATCATCTTCAACTCCACTGGGTGAAACAATCTGTTAACAAAATTCATATAAGTACATTTAAGCATTTTCTTCAGTACATATGATCTTTATGGATAACTAGCAGAATATTTAGAAAACACGAGTAAAATTAGTATACCAATTAGCAACTCATTGAAACTGTTAAATGTCGTATGTTATGTATTTATATATTCTATAAATAAACTCATAATAATTAAATATAGATATTTCTTTAACTACGTATTCAATGGTTATTACAAAACATTTGTTGAATGTTTGGATTTGACATAAAAATTAAAAATTTCAATTTCAATGAATCTCGACAAATAAATATAAATGATTATTAATAGCTACTAAGAGATAAAATAGTATTTAGAAACTATTTGCATTATGATGGTTGTTAATATTCGATGAGGTAATTGAATAAGGATTTCCTGCATTTTCAATACAATTCGTAGAATGCAACCGATGACTAATGTTCGAGAGATTCAAGAGTATAAATTGTACATATAGCAAAAACATAAAATCGCCCCCGCACTTAGCCTATAATGTGCCATCAGTTCTGCAAGAGTGTGTTATTTTGGGCGATATTTACGCAACTCGTACAAATATATGTCCTCGGAAATAATTCACGTGACTGGAGGGCATAAAGAAAATTTCTTGACAAACGTACCTTGCCATCAAGATGTCCTCGAGCACCATTATTACGTACAAGGAACGTTGCTGGATTGTCAGGTTGAACACCATGCTCTGGGAACTGAGCCACTTCAAGTTTGTGAGCATCGCCTACTGCTGGTGAAATGTAAACTTTGTGCGGAGAGTCAGGAATATGTTGGTCGTTAAATTTGATTCCCACTCTGTAATCACCTAAAACGGAAAATAATCGTCAATTCAATGACATTAATGATCTATCAGACAGACCATTGTCGTTGTCTTGAAGAATTATGTTCTTGCAAGCTGTGAAAGTGGTCATTTTGTTCAGAAAACCACGAGTATAAAATCAAGTCAAAAGGTAAGCAAGCTGTGAATGAATGAGAAGAGAATCAAATAATTGTAAATAGTAGCAAGAATGAAGTAAACAGGTCTTGGGCAGCGTTGCTGAAGAAAAATGATAATAAACGTGGAATCGTTGAAGACAACAAGTGCAGCTGTACAACTTGAGCTTCGTCGCGCACCACTAGGTGCCTAGAGAAAATTTTAACTTGTGGACGTCGAATGATTCCGCCTCCACACACTAACCAACCTCTCCTCTGTATGCTTGTTTTCATCTTCTCTTTCTTACTCTTATTTTCATTTACTCTCTCAATTCTACTCATTCTCACTTCTCTTCTCTTTCTAATGTGTTTCACACGACCCGAATATATCCACGCGCAGCTTACAGTTTACCATGCGCACCGTAGACTCCGCCAAAATATGATTTCGTCGTAACGAATATAGACACTGATATTTTTAGTTCGGGGTTGCCCGAAGCAAATCTATTACATTATCATTACGAAGAAAAATCCTTTTTTCATCTCAAATGTGATACTGTATTATTATTAAATATATAAATCATATGCAATGTTCCAAAATTTCATTAAAAATTAATAATGCATGTACATCAAATTATATAAGTTTTCTATTCAAAAATAAATCTTTCCATATTGAAAACAAGTCTGTACTATCATTAATGCGTTATATTATTAAAAAGCTCAATAAATTATTTGATTTAATATTACTGATTTTCTCTTACTATCATTTGAAACTATGTAAGAAATCATATTTTGCTAACGAAGCTGCTTGTCCTAAGATTCATGAGAGAAGTTAGTCACTGGTGGAGAATAACAATATTTGTCATAGAACAGCAATTTATGATTTATTACACGAGTGAATGAATCATTCATACCTGGTTCAGAAACGCGATAGCTGACGTAACAGCTTCCGTCTTTGCGATCCTTGAAATCAATGTGAGCTTTGCTAGGACCTTCAACAGATATAGCCAATGTACCAGCTCCAGCTTCGCGAGTCCAGATATTAAACTCGCAAGGTTCTCCTTGTTCTCCTCTCTCCAGACCTGGACCACCAGCATGGACTCTGTGAGCTCCACCATCTTTTAGAGGTCCAACAGTAAATTGGAATGGTGATCCAGGGATATGCATCTCCTTGTAGCGAACTGATACAGTATGGACTCCAAGTTCTTTGGGAACAAATGCGACAGCATAAAGACCATCTTCAACTTCTTTGATTTCAGCATCTTCAGTAACACCTCCGGGAGACGTAACAGTGGCAGATAAATCAAAAGACGTAATTCCAGGCATTTTGAACGTAAGTTTACATTGACTACCGACTTCAGTAATTGGAACAGCTTCTCTTTGCCGTTGGATTTTCTCTCTTTGTCGGTTGCTTCCTTCTCCAGAAACTTTAACAGTGAATGGAGAACCATCAACATGATGATCAGCAAACTTGAGATTCATTATGTAATATCCTGGCTCGGTGGGTTTGTAAGAAACATTTAAAGTGCCATCAGCGTTGTCCTTGCATTGAATTTCAGCTTTACTTGGACCTTCCATTGACAAAGACAAGCCTCCAAAACCTGCATTACGTGTGTCGATGGTGAATGCATTCTCTACATGAGTTTTTCCTTCTTTTAATGCTGGTCCACTGACTTTAACCTTCTTGGCATCACCTACTTCACGATCCTTGACGTCAATTTTATATGGGGAATTGGTAATGTGCTTGCCCATTCGTTTCACGGATACAGCATGTTCACCAGGCTCACGGGGAGTGAATGAAACACATATGTTACCACTTGGAAGTCTTTTCAAGAAGCAAGGCTCCTCCAGACCACTTGGCGCGGTGATTGAGGCATTTAGTGAGCGGATATCTTGGTCAGTTACTTTGCCTGGTAATTGAACTTCACTTGATGAACCTACAGAGATTTGGTTTCTCTTTCGACCCTCACCTAAAATAGATAATAAATGTTGTAATAACTTGATTATGTTAAATAGTTATTTATAAATTATTTTATATGCTTACCAGTGATTTTTGCGACATACGGACTGCCTTTAATTGGTTTGTCACCAAATTTAACAGAGATTTTATATTCGCCTGGAGCAGTTGGAAGGTAAGAAACAGAAACTGTGCCATCTTTATTATCATGACAGGATATTTCAGCTTTACTGGGTCCTTCAACAGCTAGAGATAGTCCTCCAGCTCCTGCACCCTTTGTTGAAATAGTAAAATTAGCAGGCTCTCCGCACACTCCGTAAATAAGACCGGGGCCGTAAGCTGTTACGTAGCCACTTGAGAGGGAGTCGACGTGGAACTTGAATGGCGAGCCTGAAAAAGTTATTTTTGTAAAAATTTGGAATTTCTTATTTTACTTCTTTTTACATGTGATTAATGAACTCTTGACATTAAAGACATGACTCACATTCCGTTTAGCAATTTTCAATTAATCAATTTTTCATTCTGAACACATTTACAGTTAATTTTAATAAAATGTAATGTTAAATAATTAATTTAAACAATTCATAAATTTGTAAATTATTAAAGGTGTCTACTATTGATAGTAAAATTAATTATTTTGTAATAAGTCTCTTGAATCTAATAATATCAGCTAATTTTCTAGTCCTTTTTCTTCATAAGGTAAGGAATCCAAAATATTTTCTAAATCCCACCATTCTAGAATTTATAATAAACTGTAAGTAAATCTTCCAAGATTATTGATTCATCAAATTTCATGGTAAATTGTTTAGTAAACAATCGTATAAATATATCTCCAGAGCATTAACCCTACCTTTAACTCCAATATTTCACGCTCTACTAATTTATAGCATAGACTGGATTTATCTCAGATTTACTAAAAATGTAAATAATCTTATTTAATTTTAAGAGGCTTCTTTTCTAGTGAATTGTGTAATAAAGAAACCAAGTTGATTGTGCAATTAGTAATAATTTTTCAAAATTAACACACATTTTTTAAAAGCATTTTTTAATATTTTTGTTAATTTTTTGTTTAAAAATTTGAAAAATATTTTACCATGAACATGTTCTCCATTGAATTTAACTGCAAGCTCATGTAAACCTTCTTCTCTTGGATCATATTTTATCGAAACTGTTCCATCATGATTATCTTCAATCACAGGTTTGTCAACGTTTCCACTCGGCATCTTTACTTCAGCTGAAATCAAAAGCAAAAACAAAGATATAAATAGCAGCTTATTCCAAATGTTAATCAAAATTATTCCAATCCACCGTTTTCACGACACATGGAAACCATTCCAAAAAAATTCCTAAAATAGCAAAGATTTTTTTCAAACAATTCTCTTCAATTTTTAACGATTTCAATTCACTGGAACTGTTCCAACCTTTGCGAGAATTTACGTAGTACAGACTCTGGAAAATTAATGGAGCGAAATCGAGACCGGGACCAGGTATTTCTTCTTCCTCTTCCTCTTCTTCGTCTTCGTCCTCTTCGTCTTCTGCCTTTTTAGGTGAAGTTCTTTTAGAAATAAGCGAATAACAAATAGATTTTTCCGACTTATCGACTTCACTACAAGTAATATTTTTAAGCCACTCCCTATAATAAGTTGAAATCTCCTGCCAGGTTGTTTCAATTTCTTCAATTTGATCCTCCCAAATCATTTCTAGAGGATCGTCTAAATTTAAATTGACTAATTTGCGATTTTCAACGCCAATTATATGATCACTGTGCCTTAAATAATATCAAATAGCACAACTTAAAATTAAACTCACGACAAAAAATATTTTATCCAAATAAATACAAAACTCAAAAATATTTATCAAAGAGCTTAATCATTATAAAGTTTAATTAAACAACAAAATGATACCGATAAAAATTATTATAATATCTGTGATAGCGATAATAATTATAGATTGAATTCCAGCTAGATCTACCGATCAGTGAGACTTCTGAAGCTCAACTGAAGAAGATACCGCGATGTGACCGAGTTGGTATTAACCAAAATATTCCGGTCCCGGGGGCCGAATTATCTTCCAGAAAACCAAGCAAAAGGCAATATATATCATCTGGGGTCGTGCGCCACTAAAGTCTGTCCGAGGCCAGCGAATCTACTCCTACGCAAGCGCGCGGGCGATGACGCGAAGGAAAAAGAGATGAAGATGATCATTATGGAAGGATGGCTGATTGAGTTATACATTGACAGCTATTAGAAATTTTATTTTTCAAGAAATAGACAAAAATAAGACTGATCATTTGATAACAGCATTCATATCATTGTTTCAATTCTTATCCAATGACCTAATTTATTTCTTGAAATGCTCATTGAAATTTTCAAAAGGGGTCAATCGACTGTTTAGTCTATCCCAATGACTTATAAATAATTTATTCACTTTCAACTATAAAGTGATAATTAGAATTGATTGAATTTATTAATAAATGATGATGATGATGGTAATTTGTCTTAAGGAAATTGAAAGCTTTTGGTCCTGAACTTTTTTTAAAAATATTTTCATGATTGTTGAATAAATAAGTTGAACTAAGTGATGATAAGTATCTTAATGAATTGATTGATCAATATCAAAACTAACTTGTTGTCTTAAAAAAAGAATATCAATTTCGTTTAAAAATAATTTTTTCTCTGCATGTGCAGCAGGAAGTGATTATAGTATTGGACAACGCGCCAAAGAAAATATAAAACTACAGTAAACTGTTATATATGCAATAAGTAACGAGACATATCATTTGTATAAATCCCAATCATGAAAACATATTGCATTTAATTTATTGCAAAACAAGTGTTACAATCACTATCATTAAATTATCAAAATTAATTAATGAATTACTCCAATAACGAATACTGAGTAATGGCTAATAATAAATTACTTTACACGTTGATTAAGAAGTTAGAAAATTGTTTCAATGGTTCTTTGATATTTTCTCATATCTTTTACCCCTCCTTAACTCTTTCTTTGACTCTCGGAATTCCTAGTGTTTTGAAGCTTTTCAAATACTTCAACTTCATCATCTTCTTGTTAGTCTTTTCTCTGAAGACTTCAGAGTTCAATTCATGGAGCGAACACTCGGTGGTACTTAATCAACCCACCAATATTAATATCACCAATGGCCTTACGACATTTTGTAATGTCTGTCTCTAGCCTGGTTTTTCTCATATTTTTGGCAAGGTTGTTCAGGAAAGTGGGGAGTAATAACTTGTGCATTTGACAAAGAGGAAGAAGATTCACGACGACAAACATTGTGAACTTGTCGCATCTGTCACTCAAATGATCTCAGCCATATATACATAAATAAATGATGAGATGAACTTTTGTTGACATGAACAAATTAACTTTCTCAAAAGTATGCTCTTATGAATTATGGCATTGATTATTGATCGGTTATCCTTTAAAAAAAACGCTCATAGATGATGATAATTTAAAAAGTGTCTTTGATCAAAACCTGGTATACTTGGAATATATATTACCTTAATAAAATTTAAAAGATAAGCAGTATTAGAAAAAAATTATCATTGATAATTGAATGAAATTAAATCAGTGAAGATTACTAATGTTTTATAAATATTTCGAATTAAGTATTCACTTGGATAGTTATGTGTAAGTTTTATTATTTAAAGTTGATAAAAAATGTTAGATTTGATTAAACTATTATGAAAAGAAATACTTACATGTGACTGTGCCGTCAGTTGATGGCAAAGGAATGCTATTAAGACGGACAGAATTAAACTGTGTTGAACTGTCGTGTTGACTTGTACTGCGTCTTGATGTAAATCGTTCCTGGATACTCGAGCTGTGCTGTTCAATCACACGTTCTTCCTGTCGTTTATGAGATCGTTTGCCTCTTGAAGTTTTGTGAGTACTTTGTTCACGATATTCTTCGGATGCCTACAACATTTTTCATAAATACCTCATTTATTATATCATTCAAAAACATTTTTAAAATTATTTAATAATTCCATTAACTCGAAAAAATTTTATTCGAAAGCTTTATAGAGACATGTTTTAGTGAAAAATCATTTCTTTTTCTAAAATTATTTTATTTTTGTGAATTTGATGAAGAAGAGTAAGAGCTATTAATAGAAAATTTTCATTTTATGGCTGAAAAGTTAACAGAAAAATTACAAATTACAACTTGTTTTTTCTCTCTACGATAAAGACTTTAGTTCTCAATTATTTTCTAAACAAATTTTGAAGAGAGTAAAACTAAACTTTGTAATGTTACACATAATTTTAAGTGTTTGTAAAACAAAGAGCAAATGAGTTCTGACAGGAGACATAATATTTATCTAATAACTTCTTAAAAAAAAAAAATCTTTTTCAGTATATTTAAAACTCACGATCCTGGCTAATGTGGAGTCATTATGTAATATTTTTGCAAGAGACCTTGAATAAAATCTTGTCACGAGGTTATTTGGTTCATTACGTTAGTATAAATCATTTTTTTAATTCACACACTGTATTTATTTGATCGATATTTAATATCAATTGGAAATCGAATATTTAACAATTAACTTACTAATTAAACTGGTCTGTTTAATTTTATGGACAATAATTTCCTCAAATGAGAAACTGACTGACCAAGTGTAGACGCGAGTCAACAAGATACTCAGTTAATTTCGCATGCAGAACAAACAAAAATTTTCATCCACAATAATAGATCTACAGCTAGAGCTGCCCCACTCTTATTTAATGAGGAATGGTTGAAATAAAATAGGAACAGAATCAGCTGACGTTAAATCGTAATTGTCCACGAATTTCATCCGTTACGATCATTATCATTTGGGCTTTGAGTCTTTCATTATGAAACCTAAGATTGAAGTTACTGAGATCAATAAAAAAAATCAGTTTCGAGTTATAAAACCTGTTTCGTAACAGAAAGAATCAAATTAAATATTTAAGTAAACAATCAGTCTGTCTCATTCGTTATGGATCACAAACAGTCGTTTGCTATTTTGGATAGTAAACAGCGCTCATGTGAATCCACCCGGACCCTCAACGAGACTCGCAGCTGTCGACCTGTCCCTCAACTTTCAGTGAATTCTCTTATTTCCTGCACCCTAAAATCTTCTTCAATTTTTCACACTTTTATTCATTACTTTTCTTGTTATTCTTGATACTGCTTTGGTTGAAAGAAATATCAAAAAGCAGATGCTTGCGAATAAATTTAACTGTTGATATTCATGATGGAGAAATATTTATGAAAACTGACAGTCTAAGTTCTTATCTAATTTCATTGGCAAATTTTATTACAAATCATTCTTATTTTTATATTAAACAAATTTTACTTTTAAACTGAATCAATAAATATAATGGTATTAAAATAATGTTAAAGTTTATTCTGAAATATAATTATTTAAATTAAATTTTGAATAATAAAAAATATTTAAAGTAAACAATCGATTTCTAAAATAACTTTTGTTATTGTATATTCAGCATCAAGTCATTTACTTAATCTGTTTCATTTTAAAACTCGTTTTAATATGATTCAAACATTGTAAATATGCTTTGTTTATAAAAAATTAATCTATATCAGTCAACCTATAATGAATTACTAAACATAATTGTTGATACAAATTTCAATTAATTTTAATAACAATTACTAGTAGGTAATTAAATATTCGAATCGAATGAAATAATGGGATAAAATGTGTAATTATTATTGTAATAATCTAACAAAATGTCTATCAAGAAAATGGAGTCTGTAGTGGAAACAAATTGATAAGTGCTTCAAAAGTAAGAAGCTACATTCGTTCATATAATGAAGTTTTTTGCAAAAAATCTGGAAGCCTATATATAATTTGATCTAGAACATCAATTAACCAGTCATCGTGTCCACCCACAGTTTCTTCCGTGCTTATAAATTCGAGATAGTCTGCTAGAAGTGATGAAAATAGTTCAGCAATTCCTACAGAATTCAACGCTAGTAATCTTCAGATTCAATTTACGTATTTGTGCTCAGATTAAATTTCACATATAATGATAAAAATAATAACAATAAAGACTTTTAAAAACAATCCCATAACTTATAGAATATTAAGAAACCCCATAAAAATAAAATCAAAAAAAAAAAAAACAAAGTTTTACTTTAAGTCTCTTCTTAAAGTCTGACATATTAATGATGTAATAAAAATGTACCTTCAAGCTTGTTTTTTGATTTTAACTTTCTCACGTTTCGTTATTTTTATTTTATAATCGTTTTCTATTTTTTCTAGTTCATCTAGTAAATTCTTTTTATCAACGCCACAAGCCGGTGAAGAAATTTTTTGTTTTTCAACTTAAATAAATGGTCGTTTCACTTAAGACACGTTGTTGATCGAGACAAGTGATGGAATAAAGAAGTTCAAAAGTTTACAAAAAGATAAACAAACAATATTTTTTAGTAATAAATAATGAATTAGCAATTACTGATTAGATAATCGGTCAAGGAACCGATGTGATTCCGACGACACCTCAACGTGAACTGTTGCTGGAAACCCCGCGACAATATCCCGGATATGTAAGTCTCTATAGTTAGATACACTTTTGACTCCCCCACTTACCTAAAGTTTCATGTGTGATCTGAGAAATAAGAGGAAAACATTGAAAATACTAAGCCACCCTTGAAGAGATCAAGGATCGTTGTATCATGATTTAATATTTAAACAATATTTTCTTTCTTTACTTTAAAGCTAGTTTCTTAACTTATCTATTTATCATAGATGTTGAAAGAAAAGCTTTAAAACAACTAAAGAAACTATTGCATAAATGTTTATAAAATAATCATATTCACTCTCTTCATATCAATATTCAAAGTGATCTGTTTATTTTTAATAATAATCATTATGAGTTTATCACCTAATTTGCTGGATTACAAATGATTACAAACTCATTAGAGGAAAATTATTGCAGAGACATTGATGGTTCATTTTAATATCAATAAATTCATTTTGTTTGTTAAGCATACATGAAATAAAAATTCTAGGATTAAAAGTAATTCAAAAGAACAAATCTCTAAAAATCAACATCTCAAACAAAATAAAAAAATGATTGAAGAGTTTCGATCAACTACTTTCATGAATTTCTTTAGAATAGAATTAATGTAATTTAAACAATAGTTAAATTAACACTAGCTTGGGTCAGTAGAGCAATTAAAAAAACCATTTTTATTGTGTTTTCAAGATAAATGTTTGAAATCACAATTAACAATGTCTCGAAAAATCCTGAAGCATGTAATAAGATGGTTTGAGACTTCAAACTAAATTACACATTGTCTCGAATAATACAAAAAGTAATAAAACAAAGCACGTGTCACATTGTACACGAACTTACCGTGAATGTGTAGAAGCCATTTGGCACTGGTTGTCCACCGAACTTGATACTAAGAGTATATTCTCCTGCATCCTGAACAGTGTAATAAATATTCACAGTTCCGTCACCATTATCTTCAATATCAATGTCCACAACCTCACTGAAATAGAAAAAAATAAAATTAATTAATGAATATTTATTTGTATGTACGTTTTGATGATTATTATAATTTATAATAATTGTATAGTTTTCTTAGAAATGCAATTTAAATAAATAAATAAATGTTATAAATTAGTTTTTGCAACAGAGCAAGAGACATAAAGATCTAGTAGATTGACAACAACATCCTCGTCAATTGTTGGGAACGTTGCCAAAGAATTCATGGCAACGGTAAATAAATGGAAGAAGTAACACTTCGTGAAAAATAATATAAAATATTTAATATCTATAGAATGAAAATTACATTATACACCTACACGGAAGCTAAAGTTATTTTTAATAAAAATACAATAACTAGATTGTTAAATAAATTATGAGACATTATACTTTAGTTTATTTTAGTGTGAATGACGTTATTCATTAATAAATTTTCAGTAGATCTCAGTAATAAGAAAAACAAAATTTCAATTTTAAGAGATAAGTAAAAAATAATTTAGTGATCTACTAAACGAATCATCTTATCATTTCAAAACTTCTTTTTAACTAATATTCCATAATTCATGTCTAGTTTTTACATTAATGGCAAATAAAATCTTTATAAAATAATAGTATTATTGATTATCTTTCTTTAAGTTGAACATAGTAAAAAAAACTAAAAGTTTAATGCAACAGGTTACTCGATAAACCAGTCACAAGTCATCAATTATACATTTAAATACATCTACCGATATAAACGAATATTTTATTTAATTTAAACTTAACAATTTAAAAAAATATATCTTCTTAATCTTTATAAATTATTATAATGTACAAAGTTTGTTTTATAGTTACTACTTGGTTGTACGACTCTGACAACTGCAATATAATATTATGCTAACCAATAAGCAACGAGTGCAGTACACAAAACGTTTATATATTACTGTTAATTTATTATTATCCATAAAATTTGCATATGTACAAAGTGAACTAAAGTAATAAATGCAAAGTACTAGATATAACTCGGATGCTATATCTTATCTGCGAATCTTTGTGTCTGACAAGAGATAGACATTAAGAATGGTTTAACTTGCAGTGCTACTCAAGTGGAACATGTTAGCATATGGTCAGACCAAGTAAGATAAATTTAGTATCAGTAACATCTCTTTCATCAACTTTGCAAAAACCCGTCAGAATACACACGCCGCTGTCTAACTGTAACCTAGGGACGAGTGAACTGTCTGTCAACATTGCTAAATGCTTATTTAATGAAGGCTGTCATCACTGGACACTAATGGCTTAATTCCTTATCCTGTTGAGTATCTTAAGATAAATAATTAGTTTAATTAACATGAGTCTCATCAAGAATTGATTTCATTTATATTTGAAGATAATCAGTTAATATATTATCTATTTATCTAATCATTTTAGAAAGTTAGAAATATTAAATAATGCTCAGAAGTATTAATTGAAAAATTTGATATCTTCAAAAAATAAAGATCTTTATTAGTAAATTACTATATAATAAATAGGATAATAAATATTTGTACTGACCTTCCAGATGTCGATCGAATCCGACAAGTAACTGCTCCCCGTCCTGCATTTTCCGTATCAACAGTGATACAGTACTCTTCACCCTGAGCTAAAGTCTGTTGAACTCCTTCTTTGATCTTACATTGGTCAGCTTTTCCAGTTGATACACTTTGTACAGTCACAGGACTTCCAGGAACTTCTACACCTCCATATTTAACATTAACTTTATACCTTCCACAGTCATCTGGCAAATATGTTGCCTTATATAAACCATCCCCGATATTTTGGAGTGTAACTTTGCGAGGTACTGCATCAGGTCCAAGAACAAGAACTTCAAGATCTCCATAACCAGCTTTCGATGTATCAACTACAAAGTCTACAGGGAAGGAAGCAGTGCAAACCGATGATACTCCAGGTCCAGAAAGTACAACTTTATTGGGTTCAACAGTTGGATAAACCTTGAATTTAAAAGGACTTCCAGGAATGTCTTGATTGCCATAAGTAACTCCAAGCTCAATATTACTTCCTGCTGCTGGAGGTAAGTAAGTTACTTCATAAATCCCATTACCACGGCTTTTTATATCGGGTTTCTGTATTTGACCTTTATCAGTCTTGAGTTTGATATCTAATTGAGCTGGAGCACATTTAGTCGTGTCTACCACAAATTGAGCAGGTACTGCATCACGAATTAACTCAGGTTCTAGCCCTGAACCGTAAGCTCTTACGTCTGATGCATCTACAGCATCTTCTACTAACACTTTGAATGGAGATCCAGGAATATGTTTGTCTCCGAACTTGATAGCAACATCGTAATCGCCAGGCTCAGTTGTTATATACTCGACACTGCATGATCCATCGTAATTATCTTTACAGGTCATTTGGGCTTCACTTGGACCCTCGATTGCCAAGCCGAGACCTCCATTTCCAGCATCTAAAATTAAATAGTTCAGAATATTAATTTATCTTTTTGAAATTAGATGAATTAAATAAGACAAATTTATGTAATTAATCTGGTGTCATAATTTCTAGGATTAGTTTAGTGCATGAATTTATTTTCGATGGATAATGAAAAATTGAATCGGTCTTAATATAACTTATTCTAATTTATCTTATAGTTTTTACATTACAAATAAACATTAAAAAATTTAATTAACTATATTATTTAATTTTTTTCATTTTTAATCAATTATAATGCTTTCAACATTTGTAGAACTAAAAATAAATAAAATATCTCTGGAATCTGACCAGAATATATGATTAAATGTTTGGTTATATTTAATCGAAGAAAAATTACTGAGAATTCCACAACACATTCGAAATTCTCACCCATAAATAAATAGCTCAGTAATATTGAGTAATTCATGCTACTTTAATAATTAAATTTTATTTATAAAAAATAGACGTGTATTAATATTTTATACCTACCAATAGTTTCTACTGTGAACTTATTCAGTTTGTTAACATAGGCTTTTTCCAAACCAGGACCATAAGCCTTACATTTACTAGGATCACATATTCTTTTGACAGTTACTGAAAATGGTGAACCCGGTATTGGAACATTGTCATACAAAATATCAATCGTATGACGCCCTTCTTCAAAAGGAGTGTAATTTACACGATACGTTCCATCATTCAATGGTGTTACAGTTTTTTCAGTTTTGGATCCACTTGGGCCTTTGATTGAGCAGGTTATTTTATTCTCGTCCCCTATAGTTCTGGGAATAGCTCTGGTGTCAATAGTGAATTCCGTGGGGATATTAACTCCGACGCCTGAAAAAATAATTCAAAATATAAAATTACTTTACTTGATTAACTATTGTTGATACTAATAAATAATTGTTTATAATAATTAACCGATAATATAATAAAAACTACACTAACAATAATGAATTATGATAAATATTTGGCAATTATGATTTTTAAATAAAAAATCATATGGAAAGCTACTATTGAGATTGAAACTGATTTTCATAAAAAAAAAATACTTTTAAGTAACAAATAAAATTAATTTCCACTTAGGATTTCTGTCTATTTAAAACTGTCATATTTGTTTCATGTAAATATATGAAAAAGTATCAATATTAAGAAATGTAATTCATTGATAATCTAACAACGTGTTTTCATTTTCGATGAAAAACACTGTGTATTGATTATTATTTACAATAAAAGCGAAAAAGATACTATCAAGTTAAAAAATTAATTGCTATTTTTATTATTCAATAAAAAATAAAGTAGCTAATAACAACACATACTATTTTCAGAGTCTCTAAATACATATTTTTCTACTTTTTAAATCATTTTTCATCTCAATAAACACACGCAAATAAATAAGGCACAAAAGTGAAAAAAAACTCAAAATTATAATCAAACATCATAAAGCAGAGGAGGTAGTAGCAATAAAAGGGTCTATATCATGCAAATAACCGAGCAGCAAACGTTCCACGCAGCTCCTAACCGTAGGGATGAATGCCATTTCCGGAGACCTTGATCTTGGAGAGGTCTGCAACCGGATTGATGATAGCTTGAAAAGGAGATCCAGGAATGTGACGGTCGTTAAAGGTGATATTGATGATATAGTCACCAGGTTCAGTTGGTAAGTAAGCAACCGAACAAGTTCCATCACCATTATCACGGCAATTGATAGCTGCCTCGCAGGGACCTTCAACAGTTACACCTAGACCACCTTGACCAGCTCCACGTGTATCTATGACGAATTCTGCAGGTCGAGAAACTAATCCTTGATGAAGTCCAGGTCCAGATGCTCGAACTTTAGATGAATCACTGCCATGAACGCAGTTAAAACGGTAAGGATGTGCCGAAATCGGTTCTCCTCCAAAGCAGATTCCTAGTAAATATTCGCCCAATTCCGTAGGTGTGAAGTTGACAAGATATCCATCATGGGTAGGAATGATCTGAGCTTTGACTCGATTTCCTGAAGGTGCTGTTATTGCCACTTGAAGGTCTGCTGCTTTGCCTGCATCCTGAGTTATCACACGAAATTGTTGCAGGCTGTTGACTGGAGCAGCTATAATTGGGGATTCGTTTGCTACAATGGAGTCTCTATAATTTCTATCCTTTATGGTGTTCATTTCTAACATATACTGATATGTAATAAATTTCTAAATATTCATTACTTCTTTTATACGTACATTTGAAACTGTGTAATGCAAAAAAATTATTTGTTGAATTATTAAGTTGAATAATAATCATCAATGATTATTGTGAAAGAGCTCATCATCCATCTGTAGATACAGAAAAACTGAGATATTCTAGAAGTCTTTTAGCTTGATGATTCGTCAAAGTATTCACCTTTAAAGCTATTAATCAAACTCATCAAGCATCTTGATGTTAAAAATTTACATTCTAAATAACTTAAAACAATCTCAAAATGTACATATAATGTGATTTTAATATTAGAAGGTAGTTTCACAATTGTAGTTTTATTGTGATTACAAGAACTTGGAACCTTCTATGAGCAAAAAAAAATAAAAGCTTTATCAACAGGAAATTATGGAGACTCTTAAACTCAAAATTTTTTTGTAATGTAAAGCGTCAATTAGTAATTTTAAGAAAATATTAATTATCCACAAGTGCTACTATAATTCTTGGCTTGGCAATTGACGAGAAGCGTCAAGTGGGAACGAGCTGTTTGGATTGCTGTATAGCGGTGGCGCTCAAGCACTCTTTATTTCCGTGATTTTTTGTGTCATCATTCATACAACTTCATATCTCATCTTGTCCTCGGCAACTTTTCTTTTTACGTCCTTCTTGAATTCCTTCATTAATAAGACCTGTGCGCCTTCGTCTTTTAAATGTATCTACGTGTGTACGTCAGTGCAATTAAATCTGTTAGTCGTAAATAATAACCATAATAACGTGAAATATCGTTACTCATAGAGTTGTTTATCAAAATAAACAGGAAAAAGTTGAAAAAATGTTTTTTTTAACAATTATTTATCTTTAAATCAAAAATTTTTTTTAATTCTTTACATGAACGTTGTCAAGTTAAATGTAAATTATCATATTTTTAGCTGAAAGTTAAAGCTACGTAACCGCACCGAAGAATTTATGAGATCTGAAAATAAACATCGTCGAGGGTCCACAGAAATGACGCGCTAATCATACGCCAGGGACAATTTGCGACCTAAATTTTCAAAATCCGATTCTAGTTTATCAAACTTAATTAAATAATTATCACTAATTTATAACAACCCTCTAACTATCTTTATAAATTGACATTTTCACTTTATTAATTACATCAAGGATTATCTGATGACATTGTGAATGCTAATGTGGCAGAAAATACTTTTTAATTTAATAGAATCATTAAAATAAAATTGTAAATTCGCCAGAAAAACTCATTATGCTAGGATTTGCCTCGAATTATTTTAGAACTGGCTATTTACCAATAATGTAACATTAGACACTTTTTTAAACAATATTCTTCCTAAATCTAAAGTAATTCACAATCATTTTGCTAGTAGGTTTATTAAATATAAATCACTGCCTAATTACTTTTATGTGTCTCGTAGCAACACACCGCACAGTAAACCTATAAATTAGTGCGATTTATAGACGTACATTTCCGTCAGTTGTCGTAATTAAAGTGTCCTAATGATTGTGATTTTATGAAATAAAAAAATATTTCATTAATTTTTCTAAGTAAGATAAAGTACTCACTAGTTTCAAGTCCATCGACCTTGATCTTTGATACATCAACATGTGGTTGAACGTTAACTTTAATCGGGCACTGAGGTACTTTAAGGCCGCCGTAATTAAGATTAACGGTGTATGTTCCTGGTTGAGGTGCAACATAATCAACAGTATAAGTTCCATCCTCATTGTCTGTGAGAGAAATAGGAACGTCATGGCCATCAGGATTTTTCATTGATACATCTAGATTTCCATTTCCTGCTTCACGACAATCAATATTGAAATGAGTTGGAGTGTTGGATTTTATTCCTTTTTCTAGACCTGGTCCGAAGGCTGCTACCATAGCTGGGTTCAGTGGTGAAGCAACTTTCACACGATATGGAGATTTTTTGGTTGCAACTCCACCATAATTTACCTATAAAAATTTTATATTTTATTTGATGATCATAAATTAAATTTCATTATTTATTAATCTTTTGATTTATCATTCGTGAAGCTGAATTAAATTTATAATTTAAAACTCTTTAATGTGATTTATTACGTGGTAAAAATATTAACTCATTCACACTGTGAATAAGAAAATATGAAATATTTTTTTTTACTACAAAATAATATAATATAATTTCTAAAAACAGTTTGTAAGTATTGTATTTATTTAGTTAATGGCAATATTAAACTGAAGAGATTGATCGTCAAAATTGACCGAAAACAATTTTCATAGCACTAATAACTTTCAATGCCTCAATCATTTACTTTCAACGCAAAAAGTAAAGCATAGCTAATATTTAACTCAGCGAAATCGTTTAATTCATATTACCTGTCATTTTAAGAAAATATTTACCATGATTACGTGCTGAGAACCAGATGTTGGCACGTAATGTGCTTGAACTGTCCCGTCATGCTTGTTGTCCAGTTTCACTGGTACTTCTCTTCCCAGAGCATCTTGAATTGCAACTGTTAGTGGAGCCTGTCCAGCTTTTCTAGAATCTACAGTAAAATGCGTAGGTTTGTCTCGAGCAACACCTTCTGGTTGAATTCCAGGTCCATGAACCTCAACTTGATCTGGACGAAAGTCAGCTTCAGGTTGAATTGTAGCGAGATACGGACTCTTAGGAATATCTTCATTGTCACAAAGAATGTGAACAGCATAAAAGCCTGGTGCGGTTGGTAAATATGTCACGTCAGCAGTTCCATCTCCATTATCATGACAATCAATTTTAGCTTTAGATGGTCCTTCAATTGAAAAGCCTAAAGCTCCAGTTTCTCCATTAGTGTCGACAGTAAATCTTGCTGGATGATTAACCATTCCTCCATAAAGTCCAGGACCAAAAACTCTAATTGAAGACTCCTTGTAAGGTCCAACATTTACTTCAAATGGAGATTTAGGAATTTCTTTTCCACCATATGTGATCATAATGACATGTCTACCGTCTTTTTCCGGTACATAGAAACATTTGTAATTATTTGCATCAACTTTATTGATTGTAATTGGCAAACTAACACCACCAGGACCAATACATCGAACTTCAGGCACTCCTTCACCAGCGTCCTTGGTGATAACTACGAAATCTGCTACATCTTTAACTCGAACACCGTTGGGTAAAAGACCTCGACCATATGCTCGACATTTTTTTGCATCTGATACTGGTGCAATATTTACTCCCATTGGGCTTTTGGGAATCAATTTTCCCGCAAAGAAAATATTGACTGAGTGTAAGCCGATTATCGGTGATGAATATTCACATCTCCAAACATTGGGAGAGGTTTGACGAAGTTTCACTGGTACTGTTGTTTTGTTACTCTGAAAAAAAATAAGAGAATAAGTATTTAACTACTTCAAAAACATTTAACTTAATAATTAATTAATTTTAGCTCTTTAAAATAAATTATTTTTACTCTGTTATACTTAAATAGAATTATTTTCATAAATTATCGATTAAATGTCCAATTTAATGAATAACATTTTGATAAAGACCTTCGAATAATACTTTGATGATAGAAGTATGCTATAAAGTTATTATTATCTGATATTAATTACCTGCGGATCCAAAATTATTACTTCTGGCACTCCACGGCCAGCATCATTGCAGAAAATATCAAAGTAAGTCGGTCGATTGACAATGACACCGTCAGGTTGAAGACCAGGTCCACTTGCAGTAACTTTACTGGGATCACCTGGTTTTCCATCAACCATAACAGTGTATGGACTCTTTGGGATTTCACGTCCAGCGTAGAGAACTCTTACTTTATGCGGTCCTTCAGTTTTAGGTGTGTAAGAAACTGAATATGTAAGATTTCTGTCATTATTGAATCGAATGTCTACTGGTAATTTTTGAGCTTTAGGATCATCAACAATGACTTCTACATCTCCTTTTCCAGCAGAGAAAGTTTCAACGGTGAAATTAGCAGGTGCATTAACGATGGGACCTTTTGGTTCAATGCCAGGTCCATAAGCACGAACTCTAAATAGAAATAAAAGAATAATTAATTTTAAAAATTAGGTTGAATTAAGTAAATGCATTAGATAGCCATTACTGATTCCTTCTTCCACACTTCTACGCATTAATATATTGCCAGTCGGTTACAAGCGTTAGACAATAATTTAATTTTACTGTTACCACACGCTTGCACACCAGCTATTTGCTAGTAATCATCAATGCTTTCCCACAAAAAATTCAGAATTATTCCAAACATAAGAATACATATAAATAAAATATTTTATAAAAAAATGATGTATGTTTTATGTTACAGAATTATGATCCATTAAATGATTGTTTATTTTAAAATATTTTATATAAATTATTTTATATTTGGAACGTATCTTATTGAATGATTTTCTTGTGGGATTTGTGAATTCGTCGAGCAGCCAAAAATCCAAAATCTCGACGTGTTAGATATCAAATTAATTTATATTATAGATCAAACATGATTAGATGAAAAAAAGGCATATTTTTCCTTGATTCTACTACGGCAATGATAAATGCTTAAACCACTGATTAAAAAATAAATAATACTACGCATCCCGACTTACCGGGGCGGAGGCACGCTGCGACCAGAAAAAAATGAATAAATTAATTATTATTTGTTCTTACAATTTCTTTTACCATTCTATGTATCTACAATTCTGCAGTTTACTTTATATCTAATAAATATCTATTTCTACTTATTATTGTCATTGATTACAATTTTTACTAATTTTTTATAAAAAAAGTGACAATAATAATTGTATCTAATTATTGATATAATTTTTTTTTTATTTATTAGCACAATAATTACCTGTTGGGATTGGTTTTTGGGCGCAATGGTGCACCAGGTTTCAATTGAGCATTTGGATACTGTGATAAGTAGGTCATCATTGATAATTCATCAACATTTGGATTTACCATTTCCTCAGGACTGATCAACTGCAAAAATAAAAGAGTTTTACTATTTATATTCAACAAGTGTTTTAAATCTTACATCATAATTAGGAAAAACTTTGAATTAAAATTTTCTTTATTTTGTTTGAGTATATTTGAGGTCAAGACTATTGAGTAATAACTTGAAGAATTTTCTTGACGGCTTAATTGAAAAATCGAATAGCATTCCTTACCTGTGGCACGTTAAGCCAATCATCAGCAAGACCCATGGCCTCAGAAGCATTCTGAACTGCATCCTTGGGGTTCCAATCTTGCCAATCTGGACATAACCCTGGTGCGATAGCATCCACCAAAGCACCAACAGCTCTTCCATCATTCCAATCGGACGTAAAATTATTAATAGGCAGTTCAGGTAATTTTGATTGGATCCAATGCATCAATCTCTGTTTTGGAGTGGCATTTTTCTCTTCGTCGTTTTCGGAGTTCCACATTGGCATGGATATTGAGTAATGGAGAATGAGGGTCCATATTAAACCAAGTATGAGTTTCAACTTGCAGTCGACGATGTCTGAGGAATCTATGCAAAAAAAATATATATACATACAATGAGTTATCTCATTGGTTATACATACTATAGATACTTGGATAAATATACATGAGATTTATTTAAAGACACATGTTTAGTTTGTATCGTCCAACAGATTTTCATATTCACAATTGACTCATTCATTCAAGCCAACTAAATAAGATTAATAAATGAAAATTATTGAAATACTTTTTTTTAAATTAAAAAAATTAAAAATCAGTAACCCAATTGAAATCAAAGCTGCTCAATTAATATATTCTCTAATTTAATTTCTTAATGCTTATCGTTCAATGACCTTCAACTAAATTATTCATTAATTCAAAGTGAAAGTCAACACCTAACTCTTTATTTTCAATATAAATTCATCTCTTGTATTGTTTAATTCAATAATCATGAATAAACACTACTCAAAATATCTCATGTCTTTGATGATTTGTTGGAAAAATCATTTTTCTTACTAGCCTGAGTAGTAATATTAACCGAGTTAGCATGAAAATCCATTAAGAATTTTATATTTAGTAGACAGATAATAAATAAAAACTGCAGATAAATAGTGAGTGTTTTATTGTAGCTAAATTCATCCACGTGGGTGTGCATAAATGCGGCATGAGAGTGCGATTGTAGAAAATAGAATGTACACGTTCGACAAACTTTGTCTGCCAGTCGTATTTTCTGAATCATACAATTCATTTTGAATACAAATATTTCAAGATTGATGACTCAACAGCTGAATAACATCAGGCCCTATATTTTAATCGTTAATCAGCATATATTTTTTTTCTTCTTGATAATAGAAACGTTAGCTTTAAAAAATATAATTTTACGTAATAAACTGATAACATTTGAATATTTTCATGACTTTTTCTATATAAAAATATAATAACATCAAATTTTGATAAATTCAAACTTAAATAAAGAATTATCACAAAAATGTTAAAATAATAATCACATAGTTTAAATAGTGTTTAAGCACCTGGTTGACGGTTGTGATATGCTCAAATTAAAATCATCATGTAAATTAGCTCCAAACGATATATTATAAGAGATAAGAGTATGCCAATTTGTTGTTTTATTTTAAGCTATTGAAATGTGTAAACGTCAAGTAGCAGAGCTACAGGTGGAATTTTTCATCGGCTGAAGTAAAAGAGAATGTTGGTAAGAAATGATAATAATGACGTGTTTCAGAAAGAAGATGAAAGTATTCAGTCAGCGATTCATGTGTTATTTTAAGCAATTACCATCTTATTTAATGACGTCACATTTGCAGACGTAATTCACATACATTTCACCTTTTTTGACGTAATTTCTCTTTAATTCCCCTACTTTATCATAAAAGTCTTGTTTTGTTAATCTAATGTAACTAACATCTGTTTAAAAGTGTTTTTTAATGGATCTCCAACATTCAACAAACGATCGATTTAACAATAATTTTAATTAAAAAATTTCAACAACTGTAGTTGATGAATCAAACCATTTTTAGAAGGAATAAATGTTTAATTGTTTCAAAGGCATATTAAATAGCTGATTGGTTAAATCAATTGAAGAAATATTAAACTCAGACTTTTAATTCAATCTTCAATGAATGTATTTATTATCCATCCTACAAATTTTAGATGTAGGAAAGTAAAATTACTGATGATTCAACAAGAAAGGAATTTTTTTCCAAGTGTTTTCGGATTCAAGGAAGTGGAAATTGACAGAGCATCAATCAAAACCAATCGACAACTGCTACTTGAAGTTGATTGACCCGTTATGAAGAAGCTCCTACTTGTACTATCTCCTAAGTATTACTAAGTTCAATATATAATAATATTACTTGCTTAACTCAAAGTTAAGCTTCTTGTAAAAAAAATCTTATTCAATATCAAGTGGCTCTTGATAGCCTCATACATTCTCTTTAAGCTTATCCGTCTTCTGTTGGCTTAGTAGCTCTCCTCAATGTAAGAGCGGTTCTTCATTTAGACAACCATTCTACAAAAAGGTGTTCAGTAACCAAGAAGTGATCTTCACGATTCATGATATACAAAAGACAGCTCATGTTTCGTAACGTACATGTGTTGATTGTTGCCAACAATTAAGACGTTAATTATGATACTTTTGTTCTGAGCATTAAGATTTTGCATTATTTTTTATCCAAAACTTGAATGTTTTATGATTTCAAATTATAAAGATTATTTAAATAAAGTTAATATCATTTTTGAGAATTGGTTTTTGATTTCTATTAATCAAAAAGAACAAATGAAAGTTATATTTATAATAAAATCGACATTAACTCACAACTAAAAGTTAATAATTCTTGAAAGCATTATAAGTGTAAATAATGATTAAGTTTAACTAAAATGAATCACTATTTTATAAATATTACAAGTTTTTGTTCTCCATTATTACAATAAGTTAATCTTTCATTTTAAAATCTAATTTAAAATTGCACAAAACAGTTGACTTTTTAGCTCTTAATTCATTTTTAATTATAGTTCTATTTTTTTAAATCTTTCTCTTATTCACAATACAAATTGTAAAAAAATTATAATTACTTTTTTCCGTTATTTAAATGTGAGAGCGGTGACTATATGTGAATAATCAGAATTACTACAATGAGGCATAAGATGCAAACTGAGAAAAAACAGAATTACAATTGAATGTGACAGACGACCGTATAGATTGTGATTTATTAATTGAAATAGTAACTGTATGAGTTCCTTCCATACATAAGTCTTCATTAATTATTATTTTATTACTCACAGAAGACATAATCGCAATAATATCTAATGAATCTAGATGATAAAAAAATACTTAAATGCAAAACTCAAGGACAAACTTTGCTTTTTAACATCGACAACTTTATATACGTTTTCAAATTAACTTTTCCTTCCTATCCATTTGCTTCAACATTTTCTATCAAAACTTGTTCTACAATTAATAGTTATTGATTCAATTTATAAGTTTCATGTGCTTTGAAACTTTATTACAATGTATTACAACTTTTAATTTTATAAAAAACCATTCTCTTCCATTGATGAATATTAAATAATGTTGAAAAGCTTCCTTTATCATAACAAAGTTAAATTGAATTCAATAGAAATAATATAAATTTGTAATAAAATTATTTTAAAAAATAATTTAATATTATAGAATAATATTACATAAATTCATTCTTGATAAATCCCAGTATTTTTGAAGAAAATATTAATCATAAGTTTTTTTATCACCGATGACCACAGTTTTCTAATTTTAGTCATAAATAAGTCATTGAAGATGATCTTGATGGAATTCAAAAAAAGGATAAATTATATCCGGTAATTGGATGACATCAGATGCTATCAAGCTAAGCAAACGTTTCATCGATGACGTTATAGTGTATTGTTCAATTACCTCCAGGCGTTATTACAATTGACTCTCACACGTACGTGAGCCAAGTGTCAAATTAATATTTTAATGATTTAGATTTCTAAAAAATTATTCATGACTATTATTTATTATTATATGGCTGACGACAGTCATACAATTTAGCTAATATTCGCGACTACGTACCAGACAATTTTGACTCTCTGGCTCGTTTTTGTTGCTAAAGAGAAAGTGGGCGGTTTTGTTGACCAGTACAAGGTCATTTTGGCTGAGTGCCTACATTTTAACATCACCCGCATTATATCGCATTCTTTGTCAAATACAAACTTTAATTATCAGAGTTTTCCCTCAAAAATGAATTGCAAATATAAATGCAAGAGCTCCGAAACTCTAGACTTTTAACCAAACATTGATAAAAAATCTGTTTATGTACGCAAAATATTCTTAAACTTATCGTGGTCTCGTGTATACATGTGTATATATATATACTTTTAAGTGTATTTACATAGGAAATCGGATGTTCTACATGATATAAAAATAATTTTATCCTCTTAGGGTTAATTAAAAATAGTTCAATTTCTAGTTAAATTCTTTTTCACAATAATAAAGTGTATTATTAAATATTTTAACATTATTTCCCCCAAAAAATAAAGGTCCAAGATGTTGATAGAAAAAACCGGTTATTGATCAGAGATCCAATCGTTGGCAATCGATGAACGATTTGTAGAGAACATTTTGATTTGATACTGTTTTAATAGAAGATATTATATGACAGTATTTTTATTAATAAAAAGAAAAATTTAATATTTATAACAATATTTTTTCATTTTTAATATTGAAAATAATTCATTTATTAACTTTTCATTTTTTTGGAGTTGAATTATTATTAATTAAAATTGCCATCTAAATATTTAATTAATATAAAATGTAACTCTCCCATACGATTGTAATCAAGCACTCTTATCACTTATAAAAAAGTCCTTTGTAATTTAATTTAATAAATATAAAATTTTAATTAAAATGTCAATTTAATGCTTCTCTCTCTCTCTTTCTTATTGCTTTTTGATAGAAAGTATTTTTATCTTCTATCATAAAAAATATTTTCCCGCCTAAAATATGTTCTTCTATTTGCTATGCAAAATTCAACACTGTATTCCATTTATTTAATCGATTTTTACACACCACCACCGTCACGATGCAGCAATTTGTATGAATCACTAAGAAACAGTCTAATTAGCTACCTGTAATAGCCTTCTTATAATCAGAATAAATCACAACGTAAACTAACCTCCTAAACTTGGTATGTTTCATTTCTTAAATCACTCAGTAATAATTTAGAATCCCTTGGAAAATATTTATTATATTCTCGAGATATAATCCTTGTATTATTATTGTGCTTGACGTAATTAATAAAAGCCTGCGCGAGAAAAGAATTCCAAGGATGAAAATGTATTGTCCTGGCATCAGTATGCAGCTGAATAGGATGGTGTATATAGAAGCCGGCTTCCCAGGCTATGCCCGGGTCACGCGAACACGAGAATCGATTTAATTTCTCGTATCGCTTTTGTGAATTTCGATACCACGCGCTACACTTTTATGTATCATAAACAGAAAGAAATAAAACCACTTTGTTAATAAGTTTTTCAATATCTTTCTCATGGAAAGGATTTTAATAAATTCTTATACTCTGAGTAATAATTTATAAATACTAATAAAAAAGCAATTACTTACCAATATTAACAATTCGTATGCCTTCGCGTTCAAGGAATTGTAATGCCACAGCCACATTTTCTAATTTTTGTGATCGAAAGTTGGGCTTTTTGTTGTGTTTTGGAAGACGTTTTTGTGATAGAACTTCAATTAAACTCACTAAGTTTAATCCATCAGACAAATCACACTCCAAATCATTGATATACTTGTTGATTGCCTTGAGGTGTTTATTAGCCCATCTCGTGAATGTATTTTGCTGTATCCTTTTCCACTCAGCATCTTCAGCGAGCTCCCGCTCAAACATTTCTTCTTCCTCCGCCTGGGAGTTCTCACTCTTGACTGACTTATCATTCTCATTCATTTTATCGGCCGGCGTGGAACACGAGGTAGGAGACAGTGGTGATGACGATGAGCTGGAATTAAGTGGGGAGAAAAGTTGATCCACTGGGACTAAGCAGTCGACTATGGGCCTGTGGGTCAGTATGAGTCAGTCTAGACGAGATTCCTTTTAAGTTATTTCTTAAGCCTACTTTGTATCTATTATTTTTTTTTTCTTACTTTTATTTTTTACCCAGATTCTGCCGGTGTTTGTAAGGCGTGTGCGCGTGTTATTCCTGCGTGCGCATAGAATCCAGTCTGGAGTCTACAATTCTCTAGATCCTTTACAATGTTTTGCAGTCAGTCAGCTTTTAATTGATATGGAGCTGACGTTTAGATGTATTGCCCAATTTTTTCCAGTTTGAGATGCACGTCTTCTCTGTTATGTTTTCAGGACTGACCCTGAAAAAGTAAATGAGAGTATTATTTGAGTTGAAAAGCATGTAAAAAAAAATCATGTAACCGATTACGCAAGCTAAATGTGTATGAAGATTTACCCCAGCAGGGGAAAAAAACAAAACCAGAAGCTCTCATCATCTGTTTTGGATAAGTAGGACGTTTACTTTACTTCATCGTATTTGATTCATTATTAATCGTCTTTTTCTTTCATCGTTTTTTTTTTATAAATAAAACACTGAACTCAACCTTTATAATGTTAGCTTTAGAAGTAAAAAAAATTTTTGATAAACAAATGTTTATAACTAGTCGATATGATAAATTAAAATATTTATGAAATAAAAACAAAATCTTAACAGTTAATAAAAAAAAATTAATGTTTGTTATTTTATAAACAAATGTTTGTTATAAACATTACTGACATTAGTTATTGTTCACTAAATTTTGTAATGTCTGATTAAAAATTTATTAATAGATGTGAATCATCTTTTTGCGGTTTTAAACAGTAATTAAGTGCCATTTAAAATCACTTAGGACACGTTCTTGATAACAAGACTTACTTAATCACAAACTTTATCCTTTTTGCAATGTATGACTTAATCTATATTTTAAAAATCCTATTTATTTAATATCCATTTAACAATTATTTTTATTATCTCTTTACTTTTAGAAAATTTATTATTCCTTTTGATTGGTAAAAAATATCTTGCTCCAAAGTTGGACTACCGGTTTCATTTTACAGAAGTTGCCTTTAAAAAAAAGAAATATCTTCACTCATCGAAACTAAACTGCTCCAATTTAAAAATGATAAACTTTTTGAAATAGCTTTTAATTTTTATCAATAAAGTATATTATTCTTTTTTCAACAAACTTTTTTAATCATTTTCAGACAATTTTATAGCAAAAAATGATTTATTTAATTATATTGCTATTGATTATTTTTAATTTATTTAATTGTTTGTTTACAGACACTGCGCTTATTATTTTTATCTAAAATATTTATTTATGTACTTATGAATTATATATAAAACCAATATCTACGTAGATATGTTCAACTGAAAAACAAGTTGATTATATTTCAAAAATAGTTTATTAGTTGTATCTTATTTTCAAGCATCAATTAGACTCTATAACTGTCTGAAATTGAATTAAAAAGATAATACCAAAGTTATTATTAATGGTAGCTAAAAATAAATGCAATAATTAATGTTATATATTATCAGAGTTATATGATCATATTCAAAGCTGTTAAACAGTAGTTCACAAGCCCCCCAAGTTTAAAGTACCGGATTTACTTGTCTACAAATCATAAAAATAAACAGTTTGCCATATGATATAAAAAAAAAAAAATGAAAAAATAGTATAAATATCTTACAGCAGTAAACCAAGACATTACATCATATGGTTTATGAGCTTTTCTACGTTAACAAAAATTATTTTCAATTTTTAACTCAGTTCTGGTTGCCAAACGTCAAATTTCACAGCTTTAAAATAATCACAACTACTACTGGAAATATATAAAAGAAATAAATCACCATGATTAAAATAAATTGTAAAGCAATTGTGATCCTTACCTTATAAATAATTCGTAAATATAATTATTTTTAAAAATTAATTTAAAGGTTAGCTAAAAAGATGAAATAAAAAAATATTCCACTGCTCTAGACACTCGCACAAACTTTAACTCTTTCGCTCTCGAAGAGCTGACGAATGCTTGATGATCACAGTGAAAAGAAGGATCGCATTGATCCAGATAATAGCACTCGAGTTCAAGTATTTCTTTTAACGAAAAAACCTCTCAAGAACGACAGCGTCGTCGTCGGCGTTTAGCCGTTTTACTTGCGCCGTTTCAAAAGCAAAAGCAGGTCTGAGTGAAGTTCTCCAAGAATAGTTCATCGTGGCTCACGTTTAGCTTTGTATGCACCCCGCACTCCCCCGATTTTACCCCGAAACAACACAGGAGGGGAATGAAATCGGGCTATATATACACGGTAGCGTTTCTCTACCACACACAAATTCACTGAGGATTTTATACCATGATGAAAGGACCAATGTAACGAATACTAAGTGTAACCCAGCTTATTCATTATATTTCTTCATTCATTCTGAAAAAAAAATTTCAATTTATTGTATTCTTAAATTTACAGGAACTCAGGACTCTGAGTTCTTTAGAATGATTATTTATCGATTCTAAATTCTTAGAATTTATTCAATGTCAGTTTTAGTATAAATAACAATGATGATTATCGTTATAAAAATAAGTTATATCATGTCTAATTATTTGAATGCACCACTGATGATAAACTAATTGATCAAATGATTCATTCATAAATTAATCAAATTGATTATCAGTTATTGCTTTATTTCGTTATAAATTTGATGGATATCCTCTCAAATGCTTTAGGAAATTTAAAATTATAGGACAATGATATGTTTTTTCAATGACAAATGATAACGCCTCCATCAATGATCAGGTCATTCATTAAGTTAAGCCTGGATCGGAATTTGAAGATAAAAAAATTAAATTAGTTATTATATATGAGCTAATGACAAGTTGAAAATGCCAATTGTGTTAAAAATATTTGTCTCACAAATTTGTCAAGATTCTATAGATGCTATGCTTGTGAAAATAAACACAATAGTCTGTTTTAAGCTTTACAAAGTTATTTATGAATTAAAATTTTTATTTTCTATTATTTATTAAGTTCAAGTTTATAAAAGTTATCAAAAAATTCAACATTTTCAAAGTTATGAAATGAGTATTTTTATATTCATGGTATGATCTCTTATTGGTACATTACATGTACAATTTTATCAACGAATGTATATTATATTATGAGAAGTCTGGCGAAATACGACGTCGCCTTCGAAAACAACTTTAAAATCACAAACCATATTTAGTCAACTTCATCTAATAAAGAAACTTGTGTTAACATTTACTCACATCTTTAAGTCCATCATGAGCCGTAATTCTTGAATCTCTTTTTCTCTTCGACCGAGTTTCGCGACTCCGTGTTGACCATAACAGGCGAAAAAATCGCGGCTTTCCCTTTCATTATTGAACCAGATAAATTAATATTAAAAATTGATAGAAATTTTTCTCAACTTTATAAAATGATGTCTAAAAAATACAAAATTAATTTTTTTATAAAAAATTTTGTAAAGAACTAAACAAGGTATATTTTCAAATATTTACTGAAAGATTCATATGTAGATTTGGTGTCGGAAGTAGGGATCAATGTTTTAGATTTAGAATCAAGAGATTATTCAATCTTCACTGAAGATTCTTCACCATAAACTCGGTATATTTTATACCTGAGGGATTACTAAAGATAAAAATATATTCATGCTAGACTTGTAGCGGGAATAAAATTTGAGATAGATGAATAATAATAAATAAAGGAAAAGTATATTTAATGACCTGTCAAAAATCAAATAATTCATTCTTTCTCTACTTCTCACTCAAAATATTATTTATATGCCATTTAGATAATTAATAGTTTTTGTAATTAATTCATTTCAATATAAATATAGAGTGAAATGCAAAAAGATAATGAAAATATATTTCTATAATTAATTAATTAAAAGTAAATTATCAAATTCATTCTTACTCATTTGTTGTAAATGATATCTAATGATGTTAATTGAATGGTTTTTGTAATCTTTTATATTGTTGTACGTAAATAGATTCCATCATATCCAAAGTTGACGTCAGTAAATTCGAAAAGATTATGATACCTAAAATATTATCGGTATCCGAAATATTATCCATGATAACAAATGATAAAAATTATTTATAGTCATATTTTTGATTATATCACATTATCAATAAAATAATTTGACAATGCAAGAAATAAATGAAATATGGAAAAAAAAACTTTATCATGAAATGAAAAAAAAATTAATAAACTTTGCTATAATATTTATCGAAATATTTTTAAATAACAAAAGAAAACAGAAAAAAAATTATCAACACATCTTATAAAATTGAACATTATCAATCTTTAAATTGATATATGGGATTTGTAAGTTTTAAATTTCTAAAATATTCTGTCATTGTTAAAGTATTTAGAATTTAGATACTCAAGTCTTAAACAACTTTTGATAACATAATTAAATCTTATTGTCTGAATATTTTTGCTCCTCAATAGCATCAAATTCACACTCTATCATTCTTCTTTTCACTCTAACTTCGTATTTATGTTTTCTATTTTTTATCAAAAAACTTTTATGATTTGATCATTATTTGAGCATTGTTTATCGCTACTTATTTATCCCGTCTTATTTAATAAGCTTTTCATTAGTTAATATTAAAATTTAAGTCTTTATTGCAGCCACTACTTTCCTTGCGGCTTCATCTAAATCTCCTTCCATGGTAAAAGGCAGTCCTGATTCTTGAAGAATTTTTCGCGCTTCTATCATGTTCGTTCCTTGTAGTCTTACCAATACAGGCTTTTTTATTTCTAATGTCTTAGCTGCTGCTACCATTCCTTTGGCAATGGTTGCACAGTTTACAATTCCACCAAAGATGTTGACGAAAATGGCTTTAGCCTTTGGGTCTATAAATCGTAAAATTGATTAAAATTGATGTCAATAACAACGTTAAGTACTTCAATCTAACTTTAATTGAATTTAATTTATTTAGCTTCATACTCTAGTCATGTTAAATTTAAACTAACACAATAAGCTACGATAGAAATAATTTATTTATCATATTAATTTTTATTTTTCAATGTACCTATTAAAAAATCATTAATGAACTGTAAAAAAAATTTTGTGATTTATTAAATATATAATTTATTTAATTATACCTTCAGCAACAATACGGAATGCTTCGAAAACTTGTTCTTCAGTTACACCCCCACCGACGTCCAAAAAGTTGGCCGGCTCTCCACCATTCATTTTAATTATATCCATTGTCGCCATGGCTAATCCAGCGCCATTAACTACAAGAAAATACATGATATATTACAAATTATTATTTGAAACTATAACATTAGCATTCAAAAGAATGGAAATTATTAATAGATTTAAACTTGAGAAAAAATTATTTTAAAAATAAAATGTCTATGATTATATTACCTAAGCATCCAATATTTCCATCCATACTAATATAATTCAAGTTATGTTTAGAAGCATCAACCTCTCGAGGATCTTTTTCACTTACATCTTCCAATGCGAAAATATCTCTTTGTCGAAATTGAGCATTATCATCAAATGAAATTTTTGCATCCACAGCAATTACTTGTTTATCATCAGTCTCAACAAAAGGATTGATTTCAATTTGTAAGGCATCAATATCAACGAATAATTTCCATAAATTTTTTAATTCGTAAATTGCTTTTTTATTCACTTCCTCTTCTTTAAACCCGAGAAAATCAGCTACTTCTTTGGCTACATCATCATCAACACCATAATAAATATCTAAAGGAATAGTTTTAATAGCTTCTGGATTTTTTTCCGCTACTGCTTCAATATCCATTCCGCCAGCCGGTGAGGCAATGAGTACTGGTCCATTATGTGATCGGTCCATAAGTATACACACATACGTTTCTCTTTTGATATTTACTGACTCTGCTATCATAACTTTTTGTACAAGTATTCCATCTTTTGCGGTTTGTTTTGTAATAAGCCGGTGACCCAACATATTTTTCACGATGTCGACAACAGCTTTAGGACTGTTATTTTGTTAAAGTTTTTTTATTAATGTTAATAAATATGAAATCACTATTATTGATACAAAAAAAAAAATTAATTAACACTTACTCTTTTGTTAAATGTACACCTCCTTTAAACCCATTATCAAACCAACCTTTACCTCTTCCACCTGCCAATACCTGTGCTTTAATGACATACTCTTTAACCCCTAAATAAATTAATAGATTCATTATTATATGCATCATAAGAAACATAGCAATTTCATTGTAAAATAAATGGTTTAATGCAAATGAAAACTTAGAGAAAGAAAACTTACGAAATTTATCAAGAGTAGCATCTGCCTTCTTAATGTCATCAATAATGGTAAAATTTTGAATTGATACACCACAATCTTTTAATAACTCTTTACTTTGGTATTCTAATAAATTTAAATTTCTTACAGATAATAAACCAGCTTGAGAGTATTTCGATAACGAGATAACTGAACTAACGAGTTTGCGAGTTAAAAAAGCCGACATTATTAACCTGTTTTTCTTATAAGCAATGAAAAATTCACTGATATTTACTGTGAATAAAAGACAATACTTAATCTTAAGTGCTAATTAACTCAACAGCTCTTGGGTAATAGCGATTTACTTATCTTTTTTATACTTTTTTCACAGATTTATTTATCGCGTAATGAATTCGCGTGGTCCCCCTCAAAACAACACAAAAACGCATGGAAACGTATTGAAACAGGCAGTTGATGCCATCTTTCAAAACATAAATAACTTATAAATAGATATTGCAGATAAATTATCGATCAAAGGTATTATTGACGATCGAGAATAAAATAAATAAAAATATTACATTTGGCAATAAAATTTCTTTCATGAAGTTTATTAAATAAACAAATAAATGCAGTTAGAAATTTGAAATTTCCAGAATATTTACTGAAATTACATGTTGTTACATTGTTATAATTGAGCACCATTGTTGAAATATGCAAGATTACTGGAGATGGCGACACGAAATAGTTCTTTTAATTTTTTATGTGTAATAAGTTCGGTCAGTCTTTTCTATCTCAATAATCACAGAATACAATTATTGCAATTGTTGTCAGTAATTAAATACATTCTTCATTCATTATTCTCGCATAAATGATTTTCAAATTTATAAAAATATATTATTGTGTGTTAAAAGCTTTAACAATGTTTAAATTTATTATAAATTAAACATTAAAATTATCTTTTGTTTAATATATCCACAATGTTCCAGATGTTTATGTTATTAAACATAAAATGCTTTTAAAACATTAGTTATTTTCCTCTTGCAAATGGGACAATGTTTTGTTGTTCTCCAAATTCTTACAGCGCACTGATAACAGCAACAAATGTGCGAAACACTTCCATGAACAAACGCTCCATTTTTCGGGCTTACCGTACAAACAAGACAAAGTTTATTTTCACTCTCATCAGATTTTTCTTTCTGATTGTTACTTAATATTTTAATGTCATTCTGCGAATTTGTTTCAGTCTTTTGATTTTTCTTATCATTACTAACAGATATTGTATCTGTACCACTTAAATGTTTTAAACTGAAAGACGTAACTTTGGCATCGACCTCATCTTTATCCACTTCGAAACCGGTTGGATTATTAACAAACTGCCCAGAAATATTGCCGTGACGTTCATCAATGGAAGCATCTTTTGATATCAAATTATTTGAGCATGATGTTGGTGAAAAAACCATTCTATCTTCTGTTTCCATATCCGACTCCAAAGCTTGCGATGATGATAATGAAAATGATTGACTCTCTTGACTCGATCCTCCCAATCCAGAATCCATTCGCGATAATTGTTGTGAGTTATTTTCTGATGCTGTTTCATTTTCTAATTTATTATCAATCGGCTTCTTATCATGTTTCCTCTTTCGTTTCGGCCGAGGTGGGAAAAAGTTTTTCCTCAACTAAACGTAAAAAATCCATTAGTCACTTATACATAGATGAATATGTAAATTTCGTGGTTTTACATTATATTTTATTTATGAAAATGAAAGTTACCTGATAGCATCGCTCGCAATATCTAAAAAGAGGATTATTGTTTTTCATATTACATTGAATACACGACCAATAATCAGCTTTACTAATTTCACTATCTTCAGAAGTTAGTGATACATCAGTATCTTCAACCTGTTGCTGCCGAACTTCAGAGTCGCTTAAACTGCTCAGGCTAGCAAATACACCAACTGTCAAGATATCCTGAGAAGCAATAAAATTAATGAATTAGTTGGCTTATTCAACGAAGTGAATAACTGAATAGATTGAATAAAATTTTAATACCTCTGGATCGGAAGACGAGATATTGAGGAATGGATTGTCTGATTCAGACAGTGATTCCACGTCATATTCGACTTGAAACGACACGTTCTCCGGATGGTATTCGTCACTCGTACTAATCCATGTAGAAGTGTCTGACGTATCTCTTGCATATTCTGAAAAAAGAACAAATGTGATTAATATTTGAATGATAAAAAAATATATATCTAAAAAATTCATATTATTATAACATACCAGTTTCTTGATCTTGGATGCTGTGAATTGATTCATTATCGCTTTCACCATTACTAGTAGCATCTCTAGACGATTCGCTTTCAAGAGTAACATACCACGAATATCGTGGTCTTTTTGCATTTGGCTCGGAGTTATCTTTATCTGGAACATTATAAAATGAAATAAAATTAGAATGAGTGATATTTAGACAAAAATGCATATGTCGAGTAAAATAAGGTATAACTTTCAAAATTTTTTACCTTCATCGGGGGGATCACGTTTCCAAGAATTACTTGCAGGCTTCAATGGGCCTAAGCACATTGTGCAAACACATTTTTTATTATATTATTGCTCTTTCTGGTATAAATAACAAATGCAAACTACCTAACTCGTTACAGAGAAAATACATACCAGATTGTGATGGCTTTATAAGATTAGCCAGGCTCATTTTAAATGAACCTTTACACCTCACACGTTACAACGCTGTTTAAAACTTAAGAATTAAACGCGATTTGAGACTCGTAGATTCGGTTGAACTACTCAAGGTCTTTTTCGTAGTACACACTACTCTACGTTCTCTCGTTCAACGCATTATACCAAATTCTTGTACGTGAAATAACACGCAAGAAAAGGTTGTGACTGATTTACACATCACCACCCAATCAAATACCAAGAAAAAGAAGAATGAGTGTAACCTAGCACTACCCAGTCTATTTAAACTTCACAACTTATAGCATTGATAATTTGCTTGATCAAACCTACATTATCAACATTCATGAGTATTCGATACTTTACTACGTAATATACCAGTGTTTACCCATCAGTACCTTAAAATTTAAACGTTTTGGAGTATTAAATGTCAGAAAATACGTAAATTTGTAACTAATATGTGTAAATAACTCGAATGGATAATAATAAACTATTTTCATAGTGTGTTTTTAAATATTATTAAGTATAAAATCCTCATACAACATGGCACATGGAATTGGGTCAAAAAATAATACAAATCTACAATTTAGCATTCTAATTCTAATATAATTTATTTTTATCTATATCTAGGGAGATTTAATATTTGATAAAGTTTGATAAACATTTTTACATGTGAATTACATATTGTCGATTGTAATTGGGAGAATTATAACGTATTTAATTCGAAAGATTGATCTATTAGTGAACATTTTGGTGCATTTATTTGTCAACCATTGAAGTTACTGCATAGTTATCGCTCATCGGTACTCAGCACAGTATTTATATACGTATAATGTGGGTTTATGTATTGTGCGCAATACATGTGAAGACGTTTAAATTTTGTAACGGTCATATTGACGGTCGTACACAGTGTCGTCATTATCTACTCGTCGGCGTCTCGTCGTGTAACGTGTATTGTATACATGACAAACGTTTTGACGATTAGTAGCGTTTATCATTCGAGAAGATATTTATGAGCTTGTTATTATTCTTGTTCTGGAGGAATTAATCTGCAGTATTATACTATTGTTACATCATTAACTCCAATTATTAAGAATGAATTTTATTGTATATTTATTTGTCAATCCGACTATGCGTTTATATTTTTGTTAATCTATTGATATACTTTAGTGAGTTATATTATATAAATTTTATTTTTATTTTTTTAATAACTATCATAATTTACAATGGAGAATTCCAATAATACAATAGCATTTGGTACAGAATTAATAAAAGGTATTTGATAGTTTTTTAAATTGTCTTTAACTAATAAATTTATTTATTTATTTCTATTTACTAATTATTGATTATTTAATTGTTTGTACACAGAGCGATTCTATTTTGTAACTTTGAAATGTGATAAAATACTCGGAAACACTCAGGATTTTCATTACTTCAGCATCGACAATGAATTAGTCTATGAAAACTTTTATGCTGACTTTGGACCATTAAATTTAGCAATGTTATATCGGTATTGCTGTAAAGTAGAAAAAATATTGGAAACACCGGCATTTAAGAAAAAAATCATCGTTCACTATACTACACTAAATAGTGAAAAAAGAGTCAATGCAGCATTCCTGGCAGGCAGTTATGCAGTAAGTGTGTCATGAAGATTTTAACACAGTTATTTAAATATTTTCTATTTATTTTAAAAAGTTTGTAACTATCACTAACCCGACTAAACAACCATAATTTGTATTTGTTTCACAGATATTATACTTAAAAAAAACTGCTGACGAAGTCTATGAATTGTTGACAAACACATATAACAGTCAACCTTATATTATGTTCAGAGATGCTTCAATTGGTCCTCCGTGTTATCAGATATCTTTGAAAGATTGTCTAAATGCTATTGAAAAGTGTCATAAATTGGGTTTCTTTAATTTCGACGATTTTAATTTCAAAGAATATGAATATTATGAACGAGTACAAAACGGAGATCTCAATTGGATAGTTCCTGAAAAATTTATTGCATTTTGCGGTCCCCAGGCAGAGTTAAACAATGAAAATGGATATTCCTTACACTCACCAGAATCATATTTTTCTTTTTTCCGACAAAACAATGTTACAACGATAGTGAGACTTAATAAGAAAGTATATGAAGCAGCACGATTTATCAATGCCGGATTTGATCATAAAGATCTCTTTTTTCGAGACGGATCGACGCCTACAGAAGCGATTGTTGGACAATTCTTAAAGATAGCGGAAAATACAAGCGGTGCTATTGCTGTTCACTGTAAGGCTGGCCTTGGTAGAACAGGATCGTTGATTGGTTGTTATATAATGAAACATTATCATCTGTCCGCCCACGAAACGATTGCATGGATTAGAATATGCAGACCAGGTTCTGTTATTGGGCATCAACAACGATGGCTCGAAAGGTAAGATTATATTACAATTAATTTACAATCTAATTATCTTTGGATACTAATTATATTACAAATTGTTTTATCACTTATAATCATTCCGTATAATCTGTCTTTTTAGAAATGAAGAATATCTACATTCATTATTGAAAGAGCCATTAAAAGCCGAAAATGGAAATCCACCGCATCCTCGAGGAATTTACTCCAAAAGAGGCAGATCGAATGGATCATGGACGCTAATACCATCATCATTAGATACGTCATTACCATCTGAAAATATTAATCTTGTACATGACAATGTCTCTAGAATCGTACATCGAGTCGACGATATTCGACTTGACGATTCGTCACCGTCATCAGTACCCACAACAAGTACAACAAATGGTCCAAATAAGTTAGCTCTTGTGACTCAAGGTGATAAATTGAATGAAATTAAAATGGCTAGACAGAGGAAGGCTACTTTTACGAATAACTTTATGAGGAGAAAATCAGTAGGACAACCCAGTGTAGTACTGTAAATATAAACTCATTTTTATTTAATGATAATTACTTATTTTAATATTCATAATATTATATTTTAATATGAATCTTTCTTTTTTATTACCAAGTAATTTTATTTTTTAGTTTATTTAAATGTTTAAAACAGTTGTTTATCATGCATATTTTTTTTAGTCCAAACTTAGGTATTCTTTTACACACAAGAAATGGCCATACTAAAAGTGCCATGGCTTCAGTGATGGGAACGAAAAAAGATACGAACAATAAAAGACTGCTACCAAGATCAACGACAGCAACTACTACATCGACTCTCATAAAGAGGTAAATATTTTCTAAAACAATTCAAAATTATTTTTCTTTATTAGACGTAGAAAAATATGTAAATATTTATTTTATTATGCTCATTTATTATAGAACTTCATGTAAATCATCGTGTTATGTCAGATCAAAAGCATGTATCACGAATATGCAAAATGCGAATAACTCTGGAACGTCAAGTACCGTTAAATCGATGTGTATTTCTTCGAAGCCAGTGACAAGATCTAATGTTCGGGAATCATGCTTGAAAGAAATTCGTCAAAAAGGATCATCTAAATTAACGAACGCGAATCAACAATCACCGTCTAGCACGAGTATGGTTCTTAGATCTGCATCAGCCTCTGGTCGCGTCAATCGCTTCAAGTTAATGAAACAGTAAGTTTCTTATAATCATTGATTGATGATAAGGTGCTACTGATTTCTGCGCAATATTAAATGTACCTTGTATTATAGTTTCATCTCTATAATCCGAACTATGAAAACAGTGATCATTTAGATTAGTATAATATTAGAAAGTACTTATGTGAATAATATTTTATGTAATAAAGATATATAAATTTATATAACAACTTAGTTCGAATTACAGAGATTACACGTTAGAATTCGCGTATTTATCATGATTGTAATATATTTAGAGTATTAATTTTTACTAATTGTATTAAGGAAATTAATATCAGAAGCAATTATATACAAATTATATACAAAAAAGTGCCTTTTTTACTTAGAATTATTTACTCATCGGTTGTACTTTTAGCATACCTTGTATCGATCATAGTATGTGGGCCATTAAAAATATGTCAGATTAACGATATAATCAAAACCTGGTTTGCTTTTATGACTTGCAGAGAGCGTGACGCTTTAAGTTCAAAAACAGCATTTTATCAGATGATTAACCGATGTTCTTAGTGACGATGAGGGTGATGATATTGAGCAAAAACTAGGCAGATGAGTTAATTGCAAAATATCTTATTGCTGCCAACAACACCAACGAAGGTCACATCGCCCAAACCCTTTGACAGTATCGTGAATAATTGTGCATCAATCCCGAAAATATTCATATCATCTATGGCATCTTTTAATCATAATAATTACATTAAAAATCCTCCACTAATACCGATTCTTCGTAACTAATGATACCGAATAATCTATAAGTAGTATTTGTAAACTAAAAAAATTAACAAGACAAAATTATGATGAAATGAATTATATATAAATATATACAAAAAATTTAGCATTTTAGAAACTATTAAAACGCAATTGTTGATGGAAATGTTTTATAAACTTTTAGTCTAATACTGGAAGTTTTAAAGATATTATTTGTATTCAATTTCTATTGAAATGCCAAAAAATTGGCATCATAGTATTTATACACTGCATATGCAGCACTTAAGATTATAGATTTAACATAAGATATAGTAAAAGTGTATATTCGAATCTAAAAAATTTAAATAAATAACAAAGTCATTCTCGTTATTTTTATGTGACGATCAATCTCTAAAATATCCTGATAATATTCGAATGCCCTTCACAATTTTTTCAATCAGTGATAACCGATAATTTGAATAACAAATTTTAATACATTGCTCATTATTTGTTCAATATTGAGTTAAGTTTATCACAAAATCAATACTTTTACAACTCTTAAATGTTATATCAAAAATTTATTGTACACAATACTGCACTGCCTATAATACATTAATACATGTATTATCTAAATTTTCTCTGATTAGTCTTCTTTTTCACAGATATGGTTTCGACAAAAAAATTACTATATTGAATATAAAAAAGTACAAAAATTATAAAAAATATATCTATAATACTTTATAAAATTTAAGTTTCTACTCTAAGTTTGATCACTTGATGAAGAAGTAAATTAAGTACATTGTAAAGGCTACCCAGTGACTGGCAAATCCAAGATGTGACCATTTTTCTATGGTATGAGAGTAATTATATCCAGTCTCTTGTAAGTCTGATGTATCAAACATTAATCCTAAATAAGCTAAATGAAATACTGAAAGAGCTGAGAATGCAAAATTAACGAGAAAAACCCATCCGTTATTGTACCAATGTTTTTCATAACGGCAAATTTTACTATTAATATTTCCGGAAGACGATGGACATTCTTTTGCAGAAATACATGCGTCAAAAGTTTTAGCAAGAATATGTCGTAATTGAAATTCTACATACGTATATAAACCTAAGCTTAAAAGAACAGCGGCTAATTGAAAATTTAAACCATGGAGCAATGAACTGGTTAAATAAGTTAGAGCTACAGCATTGAATTTTCCTATGCTCCGAACGGCAGGACGGAAGATGTCTGCAATGAAAACCGATTTTAAATAGCAAATTGAAAACAATTAAACGAATACAATAATTATATCAGATAATTACATAATTTTAACCAAGTATGCATGGGAACATTCCAAGAAATTACAACTTGAACCAACGATCGAGGCATTTCAATATCAATTGGTCTGGTGATAGTTGTTAATGATGATAAAGATGATGGTGTACTGCCTCCTATTATAAGAAGGGTAGCAGATAAATAAGATATAAAATAATGGGATGTTCTGAATGATAATGCATCTCTATATGCAAGTAACCATCTGAAAAATAATAGTTATCATAAATATTGTTTTGAAGATGACTTTTAAAAAAATAGAAATACTCACTTTCCACCAGTAAATTGTTGGGCTTCTTCTGATATAAACCACTGAGTCCAACAATTAGACATTATCAAAAACGTTAGAGATATTGAGAGACTTTTTAATGTTCTAAAAATATTTAGTGGTAATGTTACCTAAAAACAATAAAATATGTGAATTGACAAGTATGAAAATATCTGAAATTTATTCATAATTTAGTATTAATAAATAAAGAAAATAAGTCAATTTTTAAATTGCTTTACATTTAATAAATGTAATCTACCAATGAATCGAATTACAAATATTTTCAATATTATTGATTTTTACCCTTAATTAATCTTCTTACTTATAAGATTCTTACCCAAATACTTTTTTCAGACTCAACATGAGTTAGTAAAGTGATGTAATCCTGGAATGAAATCCAGGGACCAAATAAACAAGTACTAGGATTAAAAATGTATCCAGCATATTGTAAAAAATTTGATAGTAATAAAAAAGGTTGTGGTGTACTAGTGGCTTTATCAAAAGACATACTAATGGCTTTCATTGCTGCTATCATGATCACACTACGAATTTTATGCCACGCTACGGGATCCATAGTATATTCACTGAAAGAGAAATCAATCAGATTCAAATATTTTAAGAGTGTATACTAATTATTTAATGATTTTCATGATTCTTAATTATAAGATCACTTACCAATATAAAATAATTACTAAACTTATGATAAACATTTCAATTCGATAATTTTGTAATGGCCTAAGTGGTAAGCATAAGCATCCATACGATATGATTACATAGATTAATAATAAGTATAGACTTTCAGGTACAAAGTAATAAATGATAAATATTCCAAAAATTATTGATATACTGTGCAGTAATTCATTTGATGAAATTTTCCCTGAAATTAGTAAAAAATATTCTTTACTTCTATAAACTTATTTTATACAGTTTATATTGATATTAAGTTATTTAAACTACTGGAATATGAAAGTTGGAAGATATACGGAAGAAGGTTTAGTAAGGGTTTAAGCAAGATGAGGTACGGATTAGGAATAGATTTAAAAAAAATTCGGAAAAATCTTAAAAAAAGACCGAACATATAAAGAAGCTTTAAAAAAGATTTGGAGAAGATTTAGAGAAGCTGTAAGGTTGAAGTTTATTTTGAACAAAGAATTAAAGATGGTAGCGTTAATTATTTTTATTATCTAAAAGTAAAATTATAATTCTAGAAAACTGGAATAAAATAATAGCTGCATTTACCGGCTTGTGTTATTAACAATTTGAATATAATGTTGAATAAAAATAATGGAAACAGATATTCAAGAGTTCCATAAACACTAGGGATTAAACAGTTTTCATAATTATGCTGAAAAGTTTCTGGAATTTGTTGTACTCTATCATAATCATTGCACTCACTACATTCATTATCGTCATAATAAGAAATATCCATTTTGAGTAATAAATAATATCACATATAAAACCACATCAAAGATTGAGTGTGTTCAGGACAACTCAAACAACTCAACATGTGTTGAGTCAACACATTTAGTTTGAACAGGATTACTGATTACAGCGCCACTACCGCTAAAATTTGAATGGAATTAATAAATTCAGTTCATATTAATGGATATTTATTATTCCCTTTGTCGTATTAATTATTTTTAAAAATAAAATTATATAAGCGTACGAATGCCATTTTTATATATACGTAATAAATATTTCATACTCCACGAGGTCATTCAGTTATAAATAATAATAAAATATTGACAATAATTTATTATCTACCACTATTAACATAAAATAAAGGAGGATTAAAAATTGATTGATGATTTGAGACGAAGCGGTTGTTGGATCACGTGACTGCCATGTGATCAAGTTTGAAATGGCGTCATGCGATCAAAATCAAACATTTCTTGAGAATATTGTAAATATTATGGAAGATTCAATTTTGCTATTATGATATTTAGACCAAATAGATATAGTTTTTATTTTTTGGAAGTTGGTAGCCATTTTTTCGAGTCTACAAAATTTCGAGCTTGATGGAAAAACTCGCTCTCAGTTTCTAAGTGAAGTTTAAGTCAGTTATTTACTTCAGTCACTGCCAGGTTAGTTTGTGGAGTTGTGTATTGTTTTATATTTCAACCGTTACAATATTACTGTACTTATAAGAACTTTATTATATTATTTCTAATTCAATTTTTTCATTATTAAAAACTGTAAATAGATAAATGTTTTTTTTTTGTATCAAAATATTAATGTAGATGTAATTTATTACTTAATATAGTATTTCTAACCTCTTAATAAGTATTTTATCGTTTCCCGCCAGTTATGAACGTGAAAGAAAGTCTAAAAATTACATTCAAGTAATTATCTACACATTCGCTAATATTCTAATAAATAAAAATGGATATTAACAAGAAGATTTCCGAATGGTGCCATGCTATCACAGCAGGAAATTTAAAAGGCATTGCATCTGACTTAAGGGTAATCTTACTATAATTATTTCTCTTAAATACTATATGAATAAAATAATTTTGACATAATGTTTATATTTTCAGAAAGTAGCTTATCAACATCAATCAAGTCAATTGGATCACTCTTTAATAAAATTACTTATCCGTGTGTGTCGCTTTGCAAGTGATTGTGATACATCAAATAATACTGTGGGCATGGATATATTTGATATCACTGAAGCAGCATGTTCAGCTTTAAGAACTATGCCAGTGCCAGATAATTTTTTCTCGGCAATATATCACGTTATCAAAACATTATTAAAGATGAAATTATATCAAGAAGCTCAAGAATTGAGTAAGTTCATTTCTTCAGGGACACTTTGGAGTAAAGCAAGCTCAAATATCACTAAAAATTATAATCAATTTTTTTGGATGTGGTATGATAATGTTAAATTATTACTAGATAATTTTTCTCCAAACAATTTAATGCAGATTGAAGTCATACTAGATTTGATACAATTTAATTTAAATATGGGAACATCAATGAAGATAGATAATCATGCCAATTTTATTTCAATTTTGAAAAATTATTATATCAAAATAAAAGCACTTGATGACGGAAAATATGAGAAAAAAATTCATATGATTACTTTAGATATTTTTTCTCGCGCTGATATTTATTTAACTGAGGATGATAAATTTAAAACATTTCAAGACATCATATGTCTAATAAGTGAAATGATTCAAAACAGAATAACAGAAAAGGATATCTTATCGATCAGCCGTGAAATTACTTCAATTCTGGATGTGTTCAAAAAATGCATGAAGACAAATGCAATATGTTACCTTTACTTCAAACTCATATATCAAAGTTATACAATGTTTACAAAGCCCGTTTGTGAACTAACTAAAGAATGCTCGACAAAAATTTTAATAAACAACATTAAATCAACTTTGCAAAAATACGGATTCAATTGTGGAATTTATATGACGTTGTGTCTCATCAGTAAATTTATAGCTCAAGTAATAAATTATTGGGTACAGGATTTAGAATTAAATTATACTTATAATATCGTGGCTTATCATACACTTCATATGATTTCACTAACAAACGCTTTAAGTAATTTATTCTCTGATTTTGACAAAGATTGTTCGTGTCAGCCACTTTGTGGTTTGAAAAAGGACCTCTACAACAATGTGTACTTGAAAATACAACCTCTGGCAATTATACGAAATTTAGGAAATTATTCAGAATCTAGCTTGTCAAAGGAATTACGTGATGCTACAATTAATATTGTGAAAGAGGTTATTTCAATAATCATTCATATAAAAGAGAATTCTTGTGAATTTTGGTTACCACTTTGGAGTGCGTTAGAATCTCGTATGTTAGTTATTGCAGGAAACACTGAAAAAATTGATTGTGATTTTAGTTGCTTGATGTACAAAATGTTATCTTCAAGTATTAATCGTTTAAAAGCCATGAATCCATCAAATGAAAAATTAAAAAATTCTTGTGAAACAATATTGCCATCAGCATTGCACAGAATATCCGTTTGTATGTATTTAGCCAAACGATATCACGAATCTATGATTGCGTCTTCATTGAATGCATTTTTTGGCTACAAAAATTCTGAATGTAAAGCCTTTCGGATGTGGGCAAATGTTAAATCTCTAGATCCAAGTGTACAAGATATAACTATTTTCCAGTTCCTACAGTCCAATATGAAAGAGTATGATGATTTTGGTATAAAAATTAACATTAAACTCTTGACTACTTTGGACAAAGAATTAATGTGTTTGAAAGAAATAAAAGGCCTTCAAAATCATGCTAGTAATTTATCTTCATCAATAATTGCTGTACTAGACTTTATGGAGTTGATGAATATGACTCCTATATCGTACATTAAAGGTGTTGTATTATTGGGATGTGATTTACTCAATTATAGATCCGATTTATCAATTCAAAGTTACATCAAAAAATCAATAGCTTATTTAGCAAAGATGGAATTAACAGCTAGTCATGAATTGTTAATTTCACACTTGAATTTTTTCAAATTTATTGAAACACTTCGAGAAATTCAAAATATAACAAAAAAAGAAATGGAAAGTTCCAAAATACGATTGTATGCTTCAAAGGAAGTTAAAATTACTGATCCAGCAATGAATGTTGTGCCAACTTATAACTTAATTAATTTAAAAACTTCAAAGGATGTTTCTGTACAACTTGAAAAAGTTATACATATATGGATAGAGTGTTTCAACAAAGGAGTCTTTAAGAGCAATGATGAATTTATAGATGTAAATACTTCTCTAACAATTGTTAAAACTGCTGCAGAGTATGCTAGTTTTTATAAATACAACAAATTAGAAATTAAAGCTTGGAAATTAGCATTTAATTTGGCAGAAATCGCTCAAAATCATCAGGCCATAATTTACATTACTGGTCGTAGTATTGCATCTTGTATGATGAAAAGTCAATGGATAGAAAAAGCTTTTGAGTCTATAAGTTATTTAAAAAATTCTAATGAAAAAAACGATACTCGAACTATAATTATTTTTAAATTAAATTTATGTAATTATTATTTTCACAGTGGGAAAATCCAAGAGGCAAAACACTGTTTAGATGAAATCATGTCTATGACTGAAATGAAATTTGCTCTTGCTAATTTTCCAACATACTTAATGAGCTTGGATATATTGCTATCACATGGATTGAATTACCAAGAAGATAACACGTTAATTAAATATTCTGAAACTCTTATAAAAGGATTATATACAGTATTAATTATTGAAGATAATTCAGATTTAAATATTCCACATGATCAACAATTATTTCAATTAGATACTGCTTTTAAATTTTCTGATCATGTAGCCTTGAGAATGAATAATTTGGTCGCTTTTCGTGAGATTTCTGCGCATCTTGTACGACGTCTTACTATGGCACAAAAGCTTGGCTCAACTTTTCATGCTGCTGAGTGTTTAAAAAATCTTTGTTATATTGATCTCTCTAGAAATCAACTAGATGATTGTGAAGTGAAACTTCAAGGACTTGAACATATGCTCCAGTTGGAAACGTTTGAAGCATCAACGAGAAGAAAAAACTCACCAAGTATCAATGTTTATAGTGAAGTTTCACCGAGCAAAATGGTTGAACCAGTTCGTGATATATTTCAAAATGATACTTCTCCTGTTCTTGCAAAGAAAATTTTCATTTCGCCAGATTTTATGGACCACGATAGAAAATGCAGATGCTTCCAATGCTGGAATACTTGTTATCAAAATTTAGTATTTTCTTGTACATATATTAGAGCTCAGTTATATGCATTACAAGGGCAAAACGAGAATGCACTTCAACATTTTTATGGAGCATTCCAGATAATCCGTAAATTATTAGACTTTTCCAAAAATCGTTACGGACATGAGTTTGAATACTACAATGTTGTGGAATATATTTTATTTCTCTTGGATCTTTTCCAATTTTTTGTACATTCTTTATTTATTGATCCTCAGGAAGTATTAAGTATAGTGTTTCATGCTATTGAGATTTGTGAGAAATACGGTATAATAAATCATCCTGTTTATTTTAATGCAAAAGAGCTTATCTTTGAATATCAATTCCAAAGTATTTTTAATGAAGATTTTTATTCGTCATACGTTGTACCAGATATTAATACTTTTGAAATAAATAATATTCATGAAGTCAGCCATGAAATAATAGACTGCTATACACCTGCCCGTCAAGTTGATCAAAAAGCTATAAGGCCACGGAGAAAAACACCACCAGTTATATCACTTGATAATGCTTTTGTTGATACGCTCGAAGATGATGAAACTCGTATCAAGTTGCTGCCGTTAATTGACAAACCTAAAGAAAAAAAAGAGGAGAAAAGTCTGTTGAAAGTCAGACCTATTCGAAGAAAACTTTCAGATACAGAATATTTAAGTTCTGATGGCAGTTCAGATTCACATCAATCTGATATAACTGAAAAATTAGTATCAGAAAAATCATCAACGTCGAAAAAATCTACGACTATTAACCAAAAGAAAGAAATACTTACTTGTAAATCTGAACAATGTAAATCGAAGAAGACTCAACCAATGACATCAAATGTTAATTTGAAAATTTATGACGACACTAATAACAAAGAACAAAGTAAGAAATCATCGTCACGGGTTAAAAGAAATACTCGAAAATTGAATGAAGTTGCAATTTCAGTAGAAAAAAAGGTATCTCATGAGAAGAATAAAGAAATTGATGAGATGGCAGACATTTTGGAAGAAATAAAAATAACTGAAACAAGTTTAAAGACCAGAAGTCGAGGATCTAATAGTAATGAATCTAGTACAAAGGAAAAAGGTAGCAGTTCTAGTTCTACAAGTTTAACAAGAACACAAAAACTATCGGAGAAAACGAAAAAAGAGATCGTAGCAGAAAGTGAAGATGAAGTGATTGATGCAAGTTATGTGGAAGTGAGACGCTCGAAAAGGATTAATAAACAAGCCTCAATAAGAGGTAAAACGAATTCAGCAAGTGTTCTAGAGCCAAGAAATTCTTAAAGTCGATTAATTAATCAATTAATATATATTTTTGTAAACAAGAAATATTTCTTATTTTGATTTCTGTAAAAAAAAGGACAAAGGAGTTTGTGTTTTTATAATTACAGTGGGTAAAAAAATAAATGTTTCAATAAAATTATTAGAAAATGTTTATTAAAATATTTTGTATATACATCTCGATAGAAAAAGAAATGATAAATCTAACGAGATAGAAGAACTTCAGTAAGATTAATTGTACACTTCCTGAAACTTAGATATTTATTAAACATGGCATAAATAGTAATAACTGATTTGTTCTTTTGTTCTAATTAAATACTGTACATACGAAAATTTGAATTAACACCTTAGACTATTTGTCCTCACACCAAGTCTCATTATTACTATCATTATTACTATTTAAATATCACACAGTTTTCCATTTCAAACGCTATTATTCTTCATAATAAATAACTAAATGGTAATAATAGGGCGAGAATCGTGGCTTTTATTTAGCTTTTGTGAAAACTAATAAATTTATATTTATTAATGTGATCGTACGATACTGCTTTTAAGGCACTAGAGAACTAAATCCAAATATTTTTATTTCTTGGAATTTTAATAAACAAAAATAAAAAAATTGCCATCTTTGGAATGAATGAATAAATTATGCATGCATTTATTTTTTTGTAATGAAATAAAAAAAAATCTTTAATTGAACATAGCGTTTTGAAATAATTCAAAAAAAAAAAAAACATTATCGTACTTTTTCCAGAAAAAGATTTATCACAACTCAACATAAGTATTAAGTAATTAACTTTCAGTTACAGCCATAAATATGTGTTATTGGAAGCTCCAAAATGTTTTTAATCATATTAATATTTATCAATAATATTTTTTCATTTCACTGAAATGCAAAAAAAAAAAAGAATATTCAACATTAAAAAAAGTTATCAATTATTTCTTCTTTTTATTTACAAACTTTGTCGTTAACTTTTTTTCAGTAGAACATAACTTCAGGAGAGCTGTCAATGAAAAACATTGTATCGCTCTCTTTGGAAGATTTTCAATTATAACACTTTGTAAACACGATAAAGATTGCAACAAGAGAAAGAAAAAAATGAAAAATCAACCTCGCACTGCTGTATTAATCTAAATAGTTTTCTTAGAAAAGTAGAAATCACAGTCTAAAGATGAGTATAATTAAAGTCGGAGTGAACAGCCTGGGGATCAATATCCTTTTCAGGATTCAAAGCTTTGACAGCGGCGGCTTCTTCTTGAGTTTTAGCAAGTTCCATCAATGCTAATGCTCCTAGCCATTTTTGATTATCTTCTGGTAGCGGTGGATTAATGACATTTTCTTCTTGCTTTACAACCAAAACTTTAGCACTAGAGTCATTACTTACTTTTTGTTGAACATTACGAATTGACTCATGATTTGAAGAATTTAAATTATAACTACCAGCTAACATAAGAACAGTGGGCCTTTTTTCATTCTCCACGTTCCTATTAACAGCCATTCTTCCTTGATCATCTTCGAGTCCTTTAGGAACTTCGGTAAATATTTGATTATCTCTAATACTCTCTCTATTCCAAGACAGTTCTGATATATTTGTATTACTAAGCTGGGGACAATTCATCTCACTTGCTACAGATGCTGGTGTACCCTCAGCATTAGTTCCAATAATTTGATGAGAATCCCAATGTACTCTAGATTCTATATTGGTCTCATCGAAAACTAATTCTTTAGCTACATTAATACCAACCCTTTCAGATCTACTTTTAGGTGAAGCCATGTCCCAGTTCAGTGGTTTACTATCGTAAAAACCTTCTTCATGCTTCTCCACACTCTTCTCGTTCAGAAAATCAATGTTGTCAGTTGAATTAACAGAAGTACTATTAGATTGAGTATCCCATCGAAGGGGTTTAGCCAACTGTTGCTCCAAACATGCCTCTCTAAGCCATCGTTTCTTTGGCTGAAGTCTATCAAACATTCGACGCACAGGAGTAACGGCAAGTTTTGAGGTACTCTCTTCATCTTCTGAATGTTGTAGAACTGCACAAGCTTCTGTACCTTCATCATCTTGACTATCTTCTTGGCTATCTTGACTTTCACTGCAATAAACTCGTTGATTAGAAGAGTTACGTTCCAAGTTTTCTTGTTCTCCAGAAGAATCCATCATTAAACCTTTTCTTGATTTAATTCTTTTGTGATTTTCTGAACTACTTTTCCACGGTTTTTTCTTTCGATCTTTACCAGTCGGTGTTCTATCTTCTCGTTCGCGAGCCATTTTATATCTTTCTAACCACCTTGTGACGTCGTGAGGTAGTTCCGTATTACCAGACACTGGTTTAAGTACAAAATCATCAGAACGAGTGAGTGTTGCGTAAGGATGATCAGGACAATGTCTATTAGCGTGAGTAAATCTCATTTCACATCCTGGACCAGTGCATAAAAATGGTTTTTCTCCAGTGTGCAATCGTTGATGAGTCTTGAGTTGCCCAGATTGTGTAAATGCCTTTGTACAGCCTGGATAATCACACGGATAAGGTCGTTCTCCTATAATAAAAATAATACGAAGGTAATTAATCAAGTAATTAAATAATTCAATTGAAGAAGTAATGAAATAAATGAAAATTGTGAGAAAGAAATTGAATTACAAGGTGTCAGTATTGAAATATTTCTTTCATAACAGACACATGTTAACAAAAGCTATATAGCTACACTCTCGAGTCATGCTGTTCTACACAAAGAAAGACGGGGAGCCATTTAATAATTTAAAGCGCGTGTGATGGCGGTTGGCGGGACGCGTGATTACGCGTGACCGTTACAATCAAGAATTACAATGAATCGTAGACAATAAATTATCATTCCATACAATTTAATTGGTTGATATTATATTCCAAACGTTTGAAATGATTTTTTTTATCACACGTTTAAGTCAATTTCATTCATAAAATTTTTATAGGGTCAATAAATAATGCTAATTACCTGTGTGTGTACGTAAATGAGCTTGAAGACTTTTCTCTCTTGGAAATACTCGGTTGCAAAATGTACATTTGATACTGCTTGGTGATGTGCTTCCTTGCATCATTAAATTTGTCAAAGCATCAGCACGCGGTCGACCTCGTCGATGACTTTCAGAGCCCGCTGATCGTGTTCCCGGGCCGGCTTTGATGGACGCCATGCCATGATCCCTGTACTCTGGTGATGAACACGAGCTCCCGGGACTCAAATTAACATTTCTTGCCTCTTCACCCCAATTCCAAGGATAAAGCATTGTGTCGCACATTGGTGGGCTTCTTGGCATCGCGTCGGCTGCTGATGAATGAGATTCCCGCTGTGGCGTGTGCATCTCCATCCCTTTCTCTCAATCAGTTACAATCAGAACAAATTTTGTTCTCACAATTGACTATTATCACTCACTTATTACGTTAACTTAACTGATCACAAGGTAATAATCGCTACCTTTCTTCCAATCCTGATTAGCAGTTTTTCTCCCGCACGAACAACCCCACGCTCGCGCCACCTCACCTATTTATTACTGGCCGCGTGCAACTGATTCAAACCGCCAAAATAATGTGGCGGCGAATATAATGGCGACATAACGACGCTAAAAGCAATCTCAAGCGCTAAAATCACATTCGCCTATGGCGTTGTCGCTTTCATGAAAATCGATCTTTATACTAACAAGCGACACAATTATAAATTGTTATTTAATTCCTAAATTGAATAAATTTTTATTACAACAATAATACGTAAAATAAAATTAGAATTTTTTCTTTCATACTGAAATTATAAACTAAATAACATTTAATTATCTAAATTTTATGGTGGGGGAATAGCGCGCTGGGTGCAAGACGATTATGCAGTCCCTCCCCAAGCCTCAGACCTCGTGGTAGGCAATCCTTGACTCGGCCATATTGAAATATTGGATGTCTCTGTTACACAAGGGCTCAAGAGTAGCCAAGAAATTTTCGCATAATCCTCGTCGAAAAGAGGATAAATATCGCCATGGAGAACTCATACAGCATCACCGTAACTAACAAATTCTTACTGGCCCTGGATGAAGACGTGGATCCTCTGGAATTGCTCAAAGTTCGAGAGCAAGAAAAGGAAGCAAAGAAGAAGGAAAAACTTTCGGAGAAAGAGAACAAAAGTAAGCAAACTGATGTCCAAAAATCAACCGGCGTCAAAACTCAAAAGAGTCGAGTAATCAAAGATGTTCAACAGCAACCTCAGAAGACCCAGGAGCCTAAGAAGGATCAAGGTTAGAATCATTTTATTCACTTGATTATTCACCTGACCTCGTGCTTGCTACTATGGCCGACTTAGACCTCGTGTTCACTCTCTACCGTCAATCATTTATTAATTTATAGCAATACTAATTCGACTAATAGTAAATAAACACTTGTTAATTTTCTCATTTCATATTCCACATCAATTATTTCTGGTTATTCAAATAGTTATTACCATTCTAGCTTGATTGCCATTTAGCTTTTAGTATTGGTGATTAAATATGAGCTCAATACATTTACCGGTATATTCGGGCGCGAACATTAACATTTCAAGCTTTCAATACATTACTGATAACAATACTATGTATATTGTGTCTATTTATCAAAATGTTTTTTTTAGTGTTCTTTATCAAAGACATTTTTTAAGTGAGAAAGATGTCTTGTCCATATAAGGATTGCCACAATGACTTGTTTTTTTTTCAATCAATTTTTATTTTTTCAGTAATAACTAATTACTCATAATTGACATTATTTTTGTGATTCTTCTCACTTTAATAACGACATATAATGGCTAAACAACAGCTGTAAGGGTCAAATAAATTTAAACTGTCCCATGTGCTCTTGCAGTAGCCAACATGTCCGCCATGAGGAATGATAAAAATACAACTATCACCTTACCTCCCACCGTAGTTTTCTATTCAAGATACATAAGTCGTTCTACATAGTAGTTTTTTTTATTTCTTCATCAAAATTATAACTTTCACAAATAATCATTTTTCTGTCCTTTTAAATTCTTCTGTCAACATGATTTCATACAAAAGTACACTCTAATTTAATCAAATATCTAAGAATGGCAATAATTCAATTATTCTAATCTTTCTATTATATGAAAATGGTGCATTAATTATTTAATTATGAAGTGTTATAAATAATGAAAAATCATATGATGTCAGTATAAAATTACACAATAGATCAAGGATCTGATGAATCACGTGATTGTTATCTCTTTTTTTGCTTTCAGTTGAGAAAAAATCAACTCAACCACGATCGGGTGGTGGTGATCGCAATGTCAAGTTCTCCGGCGAGTCGAGAGAAGATCATAACAATAGACGTAACCGCGAGGATGGTGAACGTCCTCCTCGTAACCAAGGTGGAGAAGTAAGACGAGGACCTCCTGGGTAATTATTACTTTTATTTTAAATATGTTATTTAAGGAGTTTCATAAACAATAGATTAATCTAAGCATTTACAGATATTGAGAAATATAAAAATTTCTAAAAGTGAAATTAAACATGAGCTTTATGGTATCATGATTTTTACATTAAAATTAATATTTATCAATTACCTTTTTTTATTAATAAGTGATTATTTATGATTCAATCTCATTAATAATTGATGAAACATGCTATAAATAACTAATAAATATTTGTTATTTAATAGAGAGGGCCGAGAAAATCGAGATTTCCGCAACTCCAATGATCAACGTGGAGATTTTGGTGATCGTCGTCCACGTGGTGGATCTCGAGGTGGAGCAGGGCCACGTGGAGGACGTGGTGGACCACGAGGTCCTCGCAGCGGTTTCGATAGTCGTGGAAAAAGGGAATTTGATCGGCAATCTGGCTCTGACAAAACGTATGTATTTAATTTTAATTGATTTTATGGTGATTTACGCGCGACGAACAGTGTTACTTGGCTTGAATAGAGTTTAATATTCCTATAAATGTTTTCCACGTGTTAAGTCTTTTAAATGATTTTATTTTATGTCTGTACTCAGGCAATCGAGGTAAGCGTTTCAGCCACGTAACACATATCTAATATAGATCTTTCATCGCATTTTTGCGACGATTGATTTATACCATATATTAATGATAACAGGCATGGTTACAGCGGAGTGAAACCAATTGACAAGAAGGACGGCGCTGGTAGCCATAACTGGGGAACTCATAACGATGAAATTGAGTAAGGGTCAAGTTTATTTCATGATAAATCACAAAAATAGTGTCATAAAGAGTGAAATTAATAATAAAACTTCTTGTCATTTTATTAGAGAGAGCCTTAATCCTGAAACTCAGGACTGGAATAATGAGAAGCCTGATGGTGAGACAACTCAACCACCTGCCGAAAATAAAGATGCCGAAACTCCTGTTGATACTTCCACTGAGGAGAAACCTGCTGAAGAAGAAACGAAAGAGCTTACTTTCGATGAATGGAAGGCTTTGCGTGGAGCACGTGCTAAGCCTACTTACAATTTGCGTAAAGCTGGTGAAGGTGAAGACCTGAGCCGCTGGAAGAAGATGTATGCTCTTGAAAAGAAAAAGGAAGGCGCTGAGGAAGATGACGATGAAGAAGAAGAATATGATGCTGCTGCTGAGTATCCTCAGCGTGTTGGCAGACAAAAGCGTGTTTATGACATTGAGATTCAATTCAGCGATTCACGACGTGGTGCTGGAGGTCGTGGTGGACGTGGCGGTCGCGGTAATCGTGGAGATCGTCCCAATGGTCGTGGATTTGGTAATCGTGGTGGCGCACCACGAGATGAGTCTCGTTCATCGGTAAGTTATTGATATTTATTTGTATTAATTTTTATTAACCTGGAATAAATAATAATATGAGATGTTTTTTTAAGGATGTTAAGATTCCAACTGTAGATCAAAGGTCGCCACGTGGTCGTCCTCAGAATGCTCCAAAAGTCGACGATGAACATGATTTTCCCTCACTTGGATAAGTTGTATCCATTAATCGGTGAAGCTGAAGAAAAATAGCCAGACCCACACTACCATATACACTAAACCACCAGTGAAGTTAAAACGATCATTACTTTAAACTAGACCTGCTACTTTTACTATATTTGTCATCACAATCTCGCATCGTTATGAAAAATAATAATTATTCAGTAAACATATACGTAATAATACATCGATACGTATGCACGCGAACAGAAAAAAAATTAACAGATGAAAGTAGGAGAGAAATCAAGGAGAAATTATTTTTTTCTTGCAGAATTCATTTGTGCAACGTTTGTTTTGTGGATCGCTTAAGTACTAGTCTAAGAACTCCTGCGAGAGAATACAGAAGATTAAAACCTACAGAGATAGAGTGAAATAAAAACTTACTGTAACGTGAGAGTGTGAAAGAGAACGACAGATTTCTTTCTTTTTTTCTTTTTTTTTTTGTATTGATTTATGCTGTGTGAATGTTATAATCAGGCGAAATGAGGACATTCAAAATTCCTCAATAAAATGAATTAGATTTTATGTTCATGCGTAGCATAATGATTTAATGTTTAACGTATGCGATAGATTGATATTTTATGAATTTCGTGCAGTAACAGAAAAAAAAGAAACAGTAACCAAAAGTGCGAACGAACGAGTAAGATTTTTACAATAAAACCTGTGAAAAAAGCGGAGATTGCAATGGCATTCTTAATTATTTTGTGTCACATTTGAGGGCCTAATGTAGGCTGAAAATAACACCGATTACTTATATAAAAGCTTGTATAAATACTTTTTAGACGTAAAGCTTCAAGAACATTTTTCGTTTTATAATTTTTATACGGTGTTTGAGGCAGCCTTTCTCTGTATTAAAGAAATCGGTTATCATCTTATGCCGTGCTCATAATTTAAAGGACTTTGAAATATATCTTTCTATATAAGAAAATACAAATATTTCAAATCCTAAATTGTCTAGTTAGAGATTAAGACGTAAGTTTGGCTTATATAGAAATGTATAGGAATAATTTCCCCAATTAAGATATAACCAAAATCTTAAGATTATAATTAATAAGCTGACCCATTGCCCCTCTCCCATGTATACAAATCATAACAATTTCGTGAGAGCAGGTTCATAAATTTGAATTTGTATTTAAAGATTTTAAGAAACATTAGTGATACAAGTAGCGGGTAAACAAAAAAAAATGTAGAAAAATATTTACGCGATATAATATTAATGATAATGATGTATTTACGCATCTATCATACTCAATATTGAACCGCTACATTGGTTACTTATTGTTTGTTATAATTAACAAAAGAATGAGAATTGATAAAAAAAAAAAAACTTAATAATTTTTCCATAATGGAAATTCTCACTGTGAATATTCAAAACAGTTCCGTGGCTTTGGTATATCTGTAAATAACAATCATTTACAATAAATAGTTTCGAGACTAGCTAATAAATGCTAATTAGATCATGTCGAAAAAAAAAAAATTAAATATCTATTAATGGGCTTCAATGATGCATTTATTCATCACACAATCTACTTTAGAGTAAAGTATAAAAATATTATATATTTTTCATAATTTACGCGTCATTTTTAGAAATATTTTATTTTCGTTGTCAGTAAAAAAAATAATTTTGCGTTTGTAGAAATAGTACATGACTAAGTAATTTTTTTTTTTTTTAAATACAGCTCGTAAATTCGATTTTATTTCTACAAATTCATAATATATTTAGCACGTATAATATAAATTCCAAATGATCATAAATTTTCCCTCCATTAAATTCTATGTTAGACAGCATTCCTAACATTTTTTAGTGTATTATTTGGGTTATTTTTTAAAATTACTTCCTTTAATAATAAAAAAAAAAACCTGACTTAGTAAGTAGCAAGAATTTCATAAATTCCATTTTAATTGAATACGTAATTAATAAAAAAAATCAATAAGGAAACAACTGTCGACAATTTATAATTAGCGCGCTAGGCTAGGGATTTTTATAGGTGGACGTATTTTTGGTTTTTTTTTTAATACAGAGGGCGCCAAGTATCACCGACAGAGGCGACAAGTGCAACGCGTACCAAAGACTTTGGATTGGCGAATGAAGAGGGCAGGGGAAGGGAACGACATAAAAGAGTCTTGTTTGTCGTCTTATAGGGACAGAGGGCGCTGACAGAGAAAAAGAGAAGGATAAAATATAGTATTCCCGAGTTGTTAAAGGGAGAAAGTATGATAATAGGGAGCAGGATAACGAAGCACGGGAACGCGAGGGAGGGCGGAACAGGAGCGCACGCCGTAGTCACGGTCTCCAACCCCCATGTACAACCCGTGTCCGTCGAATTTTAATGGCGGCCGACCCCGAATCCCGCTTAGTGTTATTGTAATTGACGTACGTCACAACGTGAAGTTTGTGTTGGGCCACTAAGTGATTATTCAAAGACTGGATTAAGCATTGAAAAGTGAGTGATTCACTCTGATATCGTCTTTATAGTACAACGACCTGGGGAGTATTGAAAAGATTCATGTGCATTCTATCATGGTGAAGACTCGCGATGTATCGAAGTGACTTGCAGGCATTTTACAACGTTACAATGTGCTTTTTTGCTCTCTTTCGAATAAGGTAAATATTCTAATCAATTTCATACATAGTTTATCAAGTAAAAAACGTTAGTTGGTTGATTATTAAATGTGATAAGACTGCATGCAGTCCTTATAATCCTGTTTTTAAATCATAATCATACATAGCAATTACTCTTTATTAATCTTTTCTGTTCGTTTCTCAGATCGGAGAACAATCAGCGTCTTTAATCATTTTTTTGCAAGCATTTATTCAACGTGGATTTTTTTTTGATAAATTAAACGGAGAGAAAATTGATGATGATTCGGGGCGATAGCCTTGCCTTTGTGCGAAGACAGTGGCCTTAGCTGTCAAGTGCGCCTACGTTCGCTCCCCCTCTTCCTTTTACCCCGCTTTCTCCCTACCGTTTCTCTCTTTCTCTCTCTCAGTACGCGATCGGAGGGCGGTGTGTGTAAGGGCACTCTCGAGAATCGTGGGGAGAGAGCCACCTGGGCCCGTTTGTCATTGCGCTGCAGCCATCTCTTCTGCATTCCTCATTAGTCATTATTAATTTACAAGCTAAAATATCGATGAGGAAAAAGAATTTTGCTGTATTCGAAAATGATGTCATTGGAGATTTAATATTTGACTCCAAAACATCCACATTGGTATTGACATTCATTCGTTTTTAATTTCTCCACAAACTATGTCTTTGTTCTTTCATTCTACATTGCTGTGTAATTCCTAAATAAATGAAATAGCAATCAACTTTATACGTTTTCTTAATTGTTAATTTATCTTCGTTTACATTGAGCTTTCAGTCTGCATCATGTTTCGCTTGAAGCTGACAACTAATCCTTGAGGATTTGTTATAATTAATGAAACAATATACTTAGTATAGATGATATGTTTTTATCAATAGAAAATGCAATTCTGTACATAGATAAATAATGAAAAAACATCTGTCGTTGTTCCAGGAATTCGAGACAGTGAGCATCATGTTGGAGTGTGAATACACGCGAAGCTGGTAGCGCCTTTTAGACATTGGCCAACTACCAGCAGGGTTCTTTTTTCCCTTTCTATTCCTCTTCCCTTCTCTTTTTCCTTCCTCTTTTGCTCTTTACCCATTTCAGCTTTTTCTATTTATTTTATTTTTTTTTTCATCTTTATACTTTTCTCTCATTCCCAATCTCTTAACCCTGTATGTTTTATCCACTTTTTCCTCGACGAAATGAGACTCTTTGGACCAAGAGCTTTTGCTGTTATGTTGGTGGTCCCGCCGCCACCACGATTGCGTTCAATAAAATGCCAAAGCTGGTCCATCGAATCTTTCCTTTCATCAGCATGGCTATTCACTATAGCCCTTGTTACATTAACAATAAGCACAACAGCGCAAACAGTACCTTCTTCATCTCCTTCTACTTCTGTTTTATCCTCCTCTTCCTCTTTAACAACTATTCCACAAGAGAACTTAACACTCCATATCGTCGCACGATTTCCACCTGAAACAGAACGTTCTGATTTCAATAAATTAAATCTGAATTCAACGAGAGAAGGTCCTCTTCGGTTTAATCACTTGACCATTGATCCCTCCACCGGACGACTTTATGCTGGTGCTGTAAACAGACTACTTCAATTAGATGCTAATCTTAAATTAGAGCAACTTGTTTCGACTGGTAACGATATGCTTTCATTTTATAATCATCAATTTATCTATTAAGATAATCAAATAATCATAAATAAATATATTACAGGACCAAGGTTGGATAATCCCCAGTGTCACGCAACCGGATGTACATCAAGAGAAGTGACCACGTCGCTCATGGATAACGTCAACAAACTCTTAATCGCTGATCTCGAATCCAAAACTTTAATAGCATGCGGCTCGCTTCTTCAGGGTGCTTGCGAAAAGTATAACATGTTAAATATTTCCATAGCACCGAGTTTCCTGCCACATAGTGTAGCTGCTAATGATGAACATTCTTCAACGTATGCATTTATTGGACCAAAACGTTATAACGCTTGGGAAAGAACGACGAATATTCTTTATGTTGGAACGACGTTTACCAATAACGGCGAATATCGTCATGATGTACCTGCCATCTCCAGTCGTCATCTTAATACCTTAGAGTACGCTCATTATACATTCCACAAGCAGTCAATACTGCACATCGACGTCAAGTATCGAGATCACTTTCTTGTCAAGTACGTTTATGGTTTCAATGCAAGTGATTATGCTTACTTTGTCTTGGTCCAGAAACAATCTTATCTACCCGAGCAAGAAGAACTTGGCTACGTGTCAAGATTAGCCAGAACCTGTATTAATGATTCCAATTACGATAGCTACACTGAGGTAACGTTACAGTGTATTGTTGATACGGATAATGGAACTCAACAAATCTATAATTTAGTGCAAGATGCCAAAGTCGCTGCTGCTGGAAGTGACTTAGCCAGACAGTTGGGTATTGGTGTAGGAGATCCAGTATTCGTGTCTGTATTTTCACCGAGTAAAGGCATCACTAACGAACCATTACCTCGATCAGCTTTGTGTGTGTATAGTTTGCAAGACATCGAAACAAAGTTTAATGAAAATATCTATATGTGTTTCAATGGAAGTATCAGGTATCGTAATATGGGCTATATCAGTGGACCAATTCAAGACGGTGAGTGTCCAGTGGCTGGAACCACGGGTAATTATCTCAATTTTTGCGAAGTTGGACTCAAGATATCAGGCGTATCTCCAATTGTCGGAAGATCTGTTCTACAATTTCCTGATAGCTTTATCACATCAATTACAATTGCAAATACTGAAGCTCATACAGTTGCATTTTTGGGAACCAACGACGGAGTTCTGAAAAAAGTCTTATTATCTGGATCTGAATCATTAGTTTATGAAAGTGTTGTTGTGGATAGTGGACAAAGACTGATGTCAGATATGGTTTTATCGCCACAAGGTGAATATCTGTATGTATTGTCATCTTCAAAAATTTCAAAAGTTAAAGTTGAACATTGTAGTGATTACACTAGCTGTAGCACGTGTTTAGATGCTAAAGATCCTTATTGTGGATGGTGTTCATTGGAAAAGCGGTGTACAATACGTGGTGCGTGTCAAAAAGCAAATAAAAGTAGTCCTCGGTGGTTGTCATTAAGTACAGGACAGCAGTGTATTGATTTTGAACAGGTTCTGCCGGATCGTTTGCCCATTAAACAAATGGCAACGGTTCAGTTAACAATTAGAACATTACCAGAATTACCACCCGGGGCAAATTACAAATGTGTGTTTGGTAATGCAGAACCTATAAATGCTACAATGACTAATATTGGATTATCTTGCCCTGCACCACCTATTGCTAAAAGACCTAGCATTCCTGAGGGTGCAGATCATATTTTAGTGCCACTTTCAGTGCGGTCCAGTGAAACGAACAAAGACTTTGTATCAAGAAACTTTGCGTACTTTGACTGCTCGCGGCATACATTGTGTTCAGAGTGTGTTAATTCATCGTGGGGTTGTAGTTGGTGTGTATATGATAATAAATGTACCCACAATACTAGTGGATGTCAAGGGAATATAATCTCTGGTGAGAATCCTAATCCAGCAACATTAGCCGCTCATGGAGTTCAGTACTGCCCACGTTTTTTGAAACGAAAAGAACCACTAATGCTCCCTAATAACGTACCTAAGGAAATTGTTCTAGAAGTAGAAAATTTACCACATCCGAAAATTGTTCACACAGGCTTTCAGTGTATTGTTTCAATCGAAGGTGCTAATTTACGAGTTCAAGCACGAGTTGACAAAAGTCGTTTCATTGTCTGTGACAAGACAATTTACTCATACGAATCTCTTACTGGTGAATATGAAGCCTTATTGACAGTAGTTTGGAACACAAATCACCACGTTGACCGCACAGTAATTATTCTCTACAAATGCGACATTCTTGGATCTCACCGCGAGCATGCGGATTGTTCGCTTTGTCTGACAAGAGATCCAAGATTTGAATGTTCATGGTGTGGTAACAGCTGTATGAATAGACATTCATGCCTTCACGCTGCATTTGCTGAATGTCCAAAACCGCGTATTGATATGATACGTCCGCTCAGTGGTCCTATTGAAGGTGGTACACTTGTGACAATAGAAGGAAGTAATTTGGGATTAAACGAAAGTGATGTAGCTGATAAAATTCAAATTGGCAATACCCCGTGTACTCTAGTTGATTACGAGATCTCTGTACGTATTATCTGCCGTACAGGTCGTCGGGAGGCTACTGACCAAGCAACTGTAGTTGTTGGCAATAATGCTGGATATACAGTAAGTGCAGTTCTATTTCATTACAAAGACATTCAACTGTCCGGAATTTATCCGTCCGTTGGTCCACAAAGCGGTGGCACACAAATTGCAATCACTGGAAAGTACCTGAATATTGGAAGTACCATCTCAGCTTATCTAGATGAATTACCATGTCATGTTAATGCAACACAAGCAAGTAGCACTCGGTTAACTTGTATTACCAGCAGATCGGGTCGTGTTAGACAAATTCAACAGTTAACGTTGAGCATTGATGGTGCGAATCGTACCTTAATTAATAATCCTTTTAACTACACTCAAGACCCGACGATAATGGAGATAAAGCCACTAAGAAGCTTTGTCTCTGGAGGTCGCATGATCACCGTCCATGGTACCAACTTGGATACTATTCAAAAGCCAGAGATGGAAGTTTATTACGACAACGAAATTCATCCAGTAAATAGAACTGTATGTACTGTATTAAATCCAACTCAAATGGAGTGCCCAAGTCCTAGCGTTGCAGAGAAATTTCGAATGCATCGTACTCGAATTACGCGATCTCTTCATAAACAACATGTACCTTCAGCAGGATCACGTGGGACAAAAGATACTCAGTTACCTTTGAAAATAGCTTTTGTTATGGATAATGTAGAAAGTGTAAGAGACTTGGAGAAGCATTTTCAAAATTTACGACACCATTTACTCTACATGGAGGATCCCAAGTTCTTTTCATTCCCACACATGGTCAAATTGTATAAAGGAGATACTCTAGTAATTGAAGGAGAAAATTTAAATTATGCGAGTGACGAGTCTGATGTTAACGTAACCGTGGGCACTGCATTATGTAATGTTACTTCTTTGGCGTACACGCAGTTGGTTTGTACACCACCAGATCAACAACCAGCTGGTACTGATGAAATGGGAATGAAAACGAAGCGTGGATTGCCTCTCGTAGTTGTGAGAGTTGGTCGAACTCTACGTTTTCCAATAGGATATCTTCAGTACGAGGTAATAAAATCCTATCCTATTCCACCGGAAGCCATAGCGGGGATTGCCGCAGGTACTTTTGGTCTAGTGTTTCTCTTCGTTCTTGTACTTGTTGTTTACCGACGAAAAAGCACTCAAGCAGAGCGAGAGTACAAGAGAATACAAATTCAAATGGACACCTTAGAAAGTAATATAAGAATGGAGTGCAAACAGGCGTTTGCTGAGCTGCAGACTGATATGACTGATTTAACAGCAGACTTGGAATCTTCAGGTATTCCTACTTTGGATCATAAAAATTATATTATGAAAGTTTTCTTTCCAGGTGTCATAGACCATCCAATATTAAGTGACCCAAGATCGCGCAGTGCACTGTCACGATCAAATTACGACACTGCTATGATTCAATTCGAGCAGCTTATCAATAATAAATGTTTTGTCCTTGCATTCATAGAAACTCTAGAGGCACAAAAGGACTTTAATATAAGAGACAAAGTGAACGTGGCTTCTTTACTGATGGTTGTACTAATGGGAAAAATGGAGTACGCTACAGACATACTAATGAATCTGTTGCTGCGGCTAATTGACAAGTCTGTAGACACCAAACATCCACAACTCATGCTAAGACGTACAGAATCTGTCGTGGAGAAAATGCTGACGAATTGGATGGCGTTGTGCATGTATAATTATTTAAAGGATTACGCTGGCTCTTCACTATTTTTATTATTCAAGGCTATCAAACATCAGATTGAAAAAGGTCCTGTCGATGTTATCACACATGACGCGAGGTATTCACTCTCAGAAGAAAGACTACTTCGTGAACAAATAGATCACAGTATCGTTACGCTTCATGTCGTCCAAGATGATCTCGATGAAAAGATACAATGCAAAGTATTAGATTGCGATACGATAAGTCAAGTTAAATCAAAAATCTTAGATGCTCTTTATAAAAATACTCCATTCTCTATGAGACCATCTATTCATGAAGTAGATCTTGAGTGGCGTCATGGCCGTGGTGGTCACTTGACTCTTCAAGATGAAGATTTAACGACAAAATGTAGCGGTGGTTGGAAAAAAATAAATACCCTCGCTCACTATGGCGTCAAAGAGTCAGCTGTGATGTCTTTAATACCACGTCAAAATGACAGCTTTACTATGAGTTGCAAAACAACCTACCATACCTGTAAGGCATCATCACATCATCAACCTCACCCACATCATCATTCGCTTCATCGCCTCGCAAACCATTGCTCATCTGGACATTTACCGTCAACACCAAGTCATGGTTTGATAAGTCCTATAATGTATCCTCATACACCTGCTGGTATTTACTTTGATACTCAACACCCACCGCCGTTAATAACTGCTAACGGTGATATTGAAAGTGGAGGAAATCAACGACTTTGGCATTTAATCAGACCAATTGATGAAGTTCATTGTCCACCAAGTAATGGCTTCACCACGAGTAAGCATCATCATCATCCAGAATGTGCACACAAAGCTATACCGGAAATATTCTTAACAAGGCTGCTGTCGACCAAAGGAACTGTCCAAAAGTTTGTGGACGATTTTCTCAATACCATTCTTACTGCTAACGAAGCATTACCAAGTGCTGTAAAGTGGTTGTTTGATCTCCTTGACGAAGCAGCAAAGAGACATGGTATTTCTGACCCTGAGGTTGCCCATGCCTGGAAATCAAATAGTTTACCACTGAGGTTCTGGGTTAATTTTATTAAAAACCCAGACTTTATGTTTGATATTAATAAATCAACAACTGTTGATTCAAGTCTTTCAGTCATCGCCCAAATGTTCATGGATGCATGCTCGACAACCGAACACAGACTTGGCAAAGATTCACCATCGAATAAATTGCTGTTTGCTAAAGATATACCGCACTATCGTGAAAAAGTTGGACGTTTTTATCATGATGTGCAAAAACTACCGCCAGTAACTGATCAAGAAATTTCAAGTGCCATGCAACAATTGAGTGCAGCTCACGGAAATGAATTCGACGTTGTTGCTGCGCTCAAGGATCTATACATCTATGTCAATAAATACTATGAACAAGTAAGTATTGAGAAATGATTTATGAATACAAAAAACTATTTATTTTATGCCAAAATTAGAAATAAATTGTTATTTCATAAAAACAAAAATCAATACTCCCTGGCAATATATATCTTTTATCATGATCCATTTTTAAGAAGCTTTAAAATGATTAAAAATACCTCACATAGCAGTATAAATGAATAATTAGAAAAAATTAAAACTTTCTTTTGAAATAATTTAAAATATTAATATTGACTTTTAATTTTTAATTAAACTTTTTTAAGTGTATAAATAATAATGAAAATATTTTATTTACAGATTTTAGAGGCCTTGGAATTAGATGCAGGATGTCGCAAGTTACATTTAGCCCACAAATTGGAAAATGTAGCGTGCACACTGGAGGGTGAAGAAACCAGTGCCTGCTGACACACCATGCAAAGAAATTCCAATCATTGAACCGTCAAAATCTCGGATGGAAATTGATTAGTGCCTCGACATTGCGCATCAAACACACCTCGAAACATGTACAAAAGTATTACACGTCATTACGATAAGTGAACGAGTGGCCTTTGTCGCTATATTGGTGCAGAGAAAAAGTACGAATAAAAATTTAAAGGGTATGAATATTAAGTGGCCTCACTGGGAATAGTGACAGGGGAAATACTTGTTCAGTATAAAATACACACCGCACACGAGGAAAAAATGAAGAAGAAAACATATAAGAAATAAGTGAAAAAAGTCAGTCATTGTGTCCATCAGACTGTTTGTACAAGGAGTGTACGGCAGCGAGAAATCTGTGATCCGAGCACATGTGGCTACGCCTACTATCTTAATTGCGATATAATAATAATTATAATGGTTATATTATGTAGGGAAAGCGGATAAAATTGAGAAAAAGAGTGATTATGGTATGCCTTTGAATCTCAGAATGATTGATCTGAATATATAATAATTGTAAAATTGTGCGAATTTTTAATTTTTGACATCTTGTCAATGCTCTGTAAAAAATTTAAATATCGATACCTATGATAATAATGGAGGCATTCAACCGCGTACCATTTAATACTCATTTAAATATTTGTATCAATTTTCGTGTCTATACAACCACTTTGGTACTCGTATGCACATACGAATTGATACAAATTCATAATATACTTTAAATAAATTATATAAATAAACAAATTTAAAAAATATATAAATATATAAGTTATATATATTATACATAATATATATAATTTACAACAATATATAAATTATATATGTATGTTATACATATATATTTATATATAATATATATAAATATATTATAAATATATACATAAAATGCAAGGAATCGCGCGGAAGCACACCTCCACGGAATGTAGTGAGCTAGTTAGAGAGGGACTATATGTGTATAAAAGAATTGTAAGGCTGAATGCCTCTCGTTAAGAGAATCGACTAAGAAACAAAATAATATTTAAGTATATATAAATATAAAGTATAAGTAAAGTAACAAAATAACATTAAAAATCAGAGTTGCCAGCGTCAATGTAAGTTAGAGCAGCTCATGAACATTACTCCAGGCCTAGCCATGTACAAGGGAGTAGCATGTAATCTAATGATTATTCCTTTATATATAATTAGCTCTCTGTTTATTTACATTTTTTTATATTTTATACAATTTGATGTGCTCGTTATAATTTTATACCGAGTCAGATTTCGAATCAGCTGTATGATGATCATTTAAATACGATAGTTGATGTAAAGCGTACTTGTCAACGTATAATTAATTGATAGATAAATTTCTGCTCGTGATCCATTTGCTATCAGGTCATTATCGATATTAATCCATGCGAATATATAATTATTACTATCGTCTATCAATTAATAAGTATCATTTATGAATTTGTTAAGAATACATAGTGATAGGATGTAGGCGATGTAAGAGCGGCATTTTTGTACCAGTTTCAGAATCAAGATGTGCCTGAACTCCTTATTGTCAAATATTATCGATGGCACAGTGATACGGAAGACATTATTAATTGTCAATTGAGATATACTACGGTTTCCATAGCCTCGTAATTTGATGATGATTTTCGATAAAATGTCCCGAAATGAAATAAAAATAAGAAATAAAATTTGAAGAGAAATTGTGCGCCTTAAGAAAAAAAAAAAGAACGTAGAGCCATAGAAACCGTAGTATCCTCGTCAATCGTATCGTGAATACATCGATTATTTAAAATTAACTCATTATCTTGATAAATTAAAAAAAGCAGCAAAATGTGATCACGTACTCAGTATGCAAAAAAGCATTGCCATGATTAAGTTTAGTATTCTTGAACTATTTTTCTCTCCAATTATCTACGACTGACTGGGAAATACTTTTTGTTTCTCTCTTGATTAAGTTTTTTTTATTTTTATATTATTTTTATACAACAAAGGCAGAAATGTTTTCATCATAATTAAACGCCTAGACTGCGCCTAAAGTCAAAAATAATTAAAATAAACTCATTAAAACAAAATAAATAATCCTGAAAATAAATCTGAGCACTGCCAAGGCTCTCGGCGCTCTACTACGCACATCTACGAACATTAATTAGCTCATATGAGCTATTGAAACCGTTATCGTCCGATTGATATTATATTAAATTAAAAAAATATTCTTTACATATATGGGAAAGCAAGAAATTTACTATCACTTTATATAACACTTGTACTTAAAAACACAAAAAAAAGCATTTTTTTCTTTTCTACGTATAAATATATATATATATATATATATAAATATAAATATATTCTTCATTATAATTGCTAAATATATAAATTTATTTACGGAATATAAATTTCTCGCTTTCCTGTGAATGTAATTATCGATCTATGCATCTTTCTATACCTATTGTATTTATTTACATTTAATTATGAAGGAGTTAGCTTCATGACGAGCGTACGTCAATCTGTGCAGTGTAATTAAATCTAAATTATTTTCTGCTTTCTCGAAAATTCGTCCAAGGAAAAAAATTGTATAGTTAGTTATCTATAATTATAATTACAATTATTGTAATACGAGTAGATTATTTAAATTGTAACGATTATCTTGATTATTTTTATAATTATGTAAACATGTAGTCATGAGTCTGAACTGAGTATCCGAGGGTATTATGCCGTCTTCCTACGTGAAAACACTAAGAGATGCTCGGCGTGTCTTAAAACAATTGTAGTATATAGTTTAGTTATCATTTGTTGGCTAAATTTCGCATTCGTTGAAATGTTTATACACAAAAAGAAAAACCTTCTAAGAATTGGAATCTCGTGTTAAATATTATGTAAATTTTTTTAGTTATTATTATTTAAATTGGATTAAATTATATCTTGGAGAAATTCCATTTCTTATTAATTGTTTTTTTATTGATTGGTATTTATATTAAATTATAAATTAAATTTCAATTAGTAGTACAGATTGACGTACTCTTTAAGTACGTTGATGCGCACACATGAGTATTCTCCATTGAAATACTTTTATTTCTCTATAAATAGGAGATAAAAAATTTTTGTAAAATAGCTGTGATGTTAATGACGTAAATATAATCAATTATACAGTGTGTCAATCATGAATTAGTCATTTCTTGTATAATTGCATAGAGTATGAAGTAAAAAAAAAAAAAAAACAAAGAGAAAAAGTATAAAAATTTGTCAATTGTTCGTATAAAAAATGTTCTTTCAAGTTTGCTTGTCAAAGAACTTAAAGTCAAATCTTCTAAAATATCTAAGTTGTAAATGAAAATAAAAAGAAATATTCATGTGTGCGTATATCCGTGTATTCTATGCAAAAATATCCATGTAAATAGTATCCAAAACCCCATCCTTTCCAGCACCCTGGTTAGATTATAAGTCACATTTGAAAAAATAAAAATGAGAAAACGAAATGATTCTTGCCAAATTTCCAATGGGACGTAGGAACAAACAATTAAACACTTGAAAAATTGCAAAAATATATTGGTATTATAAATAAATGTTTTGTTTATTGAAGACCTAATTGAAAGTGTATGTGTTCATACCTTTGTCTTTTTTTAGTAATTATTGGAAGACTAAAGCGTAATATTTATATTTTATCCAAAAATTGCTTACATATGCTTCCAGAATATTGTTTCAATCGAAGGTGCTAATTTACGAGTTAACAGAAGTCATTTCATTGCTGTGACAAGACTATTTACTTATACGAATTTCTTACTCTTACATACCATTTCATAGAATTTTCGAAGATTTAAGTTTTCGCGCTACATTAACTGGGTGGTGCGAGTGTTGCTCCATTTTGGAACAGATTCCATCAACTGTAACTGAAATTGTGATGCCACAATATATTTCGGAGTAGCCCTTAAAAAAATTTTAACAACTAAACTTTCAAGCAACAATTTTTCCAAATAATGTCCATATTCATTGTGGGACTGTAAATACAATTAAAATATTTAAATCGTTTTAGTTGAACAATTTATGATACATTTGCGCATCCATGATCGAAGCCATGATTGAAGCTAAACATTTTTTTTGTCTCCAAATCTTGAAAAAACATTATTGTCATGCCAGATACATTGTTTGTAATTTGGGACGATTTTAGAAATAATTTGTTACTGTGCAGCTATGATCAACAAAGCGTCACATTAAAAAAAAAACAAACAACTGTTGATTTACTATCATTAGTGAATTGAAAGTTAACAAGTAGTGACATCACGTTGTTGGGATAGGTACTGATGGTGTTTTTCGAAAAAAAAGAAAAATAATAAATTAATTAAAACAAATATGGCTACTTATTGTCATTGGTTGAAGAGCAATAGTCAGTAGAGTAATAACCAATTATTCTTGACACGTCCATATTTTTCAATTAATAATTTATTGGCCTATTACATTTGAACATTTATATAAAATAATTAGTGTTATGTTATTTAAAAGTGATTTTATTATTCAATAATTTACATAGCAAGAATAACGCTGCTAATAATTAGTGTCTAATTGAAACAGTAAATAAAAACAAAACTTCATAGTACCAAAAATTTCTGAACGATTAATCAAAATTGACATAAAATGGAAAATCCTATTAAAAAACTGCTGACATTTTTACAGTACTGGTATTTCCGGTACACGCTCGTAACTGAACTTTATATGGTCGAAAAATGGGAACGAACGTTCATAAGTATCCTTTAAATAATTCATTTTGATAATAAATAATAAATTCTAATTAGCTGTAATCAATTGATCAAATGATTTACTGCTATAATCAACAAAAACAAAGTATTTTAATAATAATAGGTTATTAGAAATAATCAAGAGCAATTATTTTCCTATAATACATTTAGATATTTTTGTCGTAATCCTTTTTGGATTGATGTTCATTTTTAATTACACAGTAGTTTTGCCTACGACTACAAGTTTATTGATTCGCCAATGACTATACATGTAACATGGATTATTATTTATTGTGCACATGGGCAAAGTATGTAAGAGATTATGATGCGTTAAAGTTAATTATTTACAATACAATTACATTATTTAATAAGAGTATTAGTAATGTTTACATTTCAACCCGCTAAATACAATTTATTTTGGCAATAATCAATTGTTTTTCAGTCTTTTTTTCTTAAGTTTGGGCCAGTGAATGAATTTATATGAAGTAATCAACAATTTTATAACAGGAATAGAATTATCAATTTGATCATTTAAACAATTCGCTTATTTTTTAATCTTCTCATTCTTTTGAACTATTTCCAAAGAGAAACAATCCTTTTTATTTCCTGTCCGTTTCGTATTGAATTTCAAATTGAAATACATTGCAGTGTGTTGGTCCGAATGTAAGAATATACATGATTAATAAATATTAAATCTTTATTTATATTATGCATGTTAAATAATTAACGACAAATTAATAATCACATATAACAGTTTAATTCCACTATAATCTTCCAAAAAATTATTTAGATTAGCTGCCCATCTATTACTTCTCAGGCTATTAAGTTTAATTTTTTCTCGTTCTTTTTCCAATAAAAATAAAAGCTCTTTTTTAATAGGTAATTAAAGGTTTGATTACCTAAATAACTGACAATGAGTTATTAATCATTTCATTCCACTTCCTTACATCAAATTATTTTTGTATTTTCACAATATTCCGATTCCGACTGTGATACAATTCATACTCATTTAATGTACGTAGCTTTTAAGACTATTAACAGGCTTTCTTTCATTTTTGTCGCATTTATTCTTTAAAAAAATTTTCAAAATTCACCTTTCCAACAATGATGAACACCAACATGGACAATTCATACGTGATTATTCAATAATAGAAATAGGCACGATAGGAGTAATAATTACTGATCACGTTATTGTAAATGGGAAGAATTATTTCTGAATAATATATCGCTATTTTCATTTATTAATAGAGAAACTACAAGTATCTTAAGTGAAAATGAATGTTATATTGTTCATTAAAATTTTGCTGCTTGATAGTAAAATCGAATAAATTTAAAACTAACTTTTCCTATATGTAATTTTACATATACTTTCTATCTTCAAATTATATATAAAAATATTTACATAAAAAAATCCTAATCCTACATAAGAATTGAATATTATTCATAATTGAATTCTATTATTAACTTCCCATTTGGAGAGTAGTTGCATCTAATCTAATAATTTTGATATATCTCCACGTCCCAAGGTTCCTAGAACAGTAATGCGTTGTTTTTACAGTGATATCTGTGTGTGTGTATACATTCGTACGTTTGTGAATCTTTTTTTCGAACTTGATACAGACTACGAATCAATTTTTTCAACAGGTAATTATATAGAAATAACCTAATTAGGTTTACTGTAATAATTTACTTTCTAGTTGTTAATGACACCAAATGAGAAGTTAGTAGTGTGGGCAATCCAATTAATGCCCAGATTTTTTGTTTCAAAATTATAAAAAATTGTGTAAAATATATTCGTTTTTACTGCAATAGCAAAATTTTAGTTTTAATTTTCAAATAATAAAATCGATATTCTATATAACAAAAATCTCAACAATTATCAATTTGTACAATAAACTATAAGTAGAAATTATTCGATTTAAAATTTTGTCTTTCATTTACACTTAAGAATTTAATTAAATTCATTGCGGATTAATTTTGCGACATTTAAAATATTTTCAATTATCTAAAGTAAATTTAATTACTTTTCAATACTGTCAAAGACAATTTTATGATTGATTGATCTTTTATCTTTAACAATAATCATAATTCCAAAATTAATCTTACTTAAATTCTCTCCTTCATCTCTTCATCATGACATAAAACAATCTTTTGATTCTAAAAGAGTTAATAATAAACATAAGAACAATATTTTATTTGCTAAGGATTTAATCCTATTTACTCCAAGCTCACTTTTTTTATTGTTTACTATGAAGTAAAAAAAAAAACTTAGAAGTTGTATTCATTCTAATCCTAATTCTCTCGGACAATTGAATTGTACCCTCAACAATACCGAATTGAAAGATTAACAAAGTCCGCTAGGATTATGATAACAAAGTCTATCCGGGAACTATGAATTCGCACATTTATATCGTAATTGAAGTAATATTGAAATGTATAGACGTCAAGATGACGCCAATGTAAGGTAGTATGATTAATCAAAGCAAAAACAAAGACTAAATCACTGGGACATATGATATGGATCTTCCATCTAATACATCATTCTCATTATCCAATATTTTAACGCGTATTCTTTGCTTATAATGGTATTCCTTCAGGTAGGCTTTAAGTGTCTTTGGCAGCTGTAGTTTATTTATTCCATCGTAAGTAGTTCTTGTAGTGATCACAGCTCGGCAAAGATGTTGCAGAGGAAAAGCAAAGTTACGATGCAATGGAATTGTTAGCATCGGCTCAAAAAACATACAACAAGATGGATCCTTGTAATGTTCAATTAAGCCACATACCTAAAGCAAAATTTAAAACTTTAACAAAATTCAATTTTGAAAATATAAAAATTAGTATTTCACTTAGTTTCACCCAAGAAATGCTCTGATAACATGATTTTAGTTATATTTATATAATGCACAGCTAAAATTCACCAAGAATTTAACAATTTATCATGAAGATAAATCGGATCATGAGTAATATTTCAGTTAAACTACATTCAAATTGTTCAGAAACTTGAATTTGAAAAGTTTTATTGAAATAGTATTGTTGGAATGACAATGACAGAGCATAATTGAGTATCACTTTCTACTATACATAATTGATATTATTGTTACTCAAATTACCGTTTCAGAAGCGTAAACTCCAGGATCATGTGCATCAAAACTAAATTTATGATTCCACTGCTCTATTCTTGCATGAAGGGATCTTCCATACTTACGAAAACTCACTGAGAATAAAAATTCTTCTTGGGCTGAGTCTCTTAACAAAAATGTACCTTCTTGTTTACCATCAAGTAAACGTTCTGCTTCATAGCGATCCATTTTGCCCCAGTAAAAAGAGCAAGCCGTGATGGATCGGAGATCTGGTACTAAGCAATGAACATAATCGACCTAAAAACATAAATCGAACAATTATTAAAATTCATACAGATAAAAGAAAAAATTAGTGACAACTTATTTCATGTAAATTAGTTCTGATAATTTTTAAAATTACAATAATCTAGACATAACGCATAAGTCATCGACTTACAAAACAGGAAAATTTATAAATTTCTGATAATTTTATGCAAGATATCGTGTCTAAAAATAAATTATTACGTGGCATAACAGTAAAAAAAAGTATAGAAAATAAATTGTTGAGTCAAGTATAAACTATGACAACCTGTCGTGTCTATACCATTCTGCCAATTGATGATTCATAATTCAACAACTAAATGTATGGTTAATATATGCCTTTTCCTTTGTAACTCAATCGAAACCTGAGTCATAATATAGTTACATGTTCGATTTTTTTATGTTGTTACATAATGAATAAATATTATTCATTCTTTCATTTAAAATTAGCGGTACTTCATAGGAATAGATTGCTTGAAATTTTGTCAAAGTATCTTATGGAATAAATAATTTTTAAACTAATTTTGATACAATATAAATTTACTCAATACGATTTATTTCTCTTTCTTAAAATTAATATTTTATCATAAACATATATTTTTTAGAATATGTTTAAAGGAAATGAATTTGTTCTGAAGTATCTAATCTTTTTGAGGAAATGTAAATAAAGTCAACAATAACTTTAAAATCACATAAAATAACTTTTTAGAATTTTTTTTTAAGTTATATGTTTCTATGAAAGCTGAAATCTAGAATTTATAAAAGGCTGCAATACTACTTTTTGTGTAAAAAAAAAAAAGTTATTGTATTGAACACAATTCTGTAATATAACCCCCAAAGTAACTTTTGTACATATTTTTTACTCCATTATCAGAGAGTTTATTTTAATAATATTGAGAGTAACTCTAAAGTATTATATAATATTCCAATATTCTGGCTCACCCGAAAAGTTTTTTCCAAAAAATTTATTCAATAACTATTCAATGTTTCATAACAATATCAATATAGTTATAGCTTTCATTTAAAATATAGCTTCAACAAAAAGTCAAAATAAAGAAGCTAAAATCATAGCGAAACAAAAATTTTAAATACTCGAATAAGACATTATTGATTTAATAGTGATCAACTGTGTTCGTTCCTATCCAAGCTTGACATAGAGCTAGAGAAGTAATAGCACAAGAGTTTAAACTCACAATATTAATGAAATTTAAAATAATTTACAAATTCTACTGAATCGATAATCTAAAATCAATTAATTTATAACATTAAGATTTCATCCACTTTTAACTAGTTAAAATTAATTATTGTTATTATATCTTAAAATTGTTTAATCTACTGTGTCTTTTAAGCTTGATGATCAGTCAACCAAATCTAACAAAATACTCAGGACATTTTTGACAAATTGGATAAGTAATTTTCGAGCTATAGCTGTCCAAACTATTTAAAATTATTTGATATCATTTAATCCTTTCCAAGCTAAAGATCTTGCTAAATAAGTGTGCACTTGAAGGGTTTAAAATTGGATGTCTTGCCCAATTAACAATGAATACCTGTGTATGAGCTGGTCTTTCGATGTTTGGATGGAAGTTAATTTCCATTTGAGATAAAGCAGAAAGGGCAGCAGCTTGAATTCCAGCATGGCTTTGAAATAATGCAGTTAGGCTGTCAATGGTAATCCCATTAGGAGGAACTTTAATAGCGGAAGAATAATTAGGCCTATAACCCGGTGGAGGCTCTACACCTTCCTCCATTTCTCGGGCTCGCTGTTGACGCGCTCGTTCATCACAATCCTAAAGTAATAAGTACATTAATTAATTAAACTTCATCAGTTATATCATTTGATCGTCGTATCAATTAGTAAGAGTAAACTAAAAAAATTTTAAATGAAAGTTAAAATTGAAGTAATATTTACCTCCATAGGATATTCTGCAGGATTGAATCGTGATAAGTCTATCACTGGACTAGGTGGCAGTGGTCCGAGAACAGGACTTTGAGGAATAGATCTATTATTAAATACAACTCCTGCTCCCATAGGATGCTCTTCAGTGCTACGGTATCCTGTACAGACACATTCTGTACTACTATTTGCTTGATCTGGCATGTCTGTATTTTTGGAACCTTTACTTTTGGCACAATTGAATTTTAAAACCCAATTACTACGCTTCTTTTTTGAAGATAACACATGATTGCACACTGGACTTTGGTCTTTATTGCGTTGTTTACCTGGAAAATAATGTCAATATTAATAACTAATTATTCAACTTTTTATATTTACTCTACACTTTAAATGATATAATGAAAATGATGTATATATTCTCGCTTTTTGCATTCATTAGACTAAAATTAACTTTATAACTTCATTTACTTAGTTTCAAGCAGAGTATTTTTATTGGAATTTATAACTTCGTGAAAGTTAAAAATGTTGAAGGAATTATAACTATTTAATAAATTACATTTAACTTATCGAAGTTTATTAAATAGAAGAAGGCTAGAAAATATTTTTGACTTTTTAGAAGAAAAAGAAAAGAGTTAGTACTTCGAAGAAAAAAATGTCATATTATGTAAACCTTCATTTTATCATAAGGAAACGGTAATTATGATCATAAAATTAATAAATCATGTTTTAATAAATTCTTACGACAGTTTTATATCAATACTTTGGTGTTAAAGATACTAATTAATGCTTTAAATTAGTTGAAAATTGACTATAAAAATTCTTTCTCAATTAATGAGATATCAAAGTAATAAAAATGAAATTTTAGTGTTAAAGATATCGAATTGAAATTAATAAATTGATTTAGTTGAAAACCAATTATTAAGTGTTAATTATTACGTTTAATTCATTATAACTATGGACATAATAAGCAAAAACATTATACTCAATTTCTAGATAACTTAAGTACAGTAATATATGGTCTTTTTTATTTCAACATGTTTCTATACTTTCACCGTCCTTGTTACAGCATTTGATAAATTATTCACTAACGAGAATCATAATTTTTTATTTCTATTACCTATCAATGAGCTTCTTTTATTACTTAATAAGAAGATGATGAAAGAAATTATGAATATTCAGGGAATCCAAGAAAGTATTTTTCAAGATTCCAATCTAAGATAAGAAAAGAAGAATAAAAGAAATTTACTTTTTCGTTTTCCAAAAGATAAAGTTTTGGAAGTTCTTCTAAGGGCAGGATCTAATGAACTATCTTCTGAGCTGCTGCTACTATTGCTACCAGAGTTACTGCAACAAGGCTCCTGTTGTTTTAATTCATTTTCAGATCCAGTAACGAAGTTTCCATTATTACACACTTGTTTGGATTCTTGTTGGGTATCTAATGGTTGACTATATATCGATTCAAATCGGGTATTGTGATTTTCAAGGTTCAGTTGTTCGTTGTTATTCCGAATTTGTTTATTCTCATCGGCAACTATTGAATTATTGGCAAGATTGCCGTTATTCTCATTATCGACTATATTTTCAATGTCGTTATTTTGCCTTGACATATCGCAATCGGGCTTATTATCCTCACTATTTATATTACAAGCTTCCGGAGACTGTTGTTTGTTATCCATCCTGAAGAAGTCTCGGAAGCTAGCAAAATGCTGTCCCATACTTATGCGATCCCACGAGCATTTTACTGCTCTAAAATTCGTTGACTTGAAGCAATTCAAAAAATCCGTTATGGAATTTTTTTAATTCGTTTTTCTAAATTAAAAAAGCACAATAGTGCAACGAAAATATTTGGTTGATTTTTATTTTTCCGTCACTTCACAAATTTATCTATAGAACACAATAAAACTTTTATTAGAGCTTCAGTTCTATTTTTGTTAAAAATATTTAAAATTGTGAAGTCATTCTTCTACCAGGTAAATTTTTGTCATTGACTTGATGAATTTAATTTATTGTAATATCAATCAAATTAATAGAATTCTTTTATTTACAAGTTTTTAGTCATGACAGAAGAATAATCTACACTAAAATTCATTTTTAACGCATTACAATTAAATATTTAAAGATTTATAACATACCTAAATACAAACATAAAGTTGAAATTGCGTTAGTTGATTAATGCTCTATAAATTGATTATAAAATGATTTGTACTAGTTATTCTGTAATTAAGATTTTCCGTTGTCTATAAGCACCACTAGCACATAGATATGCAACAAAATGTTTATTTAAATTAGTCAATTAACTTTTAATCACACATTTATCATCACAAACATTAAAAAACGTAGGTTGAATATACGGAAACACGTTAGTAAAGATCAAAAGCTTGTAAATAAACTGTTGATAAATTTTTAATGAAGTCAAATCTGTAATAGAGACTCTTCGTCTTGGTTTCGTGAAGCACTAGTACATCGATATGCAACTAAAACGTTAATTTTAGTGTATAATAAATTTTTTTTATCACTTATTTACTTTTGAAAGATGTTGAAATCACATTAAAGGGTATAAAGATACTATTAGCACTGGATTAAAGACCAATAAAATTGACTGCTGGCTAAAATGACTTTTCTTCACAGATGCACACATTCTTTAATCTTCGCCATAGGTGCATGTTTCTTAATCTGCAAATGGAGAATAAAAAAGGAATAAGTGAGAAGTAACTTTATCATCAAGAATGAGTCATACATTTATACAATGTTGCGACGTGCTTTCCATATATACTATTATTACATTATGAGTAAGTTAGCAATAAAAAATATAAAATCTGACAATGAGACATGAAGTAAGTGAAAGTCTTAGATATTACGTAGACGATAACGTCCATAAAATTATCCAAGTGTATCCAAATTACCTTTTTAAGCATCAATCCAACACAATATGTGTTAAGGGAACACATAGGCACGTTATAAGTATACTGGAGTAATGAATTTATTTGTTTCCTAATAGCAGCCCTGCCTGTCTGTGCGTGTCTTGACAGGTCCAATATTTCCTATCGCAACGTCCACATTTTTTTATCACTTTTGGAGTAAGTTATCACTATTAAATATTATATCATATTCCATCTGATTTATTTCACTTGCTTCTTATTTTATTTAATTTTTAATGACTTCTATTGAAGTCTGGCACATCTTGAGTTGATAAAACTCATCAAAACACGTACCATTGTAACGCCAGCCATTTTCGCTAGACTTATGTGTTAATCAATGACGTACTACTCACGAGCATTCCTGTGATTGGAAGGTGAATGGATTGAAACTCCTGGAGAGTAAAGCCATACTAGTGTGTGATGTGTAGCAAGATCATCACGGAATTTTTAGTCATTTCAGAGAGAAACTTGAAGAGTCAACCTGTGTAGGATCAGTAACTCGAACTCTTTTTCTTGTGTTTATCAGCGCCTCTCTTCTAATAAACAAGCAACACTTGTTCAAATCAAAATTTATTGGTACAAATAATAGACAAAAAATTTTCAAATAAAATTCTCCAAAGTATATTCAAAAGCATTGTTTCAGTTTATTATGATTTATTTTTTCGTTTACAAATTCTTTTGTAAAATTTAAAATAATAAATCATAAACGAAACTTAAGTTATCGATAGAAAGTAACTTGGTGGCATTTATATTTTTTAAATTTCTACTCGAGAGATAGCGCTTTATTTAAAAGCGGAAAATTTAAATGGTCTTTTAATATACTTTCTTCCATTACAAAATTGAATGAAAACCATCAGTACGAAAATGAAAATCATGTTGTTTATTGAAAAAAAACTTACATCACAAAGAAAAATCAGACACTCACCATAATAAAAAATTAAATCTAGAAATTACTCGTATGTAATTGAAATATCACGATTCTAAATAGAATACATAAATTATACAAATAGATATAACATAATGATCCTGTTTCTTCAACAGATATATCAATCTACGTATATTCGATCGGATTGTAACAATAATTTTTGAAAGTTAAAAAGTTTTTATTCATTTATTTAGCAACGGCAAAACCTACGCGATTATTTTCCATATCGAATTCGGTGTAAAAGCGTCCAATAAAGACATCTCCAAGGATCCATAGTGGTCCATTTGGTGGCGGAATGTCAATACCCATGAAACCACTTAAGCAAATTGTTTTACCAAATTGAGAGACCTAAAAAATAACAGTGAATCATATAAATTGGGACATATACGTTAATACAATAAACTTTGAAATTTTTTTTTTTATTACCTTTAAAACATAATCTTCTCCCCTCAAAGTAAATGGTCGTCTTCCAAAAACGAAATTAATCTGAGGTAATTTTGGAATCAAATCACAGCTGACCTGAAGTATACAAATTAATTTATTTTATTTAGATATTTCGGTTACTCTTTCTTATTGTTAACCAATTTACTTACAACTGATTCACCACCAACAATTGGAGTCGCACCAATAGCCCGATTGATTGCTTGAATTTCTTCAACTGGACCAGCAATCAAAGAAGTACCAGTATCTGCAATAGCTTGACAACCGCCTTGACAAAATTCTTCGTCTCCAATGTTTATTCTGAAGAATGACGATAAATTTTTATTCATATTCAATACAAATATGTTTTTTGGCTTCTATAACTTACTTGTCCATTGCAAATTGCCAATAAGCTTGACGATCGACTGGTACATAAGTGAACTCTCCTTCATAATGATCTGGATCTGAACCACCAAGAATCATTTCTCCACCCTGAGAAGCATTAGGATCTCTGAAAGCGAGCAAATATTTTTTGTAAAGTTGTACTTTAAAAATATATTATCACTTATCTATTTTGTTCAATCGTATTGCTTGAGGTGAATTACCTGTTGAGATAAAAACTAAAGATTTTCTTCTGTACTAATCCTTGATCAACCATGTTATAGAATGGTGGTCGAACTTTATTGACGGATATTGTGTCATAGGCCATTCCCATGATTCCATCAAATTTAGCAGCAACGAATGCCAATCCTGGCTCATTGACAGCTTCAGCAAATGTTTGATCCTTTATGCTGGCTCCAGCAATCTGTAAATAATTATCAAATGTAAACGAATAAATCAAATATCATTAATTATCTACTGATGTTTTTGATAAAATTATCTTACATTAACGACATCAGTTGACAAGAATCCTGATAGACTACCAGATCCATATCTAATGGAAAACTCAGTTCCATTTTGTCTGTAGGTGTTTGACTTCTTGCTATCATATTTATTATGAAGAACTAACAATGAACATATACATTAAATAAATAGAAAATCAACAGTTCAAATGATATTGATGCATGAAATTAATACGTACGACAAGCTATATTGGTGAATGAGCATTTTTTCGATGGTACCCAGAGATTTGATGAACCAGTATCAAATACGACCTTGAATAATTGTGGTGGATTTCCGATAGTAATTGGACCATAGTATTGAGCATCCAAATAGTTAGATAAAGGTTCAGGTCCAGTTCCTAAATTTCCAGTGCCATATTTCAAACGAAGATGCTCAACTTCAGTACCAACTTCTCTCAGAGCATTACGTACAGTTTGAATTTTATAAACAGGAACTCTAAAAGTATTATAAATAATTACAAATAAATCAATAAAATGTAAATCATCGTAGAAAAATTAATATATTTTCTTCGTATATTAATTTGATCAAAGTTGAAAAAAAACGTAGAGATTTAGTAGAGGAAAATGGTAAATATGATAATCACAAGTATTGAATGACTACAAAATTGAAAAGGTCAGGTTAATACGATAGTCTCTGATTATATGTTCATATGACTAATGTATTTATCATCAACAGCTATTCTTTCTCATTTTTCAATAACAATACTATTTATATTACATAAAAATTTCCAGTAAACTATTTTTATATTTAATTGATTTAATAACTTAATATGATTTTCAGTGTGATATCAACATCGCTAACAATGATTACATGAGATATAGAATGATAAAAATAGATTTTTTCAAGAGAAACGCAATTAGAAAAAATCATTAGATAATTGAAACCACGACGTGAATTGTTGCAAGCAAATTAATTTATATTGATATTAATGTTATGTCTAGTAACCAAAGAAACAGGAGTATTAAGGAAACTTGATCGTAATTAAATTATTAAAGCACCAAAGAATATACTTGTTAACATAATCAAGTAATGAAATACGTATTACAAAAGTTCGTTCTAGAAGAATAAATGTCATCATTGTTTGAAATGGAATTATTTATAAAAACTTACCGCAATAGATTGGCATTTGTTAATGCCAAAATAATAAAGAACAAAGAAAGAATTTTCCACATTGTGAGTGGTGGATAATAATATTTTTTCTATTATTAGTTACTTTGTATTCTCATATAAAATTAATAAAACAATTTTTTCTACTTGAAAACTTTACAGGACGTAAAAAAATAACGCTTTGATGTTTACTTGACAAAGACTAAAGCAGCTCTGGTCACTTCGTGGAATGTCGTACAACACACTATAGTGCAGTCTTGCAATGTCTACACATCACACAAAGTCGAGAGTTTGTTGAGCTTTACAACGTAAATATATGTGATGTATATACGGCACGATAACAGTATCTTCATGTACATGACTTTTAATAATATGGTATGTACTGAAGACTGGTTATTCTAGAATCTGGAGTCTACTGGTCAAAGATTTGTTTTTGTTTTTTGATGAATCATACTCAGTGCTAATTTTATAATTGAACCAATCACTGATATTCATTTAAACATAATGACATTGATGATTTTGTTCTTTCAATGACTGGTAATTTAAAAAAACACATTGATCATTCATTGTATAAAATTTATTTGAAATAAAAATACATTTTATTTGTATTTTGAAGTATTTAAAAAATGAGTAAAATAGTATTTGTATTATTCATAAAGTAAATATTCATTTAAAATATAGTTTTTCCAATAGTTACTGTTCCGTTATCAAAATCATATTCAGTATAAAATTGCATCAAAAATGCTCCTCCTAACTGCCAGATTTTAGAGCCATCAGTACTAGGTACAAATGGAGATAAGCATAACTGGAATCCGTGATAAACAAGCTGAAAATGAATATGTATATATTTTAGTATAAGTTAATAATAATAATAACAATTAAAACAAGTTAGTATAAAGAGAACAAATTATAGAGTATGAACAGAATTCCATGATAATTTTATAAAGAGAACAAGTTAAGCTTTGTGAGGAACTGAATAAAAAGTATTCAGTTGAATAGATAAAGTAATGAATATATTTTGAGAATATATGAATAAATTAACAGTAATAATAATGAGTTAAAAAAGGAAAACACATACATGTTGGATGTAATACTTGGAGTCTATTGTAAACTTTTCTCTTCGGAAAACAAATGTTACATTTGAAAGTTTTGCATATGTTTGACAATCAACCTAAAATAAAATTATTTGACTATTTCCTTCTGATCCTAAGATAAAATTGTAGAAATTGTTAACTTCTTATTGATGCTTTACCATATATCTATTGGGCCAAAATCTTGTGATTTCTTTTGCACCAAGAAAATTATTTATCTTATTAATTTCATCTTGTGGTCCAGTAATTGTGTTGACACTAGTGTCCATGATAGCGTTACATCCTTGAGAACAGAATGGATATGTTTTATTCCCAACAGCTACGGATATTCTAGAAACATATAATATTGGATTAATAAATAAATAATTTACATTTTTATTATCTGTAAAACAATATTTAATTGTATCTATATGCTAATTTACATACCTATCCATGCGAATCATCCAATACTTTTTATCAATCACTGGTAGTACTGTCAAGCTTCCATTTACATGTCTTCTTTCTGTGTCACCAAGGATTAACGTGCCAGCTTTATCTGTTGTTTCATCGCTGTTGAATCAAGAAACAATGTTTATTTATTTTAAAATATTTCTTTTTAGAAAACTTTCATTCTAGCTCATATTTATAATAATAAATCAAGATTCTTTTGTTAATTTTTTTTTTGAATGCTAAAAGAATGAGTTTTTTTCAACTTCTAACAATAGACAACCCTTGTAGACACCCTTTTAGTGAAATTCTACAAAGTTGAACCGTTAAATTTGTATTTTTTTTCATTTTTGAAAATTTTAAGCTACCATAAAAACTTTTTTTTATTCCAATTTCTCTTGCTACACTACACCATTATTTCCATCTCTCTGGTTAAATCATCCCTAACATAAAGCTGACCTGACTGTGACCATAACTGAGTAGAAACCATTAGGACCATCAGCACAATACCAACTAATCTACGTTTTCTTTTAGTCGTCAGGTCGTTTTACTGAATACTAAATTTAATACTGGTATACTTGCCGATTCATATAAAAAGTAAAGACTTTTTTCTCTACAAGTCCTTGATTTATCATATTTTGAAAAAATGGTAAACGATTACAATGGCTTAGAGATGGCCACCCAAGACCAATGATTCCATCAGCTTTTTGAGTTAAAAATGGTTTATTGCTCATATGAGTCGCTTCGACAAAAGATTGATTTGCTACTTTTATATGTCCAAGCTGAAAAAAATTTTTATCACATTCTAAAATTAATTCTTAACTTCATTTCATTTTTTTTACTTCACATCATAACGAAGTTAACAGTAAGCATACATGGAAATCATCAACGGAAATAATTCCCTTCAAACTCATAGTGCTATCAGAAATGGAACACTCTCTTCCATCCTCCTTGTATGTTGAAGATTTTGAGCTATCATATCGATGGTGAATCACTGAAAAATTGTATTATAAAAAAATTTTTAACATCTAAGTTTTTTTTAATTGATTTTTTAAATTAATAGATTTCTTACTGCAAGCAATTTCCAATAAGCCACAATGTTGAGATGGAATCCAAATGTCAGACCATGATGTATCAAAAATGACCTTGAATTCTTGGGCTGGTTTTCCAATTCTTACTATTCCATAATATTCAGCCTAATTACAATATATTAAAGAAATAAAAAGCAAAAATAAAAGTTATGTATGGCTAAAAAAATTTTTTAAAAATACATACATTTAAGAATTTATACAAAGTGACAGTTTCATTTGTCCGATTGGTATGTTGATAATCCGTTGGCAGTTGATGTTTGAGAATGTTATCTTGATATATATTAATACTAAAGATAAAGTGAAATAAAAAGTTAGGTGACAAACTTATTCAAATAACTTCAACCCAGCAACACATATGAATAACTTGATAATGAATTGGGTGTCGTTGAATATTTTTTAATTTAGGATATTATATTTTTATGTAATCAAAATGCGGATAAATTGTGTTATTAATAAATAAAATGAAATTAATAAACATAAAAAAAACTATGTTATGATAGGCAGTTTTTAATTGTTTACTTACATGTATAAACTATGAATACAACTGATAGATAATATTAGCAAAAAACACTTGAAGAAAGTGTCTATAATATTTATTACCATTTTTATTAATTTATGATGAAATGAGACTTTTAAAAGATAACTTAAATATTATTAGACCTAATGTATGATCGAAACCAATGCGTTGTACCGTTCGCAATATACTGACGATACTAGCGATAGTGTAGTCGATTTAATTTTAATCAGTAACAAATATTGGGATTCCCTGTAAATGTTAGTGATTGACCAATCATAAATTGCGTACAACAGAAGACACATGAATATACTAAATTACTATTTATTATTAAATAATACTATTTTAAAATATTGATAATGTTAAAATTTTCAATAATAACATTTACTAAAACACACATGTACATGAAAAATTTTTATATTATTTAGAAAGTCATTTATTCAATTATTAATCTGTAATTATACAGTAATTATAATAGTAATAATGTATGGAAAAAAATTTGTAATCATCATCTTCAAATTTATAAGGTATTTTTATTACACATTTTTATGTCCTGTGATATTATAACATTTGTCTCATCGCTGTTACAAGTCAAAAATATCAAGTCTGTATTCAAATAATATTAGCTGCACATTGCACTGTTATGTTCTAAATATAAAAATCAAAATTTCGTTCATGAAAAGTCAGTTTATACTGAATAATTAATAAATAAAAAGAAAAAAAAAACTATAATCGGAAGAGAAACTTAAATGTATGAATAATGAAATATTTTTTTTCTTATTTTACTTTAATTCTTTTCAAATTGTCTAAGAATTTGAACCTACACATTCCACATCGAAATACGACAAACTACTAATTGTCTCAAGACTTCACTTGAGATTTAAAGATTTTTCATTAATAATCAATACACCGTAGAATGTTATTGGACATTAGTATGAGCACGTATTACTGCAATGATAAATAGATAAAAAATTCTACGGTGAATTGACATGTATCTGAGAATCTTTTAAGATTGAAACAATTTTTTGAAAATCAGCGATGCACGAATATTATGCTTTAAACAGTTTTTACTGATAGATATTTGGTTTGTGTTGCCAAATCGTAATACAGGAATGTATTAAGTTCACAGAAAAATAAGTTTCTTTGCCATCAATGCCGTTTAATTTAATCTTTAAATATGTTATCTTATTATTTTCCGGCAACTTTAGCAAAAATCGGATCTCTTTCACAGCACCGCATCAAAATCTCTCCGATTTACAAATATAGATTACTTATAACATTATCCGCGTCTCTTATTGTAACAATAAAACAGGTAAATGTGCATGGATTCTTCTTATGTAGGAGAGGACGAAAGTTGAGAGTAATCATTATAATACATATACAGGTGGGTCATTATAATAACACTATTTCTCTTAATTAAAAAGTTGATCCACATATAATAATAATTATACACTCTTTCACATTAAGTACGAAAATGCTGATTGAAAAGAATATTTATCAGAAAATGCTACTGATGTCCTTTCTTCTCCCGCCATCTCCTACTTCACACTGATGATTCTGTTTTAATCGATATTCACGCTTAGATGGTGATAATGTCCATGAATTACGGTGTAAAGATGAAATAATAATAATAAGTGATATAGATTTATTTATATATTAGGCCGCAGCTTTTGCTTCGCCATTGCTTTCGGCTTCGACGGGTTTATCTTCAACTTTTGCTTTCTTTTCAGGAGTTACACCGTCAGCTGCGTCCGCACTTACTTCAAGCCCAGAAGTGGATTTCCTTTTTATGCAACAGGCATCAGCTGGTGCATCTATAATTAAAATAACACATAAGTTTACTTATCGATTTATCCTTTTCATTAATTAAACTCATTAAAGTCTATCATTAAGTTACATATAAAATGTAGTTATATAAAACAATGACAGAATGATGCAATTATTTACCTGTGGAGTCTCCATTTTCTGTAGATTCAACTTCTTTTTCATCTTCAGTTTCTTTTTCCTCTGTGGATCCATTTTCTTTAGCTTCTTTTGCATCACCATTTTCAGATGCTCTGGAGTCTTCATCAACCTCCTCGACCTCTTTCTTTTCCTCCTCCACTACTTTCTTCTCTGGAGAGGCAACAACTTTGGTTTCTCTACAAATACAAACCAAAAGAAAATTAATATTTTGTATAATCAATCTTTGCTATAATTAAATCTAAGTTTTTAATTAAATTTACTTTCTCTTTCATCATAAAATTCATTATATATATATTTTTTTTTTTAATAAAATAGTTCAATTAAATAGATCTTATCTATTCTATTTATATCTAAATACTAGCATTACTTTTTTTTTTTTTTTAATATTTTGAGAAAAGAGTAAATGCTTATTTATTGATGATAATTACAAAAAGAGAAACGTTAGTTATTTAACGAAGAAAATATTGTTCTTAACAGATATACAATACTTTCATTGAAATACGCACGGTTGTATACAAAACAAGCTATGAATATTGTTTACTCAACATTGTAAAAACTCACAAAAAACAGATGTACTAAAAAAAGAATGAGAAACAAATAAAAGTGTATCATATAATATAATCACATGTATTTCTTTCTATTTTCTTTGAGTAAAATATATCCCGCCAGTTTATCTTGGACTTTCTCAGAGCATGTGGTTCCCTCTAGTATCAAAGGTTCCCTCGTCTCCTCAGTGTACTAAGAACCGGCGTTTCAACGCGGTAAATCGCGGTCTTTCCCCTCTGCCCCGACGATCTTCCTGGCGTTATGCATCGTTTCATTCTTTCTACCTCACGTATTTACAATACATGTGAAGGTATCACAACCGGCTACGCTGTAATAATAATTGTAAGACAACCCTGGCGACTATGAGAGCGCAACGCCGGTTACAAAAACGACGATGCATAACAGTTGTAGAGAATTGTTTGACGCTTCTATCTACCAACGATGGAGAGCTTAGAGTGTTGTACGTTGCCTAGTGGATCGATATTCCGGCCGTTCTCTTTTGGAAGTGACGCGCGTACAGTCTTTATCAAAAGGCCGGCTATTTTATATCCGTTCAACTGCACGAATTCTACATTTTGCGTGTAAGTGAGGACGATGGAATACATGAGTCGAGTTTGTACACGACCTAAATCAGAAAGTCAGTGTACCCGCAGGAGTGTATACAAGTAAGCATCGTAAAAGCCGCCTTCAGGTAGTCAACTTTCACGAGGGAATGCTCTGTGACCCGGCTTCTTCGAATATAAACACCGTTCTGTATACCAAGTCAAGTCACTTGAAGCCTCACGATTCCATCACAAATGGAAGAAAAAAAATTGTAGGTCGAGATAATAAACATTGCAATGAGCAATAGAAACCTCGAGAGATTGTGTCAAATGTACAATTTGAAAGGTGCGTGGGACGAGCGCAAAAAATAACTCGAACGGCGTCTCTCTCCCTACTCTTCTTCACCCCGCATCACCCTTCAAGGCGTCATACGATGCTACCGAATTTTCCAATATTATACAACGTAATTGATGCACTAGAGTACTTTCTAATAGTGATTGAAACGTAATAAAGTTTTAAAAAATGTTTTTTTTTAAATAATCATAACTTTTGAATACACGATAACTTGCCAAAAAAAATGTCGCGCGCACGGCGTGGTTTGTTCCCGCCGATTTTTGGCATGAAAACAAAGCACTAAAGAATGATTTTAATGTTTAAATACCTGGAAAAGAGGTTATAATACGTAAAACATAACATAAAATAGAAAATAAACGACAAAATAATGGATAAATATCGTTCGGTGGTACTGCGTGGCCGATAGCGTGCTTTTGCCGCGAGACAAATAATTGCCACACTTAAAAAACCCAATATAAAATAGCTTTTTTGTAAAATAAATACACTTTAATAGATTATGTACTCACTTTGAATCAACATCAGCCATGGTGATTGTAGTTTAATTACTTAGGAAGCACTTGAATTAATGAATCACTTGAAAATCCTTAAGGTTTTTACTTACGTACTACACGCACGAGAACCAGAGAAATACTGAGACTGCCGACCAACGCGCAAATGGCAGAGCGACTCTCGTAATTGTCCCTTTTCCCCTCCGCCATTACAGCCGGCCGGCGGCGGCCTTCAAACGCTTTTCTTTCCCGCTCGTTTGCAGATGGCGCTGAGATTAATCTTTGTTCTCCCCCTACATGCGTGTAAAAAATTCTGTCCCTTCTGTTATACATGTAATAACTCATAAATTATTTAAATTCATTAGCCATTTATATTCAAAATCAATAAAAAATCGCCATCTCAGAGTTCAACTCTATTTACAGCTTGCTAATTACTCATCTTTATATTTATATTTAAATTTCATCTCTGTCTATTAATATTCGCGCTATTTTCCATGTGTGTTTGTCTTTTTTTATTTTTCCATGTGTGTCATGTTGTATACAAATGTATGATAGTGATAGTTGGTATGTTTAGTTGTATCATTTGGATACTCAGAAACTCGTAGTAGTCAGGGCCGGTGATAAAACAGGCCCGTATCTTGAAAACTTTTCTCCTTTCTCATCTCACTTTTCTTTCCGTGAATAACTACGTAAGCTAAAAAAAAATTAAATAAAACCAGTACCGTGAGAAAACATTTCTTATTGACATCCGGATTATATTATATAGAATTATCCATCAAAGTCTATAAGTAAAAATAATTATCCTAACATTTTTTTAAATAATTAATTCTTTATTTTTTAATTAACAATTAAAAAAAAAACAAATAATTTATTCATTCTTCAAGAACCTTAATGAAAGTTACAATCTATAATTTTTTTTCTTTTTTCAGGGAAATAGTGACGCTTCAAAAAGGTCAAGGACATGGGTTTTTTTTTCACTCAAAAAAAACATCTTTTATTATCAGAATATTCAAATGAAAAATTTTATATAATAACCTGTCGTTCATTGGCCCTCAACCGCCAATCATTCAAACGGTTGATCTATAGCTTTTGAAAGGATATTCTTTCTTTATTTAATCTCTCGAGCCTTCGTGATTAAGATGTAGTAGACAACATCAATGACCGATTTTTTTTGTTGTATTCGCGAAATAAATGCAATCTAAACACTAGAGTGAACGAATGTTCTAGAACTTTCGCATGTGGCCTCGTTTCCGGCGCATGGATATATTAAAAGGTGCGCAGACCATGAGGTCTTTGCTTCATACGCGCGTAAGACATGAATTTAATGATAAATAATACCTTATTTTTCAATTTTGTGTGCATTTAAAACATATAAAATTTTTTATCTGAGTTATAATTAATAATAGCTGACCGAAATGTCAGTAATTAGTTTAATAACATGAATAAAGCGAAGGTCTTTTCTATAAAATTTTACACGAGGGTGCTCTCAATAATCTTCTATTATATTAGAATAGGTGTTGTATTAGCGCATGCGTCCAAGCTATTGGTTATAATGGTATATATCGACTTTATCTAATGTGTGACGAAGTACCAAGTCCACGACAATCACTAAAATGTACATTTTTTCTTTTTATTTTCATTCTTAAATCTCAAGTATTTTTCTCACCACTTTACCACTTCATTTACATCCAATTACTCTACCTATGTATATATTTCTTTTGGCGTAGAGCTTTTTACTTACGCTCTTATTTGTATGTGATGATGATGGTTTCATTGAGAAACATTTTAATGGGGTTTTTTTTCATTTTTTTTTTTTTTATTTTATTTCATGGAGCACGCGCCTACAGTCGGACACGAGCACGTTTTACTCGAGCGGGAACAGCTGCCGACAACCATCGCAGGTGAAGATCCAATGGATAGGACAGATGTACCGTTTTAAGGGACGATCCAAAGCTAAGGAAAAAGCTGAGCAATCTTTGAACATAAGTTTGACGAGTGTTACAACCTACGGATTCATGCCGAAAATTATACAAATGTTCCAGGTCTGTCTTTTCATATGATAAATGATAATCCATCCTAAGAAATGTGTACAGAGCCTAGAATTTTTGTTAGTGTTAGAACGTTAGATTACATCGGTTGCTTAGTTTTTGTATTAGAAGATGGCACGAAAATGTATGGCAATACAATGCCGAACTTCTGTGAGCACACTTAAATACATAAGAGATCAATTATTCAGATGGAAAAAAAAACTTCTTCAATACTAAGCGATTTATAAATAAAACTACAAATGTATTTTTTATATGAATATTTCTGTTATCAGCGATTCAACTTTCACCTGAAACTATAAGTTTTACATTTTTTCAAATTTAATCTAATCATGAATACGTGTTGAGATGATTCTTCGTATTTTTCATAAATTAGTTTTAATATTAACATTAAATTTTTTTTTTTAACTTTAGACAATATATATATATATAAAATAAAAGAAGGTATTTTTGATAGATAACAATAGATTTAATAAATAAAAAATTTAATCAAAAACTCATAAAAAATAGATTAATCATTATCATAAAAAAAAAATGATTAAAACACATTTTGTTATTGTTAAATAATCTAAAGTCATTTTAAGAAAGAATAATATTTAGTTTTATCTTCCCTGGTTTATTTTGTGAGTTAATAGATATTATTTATCACTATCTATTGAATAATAAAGTTCTAATCAAAACTTGTTACTTATTTCTTTTATTTTTTGATTTCAGGATTACCAAAAGTACTGATTTATCATAATAAGTGGCAAAAAGTCTACATGCTATTTTATTATTAATAATATTGAGAGAGAAAATTTAATAACTTTTTTAACTTAAATGGGGAAGCTCTATGACGTTGTTATCGAAAATCGATTCGTTCCTGTTGTTACGATGGAAATAATTGAGGTCAAATGTATAGGGGAAATGAAAATTTTAATATTTATTCAATGAATCTATAAACTAATAGCCTGAATATTTTACAAGTTCAAACAGTTGTCCATCGTTTACTTGACACATAAAATCGAACAATCGAACAAATTATAATGTAGAACCCAGGAATGTCATGTCTTATGAAATGTTATTGAGTATTATATAAAATCATAAGAAGGAGGTGAAGATTAAGAGTAAGTAACCGGATGCTATTTCGAATTTTAGTTGTGAATGCTATTAAACATATACGTATGCTCAACCTATATCTTGTTCGTTTTTCAGTACATCACATAGTAAGTAATGAAGATTCAACTAAATATAGCACTCTACGACGAAATTTTTCACTCTTCTTGGCGACTTATCAATTTTTCTTTCCTACTCAACACTTAAGCATCATCATTTAGGTCATTTTGGACTGTGATAACTCTTTTTATCCAGTTTATAGAACGAGTCTTGTAAAAATAAGAGTATGTCAAAAATTGCCTAATCGATGATAATGTCTTTAGATTAAACATAATCATTTCTAAGCATTGAATCGCTTGGATGACGAATCTACTCGTTACTATTTCGGCACATCTTTATTAAAATGTGTATTAAGTAAGTGGGACGCGACTCTGGAAAGCACTCAACTACAGGTGGTTCTAAAAGTTTTCATAGAATTAATTATGTTATGGGTTTTGTACCCTTTTGTTCGTTTATCACCCTCTTAACATAAATATTCATTGATGTTCTCGTTTAAATTTATTTCATGTCATTAATTAGAGTCGTCTAATTCGCTAGAATAAATTTAATTATTTTTATTATAAATTATGAATAAAACATTCAAGGTATTTTTCTTCTATTACTCGTCATCTTTTTTTTCTTCTATCATATAACCGGCTAGCAATCTCAAGACTTGCTGACCGTTGTCGTGATGAAGGAAGGAAATGTGATGATAAGAATACTTCCCGATAAATTATACAGGTACAGTCACTGATAAGGATATCTAACCGCATGTGTTTTAAAACGTGCCGGTTTAGTTAGTGACATAAAATACATTGGATAAAATTATATGAACGGATATTGATAATGATTCTTTAGATATTATGATAACTACATAAATTATTACTAAACACGTAATATGAAGATGATGATAGGAGATAACATATTAATGAGTATAAATAATAAAACAGTAAAAAAAAATACAATTATTTATTTTTAAATATTGAAACTTGCAGTTTCAACAGTGAATCATTTAACTATTGCCATCTAGATGTTAGTGAAAAATTATTCCTACAGTCGGTAACTTATTTGGTAACTTTATTATCGACACCCGCCGACTGAAAACAGGAATTCTTTTTTTATCTTTTAAAGATAAAACAGAAGAAACGTGAAATCGATCATCATCAAGCATTAAATTCAAATTCAAACGATGACAAAGATCTTAGATGCTTGTTCATTGATTTTAAGTTTATTTCCACACTTTTAAAATATTTTAAATAAAATATCACAGAGTTAAAAAACTAAAACATCTGTAATTTCATTATTTTTTCAGGTACAACTAGCTTATGACTAATAATGTTTAGTGGTATATTCAAGATCATTATTCAATTGACTTAGAGTAGTTGTAACAAGTGTCATATATAATATGAGTAGTTGTAACAAGTGTAATAAATGAATGCTTATATATTTGACTTTGTAGAGCTATAGACGTATGTTCATATTAATTTTGTTTTTTTTTTACTGACAAAATTTATATTTCAATAAATCATTTTTTTTTCTAGTGTGAACGACTTCCTTTATTCCAATGGTAAGCTAAGAATAATATATTCTAGATAAGAATCATAAAATTTATAAATAAATAAGTTGATTGTTTAAATGGATAATAAACTGTCAATTTTAATTCAAAAATATAAAATAATAGATGAAGTATAAACATTCTTAAAGTTAAATGCATTTATCATTCATTATCTTCAATGCTTAAGATAAAATTTTTATATCAGCCAGTACAAATATAAGAACGTGTAGTGATTAAGGAGGGCATTATATTTACATCAATTGAAAGTCAACGTTTTCCGATTGTGATGGCTCAATTAACGTCAGTGTGTAAAGTCCGACCAGTAGTGGACGATAAAAAAATTATAGAGCTTCTAAAAACTTTATATGGATTCGATGTAAGAAGTATTGAAGAATTGAATGGGTATGATGATAAAAATTATCGAATTTTATGTTATGAAGAGCATACAAATACTCATGTTGAACAAATTGCACCAAAAGGATATGTCTTGAAAATTATTAATTCCTTGGACTCCCAAGATGAAGATTTTATCAAAGGACAAAATGAAATGATGTTTTATTTAAATAAACACAACATAACTTGCCCTGTTTCTGTGATGAATCTTAATGGTTTTTATTACTCTCTGGAAAAGCTGAATGAAAATGACACAACTTATCATGCTGTGAGTAACATTTTTTAATTATCGAAACGAGTTGGTTGATAATTGGATTTATAATGAAGTCAAGTTTTTTTAGAAATTGGATTAAATGGCTCAAGAAATTTATTTATTGATTAATTTTCTATATGGTTGATTAATAGCAAGTATTGATTCATTATTTATTTTCTTTTTTTCCTTAGGTAAGACTTCTAGTTTATTGCCCAGGAGAAATTCTTTATAATGTAAAAATAACTTCAAACTTAGTTTTTGACGTTGGACGATTCGCTGCTAAATTGAATGAAATTCTTCGAGGATTCATTTATCCACCATTCGAAAATTCTATACGATTGTGGAATCTTTTATCTGTGCCAAAACTACGAAACTATTTATTTGTTATTGAAGATGTCGAGGATAAGTCTTTGCTGCAAGAAGTCATCAGTTGTTTTGAAAAGAATGTTCTTGATAAATCGAATCAATTGGAGAAAGGTATGATACATGGTGACTTCAATGAACATAACATTTTAGTTGATTCAGAGAAAAATACAGTTGTAGGTGTTATAGATTTTGGAGATGTACAATACTCATATTTTATTTTTGAAGTAGCTATTGCTCTTTGTTATATGATTATTCAATCTAGAGATATAGGTATGGGAAAGCATGTAATTGAAGGATATCAAAGCATAAAGAAGCTATCAAAGTTTGAAAAAAGTATTTTAAAAATTACAGTTTGTGTTAGGATTTGTCAAAGTTTAATTCTAGGAATTTATACACATTCAAATGAGCCACAGAATGATTATTTACTTGTCACACAGAAACCAGGTTGGAAGATATTAAGAAAATTATGGTATATGGAAGATGATGAAGTTGCTATTGCATGGGGAATATAAAATAATTTCCAAGTTAAAATTATGATACATACTGTACTTGAATGTACTAGAAACAATTATACAGATAGGATATAAAGTGAATGAATTAATGTTTTTTTTTTTTTTATGAATTGTGCAGTGAAATACATCCTCCTCAATTTATTTTTTATCCATACGTAGGCAGTTACAATATTTACATACACAGGTGTAATAATTTTTTTATATTAAATGTATTATCATTCATCAATAAATGAACAATATTACTCTCTGTTCGTTAATATCGCATATTCATTTTACATAGATGCATTATATTATATACAAAAAGGTCAATTGAAAATTTAAATATTAATTAAGTACGCATTGAACAAATAAATACATTTACCATAATTTTTTCGTTATTTTTAATGTTTTTAAAAAAATATTAAAAAATGTTTTTAATTTATATGTTAAACAATATCTAAATAACTTTCATAATTAATAATTAATTAATTATCAATAATAAATTAGTCTCTTAATTAATCTAATCTTGGATACGTTATTTTACATTACTTAATTATTGCTTAAAAACTAACAGCTTAGATTTTAGATCCTTGAGGGTTTTTAGTAGGCGTGTAATAATTTATTTTTAGTGTACTATTTGTTTGTTTAATTTATAATTTATAAGTGATAATACTAGCATATTACTTTCTATGTCTATAAATTCATCTTGAATCGTGTAAAATGAAAATGAATATTGAAAATTAAATAAGTAATAAATAAAAGAAGCAAGTAATTAAGAGTATGGATCAATTTGTACTCGCGGAATGTATAAAATAATTGTTTGCCTAGGTGATTGTAATTCCATTTCGCTAATGCCCAGCAGAAATGGTTTTTAGAGTTGTTCAATTACTCTTTCAGTCTTGAAAAACGATTCTCCGAATGTATAGAATGAAAGAGATGTCATGAAATTTGTTAACAATTTTTTAAATGACGAAGCTTTAAAAACAGACGAGTTTATGTTCATTTTCTTTTTTTCGTATTCTTTTCATTTACTCAAAAGTCTTTGGAATTATTTCTTATAGAAGACTTTCAAAATTTAAATTTAGTTAATAATTAATTTAAATTTATTGTGTTTAATCTCTTTGAGGTTTAATGACTAATAATTACCCTTCTTTTTTATGAACTTTAACAATATTCTCTTTAACTCTTTCTGTTTCCTTATCGTTATTTAGATTTGCAGAAAAATAGATTCAAGTAATGTCAAACTTAAAATCTATTTTTTAACAGACCTATTTAATTTATCTCTTTTTCCCAGCGTTCGCAGGAGAATGCAAGGAGCAAGAATTTGTTTTAATTAATTAATACTCATGGCTAGATAAAATTTGAGGTAACATTTATTCCTCTTCTTATTGTAGTAGAATAAGGTGCCATGTTTAAAGTGTGCGTAAAATAAATTTCATTTTTAGAAATGGACCATTTATTGGTCTTGACTCTGTCATTGTTGATTTTTCGACCATTTTTCAGAGACTACACTCATTTAAGTTGAACAATTTATATTTGTAATAGTTATCTAATTACCATCAACAATTACACGAATTTCTATTAATTTCTTTCTGGGCCTAACGACAGGATTTACAGCATTGCTTTTGGTAGAGCGGCACTCGGCACATATTCATCATCTTCACTCTTCCACAAAGCGACGAATGATCTTTACATTCTTCTGAAAACACATTAATTGTTGATAAATGTTTTTTTACACATTTTTATATTATTTTTTATTAAAAAATTACCAGGTACCCGAGGACAAGGTGGGCCTTGGCAAAACTTCATGACGGGAGGCCGCAAAATATCTCTACATGCATTCCCTGCTGGTTTTTTCGTACCAAACCATACACACTGAAGAATTCTATATTTAATTCCGTCTTCTTCACAAGATGCGGTACACTAAGAATTAAAATTAAGCCACAATTGAGTTTATTTATTTTTTTATTGTTTTTTATTCTTGTTAATTCTTTTTCACTTACCTCAGACCATTCTCCAACTCTCCAAACGCCTTTACACGCGTCATTATAGCATTCTTGTCTCTGCGGAGGCCTTATACCATCATCACACTTACTGGCGTCGAGAATTGTCACGTTTACCGTTCCATTTAATGTTTCCTCGGTTAAACGGCATGAAACTTCTCTTCTTTGCATAGCTAAAAGAATAAAAATTAAAAAAAAAAATTTAATCAAGCGTCTGAGGTATTACTTTTTATTATATTTAATATTTTAGCTGCTATGGAAATTTTCTAAAATTATTTTTATATTAAATTAATTGGAGTTAAAAAAATAATTATTAAAAAAATAGCTTTGTACTCGTATAATTGATATGTACTGCCTTACAGCTGCTAACGAACTTTAAATTAAATGGAAGTAGGTTTGAATTTCTAGCCAAATTTGTAGAGAAATGTTATGCAGCTAATTTATGTTTTCATTAAAGTCTCAAACTACAATATTTTTTGACAAGATAATGTCTTGGAGAGTTGACAAATTGAATTTATGCGAAGTTATCAATAAATAAACATGAATGAACATTACCTGTTTTCCAATTGAAGCATCTTGAGGACTCACAAGGTGTCCATTCACCTGTATGCCACTGGGGACACCTTTGAGCTCCACAGGGACGAACTTTAGACGGTATAGGAAGTCCAGCATCTTCACAAAGTGAAGCTCCTATTACTGTTCTTGATGGGACTTTTACTGTGTTATTAGTTTGCTTTGTTGAGCGAACTGTACACTGTGCTCCTCTCATTTGAAATCCACCACCTCCGCAAGTTTGAGAGCACTTTGACCATTCAGTTGTGATCCATTCAAAAACTAAATCTTCACTGGTTTCTTTACTCAGTACATTTAAAGAGCCGCTGATAGGATCCGCAGTCGTATCATTTATCTCAAATGCTAGAGTTTCCACTTCAATTAATGAAGGTTTTGAATTTTTATTTCTATCTTTATTGGAATGATGAGAATTATGTCTTGTTTTCAAATGCTTTTCATTCATTATCGAAGTTACGTCAACTCTTGTTATATCTTTCATTCTTTCTGTAGTTTCTTCATTGCTTAATACTTCCAATGCTCCTCTATCGATATTTTCCGAATCATTTTCTTTTGCATTTTCATCACTAGATATTAAAGATTCATCATTCGAACTATTTGTCAAATATTTACTTGTTTCATTTTTATTTATTTTTTGCTTAATTAATTCTTCTTCATAAGAATCTTCTGTTTGTTCCATTTCACTTCCTGACTCAAACAATTTCTCATCATCTTCCGGCAATTTCACCGTCAAAGTCTCAGTACTAAATTTTGAATTTTCATTTACTGGAGAATTAATAGTCGTATGAATTGAATTCTCGTAAATTTTATCAGTTTCTGTGATTAATTCATTTTCATCATCATCAATATTTGTTGGAAGTGTGGTTGTGTGATGATTATGCAGTAAAATTTCTTCTTTACTCTGCAATTTTCTCTCTTCTTTCAACAACTCTTCGATTATTTTTTCCCTTGATTGAATATCTTCAATGAGTTTATCTTGATTGTTTTCTTCCATTTTTTCCTCATTAGAGCGGTCAAATAAATATAAATCAATTGCTGGTACGGTAGTAAAATGTTTCGTGAATTTCTTATCCGATTTCTTAACAAGTACTCTTCGATTACTTAAATCGTTATCAATCACATCTTTGGGATCGTTTTTAGCATTTTTCAACGTCTCTTCGAGGAAATCTTGGTTCTTTTCTGTACTAACGTGATGTCGATTTTTAGAAGAAGACTCGACGGACTTTTTCATATTCTCCCATGGATCTATAGACCATACAGCTGATTCAAAGTCAAAAGGATCGTCGTCAATAAATATTCTTTCTTCATCTGGGCCGAATGTGTCATCAGGAATGACTGAATTACGACCAAACATCTCGAATTCATTATTCATGCTGTCATACTTGAGATTATCATTTGAATGCTCTTTTACGTGAGGTTTATGTGAATTTGATGGCTGATAGTCATCTGAAGACGGCGAAGGAACCATTCTGTGGCCGCGGTATGGAGATCCATTACTTTGGAAAGGCCAATAGGACTATAAAAATACATGTTTACAATTAATAATCATTAGAAATAAGATTTCATAAATAATAAAACCACAAATAAATATTAAAACTGTGTTTATGATATGTAAATTGAATGAAATGTTAGTGAGTATGTTAATTAAGAAATAAATCGTATACCCAAGTATGGATTGTATTCTAAAGTTTCCAAGTTAATTTCACCTTGAGAGAAGAGATAAGCAGGCTAAACTGTGGCACAAGTTGAGAAGCACCAGAAGTAGCTGTAGATTCAACAGATTCATGATACCCTGGCTATTGAATTCCAAAGAATCCATAGTATTACAATTAATCGCAGCAATTAAACAGAGATAGATAAAAGTTTATTTAAAGATCAATAGTTGTATTGGTTTACTTGTTTTATCAAATCTACAGATTAGGATTTATTCATGCAGTTATTTTTAAAATTCATATAAATTAAAATGCATCAGGAATCACGACGATATTTATTACCGTGTCCAGATTTATTATTACAATTTTTGGCATTCAGACTAATATTGCATTTTTCATGTATAGGAAATCGCTGTGTTGTATCGATTTTACGTCACTCCAGCGCATGCATTTAGTTGTTAAATTATTTTGGGATTGTATCACATAAAGCATTTACCTGGTGAACTGACGTAACTGAATATTCTCCGTTCGATATTGAATCTGATGACGGAGGGCTTGGTTTTGGACGCTTTGGACGTCGTGGTTTCTTCGTCGGCTTTCCGGCGGAAGGTATTTCCGGTCGTGATTCATGGCTCAGGTCATCATTTCCAAAGGAAAATGATCCTTGATAAGCTGGTGCTATGAAATCAAAATTTTATTTGATTTTATCCAATTATATCCTTCAATTTATCATTTAACTCTATAACAGAGTTATGAACTTTTTTCATGGAATTTTAGAGAGAAACTTTTCTTACCAGTTCGATCGATGTGTAAATTTTCTCCGGAATTAGCAGTGCCAGAGTCTAAGTTAACATCCTGTCGATGATGAACAGTATTACCATTGCGTAAAATTTCTTCGCTGCTCATTTGCTCTCTCGTTCGACGTTTGACGATTAAATTTAACTCCGCATGAGATTGGCCAGCTGGAATATTGAAAATGGAATTTTTTTTTATTAAAGGAAAAATGAAGAAAAATAATTATTTTCATAAATCTAATTGGAAGTTATTGATTTATTGAACTACCTATGCAAGCGTAGGCACCGCTGTCAGTTAATCCAATATTCATTATCTTTAAAGCTCCTTTTTTACTAATTTTATATTTCCTGGATTTGTGTAATTCCCCTCGATCCTTCGTCCAAATGATTTGTGCTCTACAAAATAGATTCTTTCATTTATTTTCATTTCTATATTTATATGACTACATGCTTATTTATTTTGTGCAATAATCATTTCCTCAGTATTTTTTTTACTCACGAAAAATACAACGCAATAATAAGATTAAATTGGTTTTTTTTCTTGTTTCAATTTGCATGCAAAAACAGTTAATTGTTTATGTGTTTTCTAGTTGATTGGTTTTCGTAATTAACTCGTCAATTCATTAATTACGTACTTGTTAAATTTCTTATTAAGCGGACATCGAATTTTAACCACGGGAATCCCTTGAAAAACCTTCGCCGTCCCACCAATTTTAAGATCCACTTTTCTCTCGGGATCAGCTTGATCGAAAGTTGCATTCTGACTGAGTATTAATGGTTGAGCGCTCAATCCAATTTCGTGACAAGGTTTAGTGTTACAAGATTTTTCAGATGGTGGTTTATTTCCCTGACAATCTCGATCAGGACGTATTTGTTTGTGTCCTTGAGCCATGATCTGTTCACATACAACTTCTCGTCGTTTGATTCCACCACCGCAGCTTTTTGTGCACTAAAATAAATTAAAAAGTTAATTTAAGCTCATATTAGTATAAAATAGTAGATATGAAGACTAACAAAATGTCATGATAGTATTTAATTAGGAAAAAGATTAAATTAAGATAAATAATTGTTAATCGTTAATAGAACAAAGAAGCTAGATGGTGTGAAGTAGACGGCTCTCTTTACCTTGCTCCATTCACCAGGCTGCCATTTAGGTGGACAATCCCACACGTTGCAATGTTGCCTATCGACTGGTGGTGGTGTCTGACACATATGGTGTGGTACCACCACTGTATTCCCATCACCCCGCGCTACTTCATGTATGCAAATGACGTCCCGCGTTTGTATACCAATGCCGCAGGGTTTGTCACACGGTGAAAAGTCACTGGTATTCCATCTACGGAAATAATGGACATCATTAGGATTGCTAGAAGTTCATTTTTAGCATTAAACTTATCAAAAACTTTGTCAAGATCTTTCAATTTAAATTTTTATCAAACTTGAAGTAATTTATTCTTATTTTACAGTGTAAAAAAGTAAATGTAAAATAAATAATTCAACATGAAACTTCAAATGATTACGATTAATTACCTAGGTGTACAAGCATGGTCATTGCAGGTTCGTATTCTAGATTCTGGTTTAGTTTCTTTAGTGCACAAAAGTGGAATAACCGTTTTACCATTATCATCTCTGACACAGTTTATAATTAAATCTTGGACTCCTAAAAATAATTAAGAATAAAGATCAAAAGATGTTTAAATATTTTTTGTATTACTTTATGGTTTATTTTAAAAATTAAACACTGTTTATAAGATCACAATTGAAAGAGTTGTCCTTTATACTTGAAGGTATAAAAAAGTCAACAGAAAACCTAAGAAAAAAGTTTTTAAATACCTCCAAGGCAAGATGCAGTACAAGCACTATAACCAGCTTCCTTCCATGAGTAAGTAGTTTGTCCGGAACTGCCAGGAGCAACTTTAACACTACCTTCATAATCACCTCTTCCCGACTCTGAAGACCTGAATGAATCCATCATATTAGATTCTTCATATCCACTGTCTCCAACAGTATCAACTCTGTATGAAAGGCCATTTTCCAGATTAGTGCACGGTCGTATCATGCATTTCTCAGTCTCTGGAGGCTTTGGTCCCGTACAATGATGATCTGCGATCTTTGCAATTGTCCTACTCATCTCTAGGAAAACTTTACAATGGACTGCTCGATGGCGAATTCCTTCACCGCAAGTTGCACTGCATGATGACCATTCATCAGCAATAAAACTAGGATAATGAAATTTTATTGCCATGTTGAAATTCAATTTTGTTTAAAAGAAAATTGAAAAGTCATTGTACTTTATTACTTAAATTGTAATAATTGATTATTAAAGGATTAGAGGTTTGTCAATATCAATTAGGATTTACGATTGAATTAATAGAGAGAAATTTATATATAGACTTACGTAGATTCCGACGGTATTGGCTGGTCTATTAATTTCTGTGGCATCGGCGGGGGTGGATAAGGCTGCATTAATGGTTGTGAGATCTCCTCAGAGTCTAGAGAATTAATTAATCAATTAACGTTCATTTTTATCTTATCAATAATCGATTGAACTCATTATTTACTTACATGTAGGACATTTTATATTAGATTTGCACTCTTGCTTATCGTATGGGCGTTCTGCGGGATCGCAATCGGTCGCCAATCTTCCATTCCCATCTCTGCATTCAATAATTCTTGTTCTTATTCCAGTCCCGCATGTAACTGAGCACTACACAAAGTTTAATAATCGATTAAATCATCAGAAATTTCAAGTTAGACAAATAAAAAGTTTCATTTGCTACTGATGTAATGGAATAAACTTTTTTGCAGGACTTGAGAGCCTGACATTCTAGGGTTCATGATAGATATGACCTCTACAAGATCAACAGCTTGAAGTTTTAGGATTTCTTGATTTGAATATCCGATTCTTCTTTTATAGAAATCTGTTACAAGGTCTGACAAACAAACTCAAACTTTAAGTCATTAAAAATTTCCAAATATTTGGAACCAACTATTAGATTATTATTAAAAGCTTTTTGATGATATTTAACTTTTTATAAAATTGGTATGAAACTTTGTTTCATTTGGAATAAAGTATTTATGAAACCTATTTTTTATTCCAACATGATTCAACAAAGAGAAGCGAGATCTTTTTTTTAAAAACTTGTTACACCAGTGGAATTTTAGAAAAGTTTTATTATCAACTATAAATCATGTAAAACTGATAAATCTATTTTCGAGCTATCTTGTGTTTATTGAAGATAAAATAATGTAACAGGAGTTTACCAAGGTAAAATAGCATCGTTTGATGTTAGCAGTTGATTGAATTTACGCTTTATGTTTAGAAGACCGTCTTTCTATTCCTTTTTTTCAAACGCACTAAATAGTCGTTTTCACCCCTCGTTCAACGTCTGACTCTTAGTGTCTTCTTTGAGAATAAACCAAGCGTACGGGTACTTTAAAGTGCCTTGCGGAAAATAAATAAAAATACCGTGAACAACTTTCACGTAGACGCTATGAAAGTAAATATTTCCATCTTTAAAGAGCAAAGCATTTCTTAGATACATAAAACTGCTCATTTTTCCTCAATATCAGTGTTAGTGTTTTTAGCAATTTTCCAATTAGAAGTTCCACTGGAATAACACACGAAAGACGGCGAAAAGTTTTCTTGAAATAATTAACTTGTTAACTTACTTTGCTCCAGGGCTCTGTTTCCCACATTGGGCACGATATTGTGTTACAAGTTTCTTGATTTTTCGGCCGATGGCTGTTGTTACATCTGTGATCTGGTAACTATAATACAATCGTTGTTATATACGATTTTCATTCAAGGATTAATTAAAGTAACTTGTTTAAGTTGAAAGAAGTTTTTTACAGTGATTCTTTGTGTAAAGTTATTTAATGTGTTATTTAAAACGAGATTGTTTTGTGTAAGCAAAATATCATTCAAAAACAAAGTTTAAATTGATTTGAATAGTTTCATTATGCTTTAATAGTCAGAGGAATAATTTTTCGTGACGGTTATGAAAGAAATCTTGAAGGTATATTTGGATTAAAGTTTCATTCTCAAATCATAAACGATAATTCTTACTCACTTTGATAGTTTCATTTCCATTTTTTTCAGTGCAATAAATGGGTCTAGTTCTGGATCCACCACCGCAGCTAGCACTGCATTCACTCCACTCTCCAGTAATCCATCTGTGGAAATAAAAATCCGGAGAACTCATAAAAGTTACTCTTTAAGCCAAATAAAAAATTCTTTCCTTACTTAAAAATCCCATTTGCACTTTTCTATAATCCCTTTATTGTAAAATATAGAGGAAAAAAAGGAATTAAAATACCCGGAAAAAATGAAAAACGATAATGAACATGGTAATAGTGATAATATGCATATGTAACTATTATTACTTTTGACATAAGCTTTTAGTTGTTATAAAGACCAAATAAAAAAAAACAAAAATATTCCAAATACATTTTTAGTAACTTTTAAAATGTCAATTAACGTCAGGATAAAATTTAATGTCAATTTTAGATTTCATAGACATAAGAAAAATCACTTGAATCATTCGATTTAGTGAACTCTTGTCATTAATAATTTCAACTGACGCAAGAGAACATTTTTATTCTACAAAAATCTGCAGTTGAAAAATAGTAAAAACATGATGTATATTTGTTGGAAACAGAAGCTAAAACTAGGAAAGACATTTCCGGCTCTGTTATACTCCAAAAAATCATATCGTCTAGTCATGAAATTTTACTTTGACGTTTTATTCAAACCATCTGCCAAGAATGCTTTCTATTCCTTTTATTTCCATGAATTTTGGCTCGAGCACAAGGACTCCATTCTTTCCGCAGGATGGTATCCAAAATTCGTTAACTATTTACATTTTCTCTGGTTTTCTTTTTATCGAGAGCAGTTTTTCCTACTCCAAACCAATTGTTGTACATGTCAATATTGTAATAAATAGTATTATAACATATTTTTACAAAATAAAACATCAATACTTTTTATCCATTTACTTTGATAATTTATTTATTATTTTCCTCTTTTACCAAGCTTTTCGAAACGTATCATTATTTTTATTTTCAAGTAAAAAATCTTTTAAGTAGCTATTAAATTTGATGATAAAAATTTAAATATTTAATTATCATTAGTAAATAGTGAATCCATTGAAATATTTGATGATATAATTGAAGAAAAGTTACAATTTTAAAATTAAAATGGAAAAAAAAGTTTAAAAGTTATAGAAAAGTTAGTAGATGAAGTTCAGAATTATATGAAAATATAAAATAACTCAGTAGATAACATAAAAAATTCATTTGCAACTTCAACATTCAGATAAATAAGGTTATATAAATATTCTATACTCAAATAAATAATAAAACTTATTAATAAAAAAAAAATAGATTATTTATGAAAAAATTCTTAATTAAAAATAGAATAGAAAAATATTTCTAATGAATGATGAATATGCATAAAACAAAATAAAATAGGGTTGAAAGTTAAATAGACAACATTTGAAGCGACACTGAGTGGATTAAATGGAGGTATCAGGTTCTTCCGGAGGTCAGCATGTCGTTATAGATCAATTTCTGAGTATGCAGTCAGTGTGTTAACCGAATTAAACTAAAGACAAGAGGGGAGCAAAGCAATTAGCGCGATTTAACGACGCCGTCTCCCAGCATACAGTGATTTATTAACGAGCTGTGCGTGCAACTGCACACAAGAGCATATCATCTATGTGCAACTGCTGCATAAATGCCCGCGACATTGGAATACACAGCACCAATACGGTACATGATGATAACGTAGCAATTCTAGCATATGCCAAATCAATTACAGTGTCAATAAATAATAAACCAATTACACTTTTTTTTTTTTTTTGATGATTGAAGGAAATGGGAAAAATATTGAAATGTTTCATTATTAAAAAAAAAACATTCGTTAGAAATAAAAAGATATTTAGACTGGCGACTCTGTTTCTCTTTATCCAGGAGTTGGAGAATAAAAGATGCAAAAAATAAAAAACGACTTTACAAGTCTTTTTGGCGACTAATGGCCGTTAGAGAAGTAGAGAGAGAGAGAGAGAGAGAGAGAGAGAGAGAGAGAGAGTAGGATAAAAGGGTGTGCATTGCAACGAGAAATTCAGTAGACCGACATCTCCTTTGCTATATTGCTTTTTTCGGTCTTAAAACTACGTCTATTTCAAACACTCTTGGCTTTCCGCCGAAAAGTCTATTCTCAATACTAAAACTATTCTGCCATTGTCGACAGTTGCCGACAGAAGAATAATAGAAATGTGAAATATAAAAGTTGAGAAATTGTGAATTTGCGTGAAATGTTTTCAATTTTTCTTTCTTGTTTAGATTTTGAAAGAAAAACAGGTGTTTTCAACAAATATGATAATCTTTTTTGTAGTTTGAAACATACTAAAGGATCATTTAAGGTTTTTGTTTTTGATAACATATTTTGTGAAATTAAATTACTTACTTTATACCAAAATTAATCTAAATATCTCCACTAATGGAATATTAATAAAATATAAACAATTTTGATCTTTTTTTTGAATAATATTATTATTATATTTTACTCTTGTATACCCAACTGGGTTTTTACATTTCGACTATATACACTCAATACAGACCAACTTATATCTAAATGAACTTAAGTTTAAATTATAAAAATAATTTTCTTTTGGCACTGTACATTATGCTGCACGCAAGGGGGTTGCAGTTTTACATCCATAATCTAAAATCACTCTTATTTCTCTACATGCTCCCCTTCCCTCCAAACCTAAGTCACCGCCTTCCATACAACTCACACTCTACTTTTTCCACAAACTCGCACAGCTCAAAACAGATGTTTCCCTTGAGCAATTCTACAATAAGACTTTGAATCTCCAATTCGCCTTGATCTCCCTTCCATTTAATTAAAAATTTTTTTATTTTTTCTGATGTGGCTAATGGCTTCACTACAGCACAACAATGGCATAATGTCTCACTGCAAACCAACCACACAGCACATGACCAGTCCTCCAGCCTTTTTTACCACCTCTTCCCACATTACCACACCTGATCCTGGCCCAGATTTCTTTATACCTAGAGTTTTTTATTCTTTGGTTCCAATACACTGCACCATTGTCACCAGGCTTCAAAATTGCATATATGGGGGTTATATGTGGACCTCAGGATAGATCCCACTCTTTATTTTTGTACCTTCTTTCCAGTTTGTCAAGACCGCAGGCAAATCGCGCTGCTATCGCACCCGCAGCAACTCCATTTCTTATGTCTTGAATTATCTCAGTATCCTCTATTTCATAGCAAAACTCCGCAAATGCTTTTCCCCATGCTGATCTTTGTTGTTTAATATACCTCTTACCTCTTCGAGTAAACATATCTCGGCCAGCGGTCATCGTCCATTTCTAATACTTCCCATAAATATCTACAGGCACGTTCTTTGAGTATGAATTCTATCTCTTTAACTCCTATCTCATTTCTCCAAATATACTTGGGCGTATTCCTAGCAACGCCGAGAATCGCCTTGCAATATCTGCTTTGCACCTTTGAAGTCTCTCAATCTTACCAAGTCCCCATATCTCTACCCCATACACCGCCATGGCTCTGACAATTGTTTCCATCAGATATATCCTTTCACCTTTTAGGTCTCTGCCAGCTCTCTTGAACAGCCCCCATGTTGCGTTTGTAGCTTTTGAGCTTACGCGCCATCTCTCCATATGTACTGTCGCTTTATTGCGCCGTAAACCAGTAGCCTAAATATTTAAATTCCTTCACCACTCGATAGTATTCTCCTAAAGTACCATTTCTCGTTGTCTTTACTTCTACCCTCCATTTTTAAACACCATGATCTTTGTTTTCCTGACGTTAACCTCTAGCCTATTCTTGTCACATACTTCTCCAACGATTTCAACATCTTGGTCAGCTCCTCACCACTTCATTCAGCCACTATTGCTATATCATCTGCATATTTCAGTGCTCTTACTTTTGCTTTGGCCCATCACAGTACCACCTTCTTTATTTCTCTCCCAGATTTCATCTATATCATCAATAAATATGTCAAACAGAGCTGAGCTGAGTGCACAGCCCTGCCTAACGCCAACTCTGCATAGAAATTCGGCTGAGAAACAACACCATTCACTTTGACTTCTGCTTTGTTGTTCTGTAGATCTCCCTTATGAGCTTATGAAAGTTTCCTCTTACACCAATGCTCCATACTTTTTTCAGCATAATTTGTCGATCCACGGTATCGAATGCTGCTCTGAAATCGATGAAGGCCACGTACAATTTCCCTCTTTTACCTCAGTCTGTTGTTTATTAGTGCGTTGAGTACAAAAATGTGGTCCTCTGGTTCCCCTTTTCTTACGGAAGCCTGCCTGACTCTCTCTCAGGGATCTCTCTTTGTCCAGCCAACAGTTCAATCTTCCTGCCATTATACATGTCAGCAGTTTGGTATCCCGAGTCCAGGAGTGAAATGCCCCTGTAATTCTCCGGTTTATTTGCGTCACCTTCCTTAAAGATTGGGACGATACGTGCTTTCTTCTCCATCCTGGAGGCAATATACCCTCATTCCATATTCTGTTTAAGCATTCTTTCAACATTCAGCGAAAGCTTATTCATCTGCTTCAAACATTCTATCGGGATGCCGTCTTCCCCAGGCGCCTTCCCCCTTGCCATCTTTTTCAAAGGCCGTCCGCCACTTCCAGCCTGCTATATCATCATCCAAGCCTTCATCCACCGAGTTGAGACTCTCACCTGCTTCTACACTCCATGGTGACACCTCCCGTACCTCTGTTGATCCTCCACTGTTGTAATTAAGCAGGCCACAGAGTAATGCACCCATTGCTGTTCACTTATATCCCCAACTACTACTGATTTCGTTTTCCCTCTAAACTATAAGTGCTCCCCACAATTCAGTCATACCTCTTGCCCTGCTCAGCTCTCTCCATTTGTCTTCCACCATTGTCTTTTGCCTTCACTGATCATCTTGTGTAACTTTTTTTCTGCACTCTATATAACATTTTTTCTTCACTGCAATTCTGTCCTTTAACCATTCGTTGAGCAACTTCCACACTTCACTCCTTAACTTCTTGCAATCTTCAGTATAAATCAGAGATTTTACCTTTGGACCTCTGTTCGTATCACAGCTGATTGGATTATTGCTAGATCTGTTAGCCCAACTTCGTCAGCGGTGCTCCAAAATATTTCTTTATTGCACTCCAATCCCAGTCTTTTGCTTATGTTCTGCATTTTGCTCACGAATACCTCTTGAATTTATCACTAGCTCTGTCTCCAATAAATCCGCCGCTCACTTTATTTCCCGTGCTTATCATAGGTCCCAGCTCTTCATCCCCGTCGTTCTCACCACCAACATCAAATACAAAGTGACAGGCATATGGTCAGACGCGATTCTCTTTATGACTTCCAGTTTTTTAACTACATGACTATTATCCTGTCTACCTAATATTAGGTCCAATACCGACCCCTCAAACATTCATAGCCACCAGTGTATGTCACATTTCCGTCCATATCACCATCTACACGTCCGTGCAATAATACTATGAAGACCTAGCTTCCTCACATATCTTTAGTACTCTTTTCCCTTCACTGTTCAGCACTTTGTCTGAGGACTTCTGGGCCTTGCTCGTAAGCTTCTTTCTCGTCTGCGAAGGCATCGCCGTTGCTCCTGCCCCACTCTTGCATTAAGGTCACCACAAATGAATACTAATTCGTAGCCACTTGCAACAACTCGATCACCTCTTTAAGTTTTTGCTCTGCTTTAGCGACACCTTCATTCAAGTACACTGATATGATTGCAAGGCCTTGTTTTTTGGCTTTATTACGAGACCATATTCCCACTCACTCAACGCTGTGCTTCACGAAACTGCTTCTTCTTATCAATCAAGCACTGACCCCCAACAAGCCGCCCTCTGTACTATTAGCCGTGCTTTATAATCGCTCCCTTTTTGCCCAACACTTATGCTCACAAATGGCTTATAAACAAGTTTTATTGCCTGGTCTGCCTTCATCCAAGCTCCTGGATCATTATTATTTCCGAATTTACATAAAAGTTTACCGCTCTCCTGTCCGCACACATGCCTCGAGCAACCGTGAAACTTGCCACGTCACCACCTTAACCCCTTTCTTCCCGTTCCACCCTCTTTCCGCCGCTCTGCCGCGCTCGTTCACTGCAAGCAGGGCTGCCGATTTCCACGCGCTCTCGGTCACAAACGACTTTGCTTCTGCCTGCAGTTCGCTTTTGAGTCGCACTTTTACTACTTCGCTGTTTTGGGGCTCTCTTCTTGGCTGGCGACCTCTCAAAAAAGCCACTCACTTTTGCCTCGCACTCTCACGGGCTGTCGTCGTCCACCCAGCTGTCCGTACTTCTTTCAGCGCCGCCGGTCCCCATTCTCAGCGTCGCTAGTTTGGACCTAAGTTTTCACATTCGTAGGCGTAATTAACATCCTTTGTGGTCCACGAGTACTGATGTCGCAAATGGTGATTAGCCAGGCCGAGCTTTCTTAGATCATGCCTCTTGTCTCAACAGGAATCCATGTTGGTTCTGTGTAGCAGCTCTATAAGGATGTTTTTCCGTCTTCGCCTACGTTCTTATACTGCATAGTGTTTAATGCTCGTCGGCTATTAGGGCAACCGGCTATTCCCATATTGTTCTTTGCCCTTCTCACTAGTCTGTCTATGGCTAGCTCGTCGACTTGCAGATTTTTGCTAACCCTCTGCCTGTTCACACTTGGTGATGAAGTACGAAACCTCGGATTTGCATTCACTGCCTTTTCATTGTTGTTGTCATCGATGGGCTCTACTTCCTCCCTTTCTTCCCTTGAGAATTCTTGGGGTAGTTGATTCTCAATTTGAAGCGAAGGTTGCCTCTCAAACCGCCTCTTATTGATGTCATCTTTGTCACTTTCTACTTTTCTTTCCAGCTCCACAATTCTCTTAATCATCTGGGTTTTTTTCTGTCTCCCAGGCTTGCCTATCTTTGTCTCTCTCCCTCATGAGACTCTTCACTAGCTCTTCTAAAGCAACTGTTTTGATTTTGAGCTCTTCATAGTGCTCCTTCGCTTCTATAGACTTTCCTTGAGAGCTTCTGACCACTATAATCTCGTGGTGGGAGGATTCCTTCTCTCTGACATCCATATTTCTGTCGTCAATCACTCCGCTTAAATTAATGGAGTTCTCCAATATACTTCTTCCCACTTCATCCATCTCTGCATGTGATTTTTGCCTAAAATCCCCTTTATCCTCCTCGTCGACCCAACCGGTGTCCAGTGTCTTTTCGGTATCTTCCATATTACTTTCTGGCTTGCTATGCTCTAAGGCATCTTCCACAGCGCCACTTTTCTCGGCTAGACTCCGCAACTCATATCTGCCCTCTTTGTTTACTGGTGAGTGCACCACCTTGGCTCTAGCGCCTTTCTCCCATGCCAAGAATTGTATGATGGTGCCCTCTTCTCTTTTTTCCGTCTCGGCGACTTTTTCTTTTGCCGGACGCCCCGGGCCCCTCTTCCCTTCGCCTTTCATTCCCTAACCTCACTTAGCTACTTCCACTATTCAATTCTATTTTCAGCTTAAGTACTTTTACAAATACTAGGACTTTATTTATCCCTTAGCTTCTTCGCAATTACTTAATGCCTCTAACTGCTCGCTTTCGCTCAATTAACGGTAATTTTCTCAAATTATTGATAATGCTTCGCAACATATCACTGTACTGTATGCTTCCATACTCGTCCCCCAATATCCTCTTTTTTTTTTTTGAATAATAAATAGCTCATAAAGAGAAGTAGAGTCTCAGCGAACATAAATAATTCCAATTTATTTATTCATTAACTCAGTGAGTTTGATAAATACTAAATAAATTCTGTTTTTAAATCATTTCAAAAAGTGTTTTTAATTAAATAAAATTGTGCTTAATTACTCCGGACTGTCGCACATAAATAAATAAAGCTTAGACCTTTTTATTTATAAAATAATAAAATTAATTGTGATACCAATTTATTTTTTAATTATTCAAGTCAACGTCTATATTTACTGCTCTATTTATAGTTTAAAATATATATGGACATATACTTGTCAATAAAAAAAAAAACTAGTTAACGACCTGAATTAAAATGTAAACTTTAACCTGTCTAGCATCTTTCTAAATGCCATTAAAAAATGCATACCCTCAATCGATATTCTAATCGTTTAGTCTCATTAAGATTTGAAACTTGCTCGAATTATCTAAGCTTTACTTAGATCCTTCAAAGTTTTTTTTGCACAACAGATGCTTTATTCTCAATGGCTCGATAAGCTGCTTAAATAGTTTACAATTGTTAGCATACTTAATAAATGCCACATAAACAAGAAAAAAGTTTTTCCAAACGAGATTAATTTATAAAAGCTTTCCAATAAAATTGGCATTGATTTATTGATATTAAAAACTAATAAATAAACCTGAGAAAATAAACCCATATTAGAGGTTTCTTCTTACTTTGTGGTGCAAGGATGAGTATTACAAGCCAATATCGTCTTATCTGGTTTCGTTTTAAGGTCACAGTTCGTTTCTTCAACTGAATTGTCATCTTGTAGAGATTTACAGACTGGTACAGCCATCTTAAATCCTAGAAAATGGAGGAAAAAATTTAATGAAGTTTTTATTTTATTTCATAAAATAGAATGTCTTTATCTGCCATCCTGTCAGATGCGTGTAAATGCCATTTATTCAATCTGAGAAATCCGTGTAAATTTAATAGAATGATAGAGTTAGAATAATTACCTCCACCACATGACTTGGAACAAGCAGAAATCGATTCCAAACTCCAAGAGAATCTTGACTGACAAGTAGAACCATTTCCACCACAAACACCACAAACATCTGTAGTTTTTCCACTTCCAACCTTCATATCGCAGCCCACAATCTGTAAATGAGAAATATTTCGTAAGAAGATGATAAAAACTCAAAAAGATATTGTAATTTAATAATTAAATATATAATAAAAAAATGGTCGTATCAAGTTGATTGCTTTTATGAATTTTTAGGAAATCTGGAGTGACATCAATCGTGACTGGAATTACATAGTTAGAGAACTTATTTATCATTCAGGTTGAAACACGGTAGACTTGAGGCTTTGGACTATATTATTCATCCCTTATCTTATGACTTGAGAGTCGTGACTTACGTTGGTGGATTTTAAAAGATGTCTCATATACTAGTCGTCTCATATCACTGATGTAGTGTTGAATAAACAAAAAAAATAATAAAGAACAAAATGAAAGTAAAAATATAATAATAATGATAATAATAACAACTTTTGTGAGGATTGAAAAGGATTTTGATCTGTCTTCTTTGAATAAAAAATGAAAGAAGACACATGGGGTAAAATGGTAAAAGAACTTGGTATGCAATATAGGGGTTGCACAAGGTATAAAAGAAGAAAGAAGAAAAAAGACTGTCGTGTATAGAGAAGAAGTACAAGTACGAGAAGTATCGCGAGTTTTCATCGCACATGTACGATGTAAGAAAGAAATGACGCTTGATGCTTTGAGAAACATAAGCGGTCTCCTGGAGTAGTGTTGGAGGACGATGAAGTTGTATCAGGAGAAAGAGATGAAAGTGAGTTGGTGAACAAGCTTCTGTGATTTCAAACCGATGTGTGTTTCTCAAAGTTCTTTATTGGACCAATTCTTCATTGAACACTTTATTATTAATTTTGTAAAATGAATATTGCTTCGAAAGTAATAATCAATCTTCAGCTAAAGAACAAAAATTAAGAAGAGGTTGTTTCTTCTTTGATCAGCTTATTATTAATTAGTAGTTAATAAAACATCTAAGAAAAGCATCTTATCAAGTAATCAATGATTTCAATGATAACCTTTTTATCTAGTTGAGATATTTTTAAAACTCACTTTTAGGAGAAAAATCAATAGATTCAGTTGGTAAGTTCAAAGAACTACAATTTTTCAACATACTTCATGATTATTTTGTTGACCAACATTTTTACCTCAAAAATTTCAATATTAAAAAAATTTTTTGCAACTTATGTAAATATTTCTTTATGTACTTTTGGAAGTTCATTCATGTGAATAATTAACCCAAAGACTGAAGAGGAGTTTTCGGAAGCTTTTGAAATGCTGACTAAAATAACGCTAACAGTGATGTGAAATTTTACTTCTAAATCTTCATTCTCTCTTATTTGACGATTCATATTTACTTGAAATTATGGAGGAAAATATATGGTTATATATGTGTTTGAAGTAAGTATAAATTTGTAGAAATCTTCGTCATCTCAAACACGAGTTTCTCTTTATCTGCTTTTCCTTCTCTTATATAGGCGACGAAACTCCGTGTCTGGAGAACTATGCATTTAATAATGTTAAGTTAATTAGTGTTCATCGACCTCAGTTGTTAATTACGCAAACTCTAAAGCGTGTAGCTGATTAGATATTGTCTCATGCCATTATTTCAGTGGTAAATTTTATGAATTATTATTTAGAACTATTTCCTGCTTTCTAATTTTATTCATTCATTTCTGTTTAATTTACATCCTAGTCCATAAGATAATAAAACCTTGTCTTAAATTTTGAAACAAAGTAGTCCAATTACAGCAACTTGATTTGAATTTTTTTACAGTTGATAGCTGTGAAGAATAGTCTTAAAAATGCAGCAATAAAATGAAATGAAGTTGAATGTTGAATAAAAGAATGAAGAATTCATACTGAAAGAAAAACAAAAAAGTCGTTATGAAGGAAGAGAATGACAAGTGTAACTTACCATGCAGGTACCACCAATGCAAACATCAAGTCCATCTGCATGGCACTTGGTACCATCCTCAACTTTGTCAGCAAGTTGAATAATGATAGAGTCATCAGTGTCCAATTCAGCTAAACTATCTTCTGCACTTTCTTCACCCGACTGCAATTTATTTCTCCTATCATCCTGCTCACTATCTTGATATCTTGATGACAAAGTAACAGATGTTGATGGAACTCCTCGACAAATCAAAGAGCAAGGTCTAGAAGAGTCATAGTGTGGAGTCCATTTGAACAATTGCCCACTGTATGGGACATTGTTGAATGCGCTGCATTGCTCTGCACGGAAATCGCTGGACATCTCACACGGCTGAAACAGTACGAAGAGAATTAGAGGATGAATAGTGATGTGAATGGAAGAGAAGAGAAAATGAGTTAAAAGTGAGAGAGAAGAGTTCTAACGGCCCATTAATCTTCTCTGCTTCCGGTACGGTCAGTGGTAATTGTTTTTCCCCTCATTCTTCTCCATCTCTACCCCACTAACTAGTGTAGTATTTCTTCGTGTACGTGGGAAGGGACTAGGACAGAATGAATGAACTTGAACACGTTCAGGGTCTATCTTACCAGCACTTTTATAGATTACTTTCGTATTAGACTTTACGAAAAGTCTTGTCGATGCAGTTTCAATCCACGTCGCGTCCTTGTTCTTATTCTCTTCTTCATTTTTTTAACTTTCAGTTTTTTTTTGTTTTATTTTTTATTTTTCTTTGTCACTTGGGGAAATAAGTAAAATGCCCAACGAGCCAAGATTACGTGGCAAAGCGCCAGTCACGTGCGATCAGAGGAAGTTTTATTTGATTGAGAATATCGATGGTTGCGAGAAGAGAAAGGAACGGGGGACTAAGTGAATACTAATGCTAAAGCTCTGCCTATGTAGAATAAAATATTTCTCCAGTCTTACATTTTTTAAGTCAAACAACATCAGGTATTTAATCTCTTTAATTAAATTTCTTCAAAATGAATTGTTGTTCATGAACAAAGGGTCGTGCTGTGTATATTAAATACCTAAGTATCTGGAGCAGATTGATGTATATAATTTTTGCAATAATTTAATTATTACAAAAAATATTTTTTTTTTGTTCTTAACTTATCTTTTGTATGTTAAAAACTTTATTAATTATCTTCCACTATTCCATGAAAAATGATGAAAGCCTGGAAGATCTCAATTTCAAGCTCTTTATTACTTTGCAGTTAATATTATCATTAAAAAATTACAGAAATATTTTCAAAGAGACAAGTTAAAAAGGAAAGGAATTTCAAAGTGAGAAGTACAAGTTAGCAAACATGTAATACATATTTTTATATTGAATTAACAATCTACAGTTTAAAAAAAGCTACAAACTTATCAAAAGCATCATTTTATTATTAATATTTACTGAATGAAAATTTTTAAATTAAAACTATTCAATTTCAAAATGCTATTCATTCAATCAAATTATATAGTTTTTTTTATTGAAATAAAGCTGTCAGAAACTATTAATTTTTTAAATTTTACCTTTCCTTTATTAAATTGTCTACTGTATTTTCATATTCACAACTCCATTCTCTATCATTGTCGATATGCAGAAAGTAAATTAAAAAATGATTGGCATTTTAAAGGTAATTATCGACACTCGTTCATTCTCAATGTAATTGATTTACATGAAAATGACTCTTGTTTAAAAGAAAAGCTATTCATACTACTGTTTTTATACCAACATTTTGTAATCAATCTCCTAGTATCCAAAAAGCTAGAATTTTTTTGTTTTATTCATTGACTCTTTAAAAATATCGAACAAGTTGATAATTAAATCATCATCACTAATGAATCATCTGTTCTAAGTGTAATGATTAATTGATGAGCAACATGTTGTCCTGTTAGCATGAACTATTGAAATGATTGTTTATAAGCTCTAAATGATCTACCAGCTACATGGTCAATGATAAATGAAAGCTTAATAATATAATCAACTGGCGAAACTGGTAGCAGGAAAGTAATGAATAATTATCAAGTTTATAAGACTAGTTGATAGAGATAAATATATAATGATTACTAAAATGTATATTGAATGAGGGGATTACCATTCGCTTCAGTTATTCTTGGTGCAGTCTTGCAAATGAACGTGTGGTTAGTATGGATAACATTTGGGAATGTCATAGAGAATATTCCCAAATGCTGGGCACTGTTTGCAGTAGAAAACGTGCAGTTGTTTGCCATCATTACCCAAACCATAGAAGGAGAGAAAGGGATAAAATGGAAAATTGCGAGAGCGTAAAGTTTGTAATGGACTAATGAAATTAATATCTACCTGCTAAATCGTTAAGTAACAATAACTAGTAATAAATATTCCGAGATAATTAAGTGTTTATTATAATAATCATCCATTTCATATGATTTCAATGATTGTTTCATTTACTAAAATATTGATTATTTACCAAACGAATATGTATATATGTTGTGACAGATAAATAGTCGATGTTAATCAATAGCTAGATGATTACTTGTGTTCGTTTGTACAAGCTTTACAATTAAAATAAACCCAAGTAATGTTGATTAATTGGCTGGTTGATTAAAGTTTTTTCTTGCGTTTAGAGAAAGAATTTTTTTCTCGTGTTTAATTAGAGAAAAATTATAATGAAGAGGTTGAGTCAGGATATCTTGATAAAAGCTGGAGACGAGCAGTATTCAGTGAAGTTCATTGAAAAAATTTATTTCATTTTTTTGGCTTTTCCTTTTGATCAAAAAAGATTTTAGAAGAGTCTTCCTCTTTTTTATATATTTTTATTTGATTTTATTTATGGATAATTCTTCGTGAAATGATCCTTATACTACTTTCTATTCCATTGGAGCAATCGTGAAATGAACATTTACTCGTGATTCATTTGCTATATATCGAGGACACGAAAAGAAGTATCCCTCAAGTAGGCAGTAAGTAGCTGATGAATAGATCGTTCGAGTTCATTGGATTCAATATATTCTTAATATTTATTAATGAAAAAAGATTATTGAAAAAGAAAGAATGGAAATAAGTTTAAAAAAAAGGTTTCATGAGTTGAAAAGCAGCTCTTTTCTAACCTTAGTAATTGATTGAACAGATTTTTTATGAGTCGAATACTAATTTTTCGTAGTCTTTCAGAGCTCTCTGATGCAGCCTTTGCAAATTGCAGCTTTAACAGTTTTTTATCTGCAAGAGCTCGTGAAATTAAATATTGAATCTTGGAAACTTTGATGGAGCAATTAATTGTAAATAAAATGCCCATTTAATCGAGGTAATCTTCATTATCCTTAAACAGTGTCAATCTTTGCTTAACAAGTCAACGGTTTTATGCTAGATCCATTTTTATGAGATAAAAACCAACCTTGATGTACTTAAACAAAAAGAAAATTTGCATTTTTATTTTTCTGAAAAGAATTCATACATTTGACGAATTGCATTAATAAAAAGTAATGACATTATCAAAGAAAAATTTTTTTATATAAATTTATAGGAGTAAGTAGTTCATGTGAATTGAATGAAATAAGATTTAACATCTAGAATACTTTATCATCTATCTTTTAATGAGGGCTTTTAAGTAATTTTGTAATCAAGTTGATGTATTGTTGAAAATGGGAAATAACTCTGTAAACCAATAAGTCAGTAAAAGCAGAACTTTATGAATTTTTCATGAATTAATGTACTTACATTTAAATTTAAGTACATAACTTAGTATTCTTGCACATTTTTAGCTAAAATTTAAAATATTTCCAGTGAATAAATGCCGACTTTATTCATAAAAATGTTTACAGAAAGTAGGAATCTAGTTTTATTCACAATATTTTTCCAACAATTTTTATCTATTTGTGTAATAATTTTATTCATACACATTATTTTGATTCAAGTGTATTTAACATAAATATTTTCTTTCCTAAGAAATATATTTTGTAACATGGAATATTTGTACTGTTCTTAGTTTTTCATAAATATTATTACCTAACAACTGTTGTTTCAAGTTTCCAACTTTCATTTATCATAGAATGTTTATTTTGTAAATAATCCCAATTGATGTCACCTGAAAATATCTATTGGAGATTCTCAGTCAATATTGATTGATCATTGATCCCACTTTCAATGCAAATGACTATCAATGTAGTTCTAGGGGCAAGTATTCTAGTAGGCCAGATCCCCGGACACACTATTTCACAGCTATTGTTTATTTATCTTAGCTGTAAAGTATAAAAAAAATATTTATTTGTGAAAGTTAAAGCAAACAATCGGCAGAAACTTTCTTGTTATCTTTGATGATACTTGAAGGAGGAGTAGAAAAGAAGCAACAAAGATCTCAGTTAGATACAGAGGAAAACATGATGGTTAGAAGGGCCACTTTACACAAAGCACATTGGCACGAGGCGTTAGTATGTTTAGGATACAACGTAACATCTTGAATGACCGTAAAAGAAGAACGTCGAATAGTTGTAAAAATAACGGTAAATGAAAGCTCAACTTTTGCCCCTTAAGCACTGACTTTTTCTAGCCAAGTGTTATGGCACATCTATACCATTTGACCTTTCCATGCAATCACGAAAAACTGATGCTAAAATACAGCAAGGTCCATTTATTTTCCGACTCGTTTGCTCATCCTTTTTTGCCAAATAAAATAAAACAGCCAATTCAATTACTGTGATTAAATCAAACACACTTGAATAATCGTTATAATTCTCATGTAAATTATTATGTCGTCCACTACAAGCTATGCTTACTTCAGAGTTATAGCCAATAAGCTTGGACAACTGCTGATATAACAAACTGATTTGGTTCTTACGAGAAGTATGGAGGGTTGAAAGTCGACACGCCGTTGCGATTAACCTGGATTCGAGCAAATCCCCAGGCATCGTTACGCTTGATAGCTTTGTACGAATTACGCCCCAAAGGTTGAAGGTCCAAGCAAGGACGCTAGGATGAGATGAACAAGCGAATCAAATAGAGGAAAAAAATCCAAATAAAAGAAACCAAGAAAATACTTATAGCAATGAAACTAGTGCTTGTTGCTTTCATTTCTTTTATTTTATACCTACGAATCTGGCTTGGCAGGATACGTCAATAAAAGCTCTAATATTTACCCTTTGCTATATATTCAACTGTAATCATGGTTATTTTAACATTGGAATTTCGTCTGGGAAATTTATTAAACATTTTATTACAATCTACTACTATTTGGGACCATTGCTCTTGCCTTTGAAGTCATTTACCTTGATGTATATTGGAGGGATAAAAAGTTTGTTGGAAGAAACTGACATGTTGAACGTCAAATAAATCCTTTTTTACTTCAAAACTTGCGATTATTAGAAAAAAA